CATCCCGACACCAGCCAAACCAAACCGATGGGGGCTCACCCGAAGGCAGGGCTCCCGCTGCACCCGCCGCCTCGGACATGGCCAGTGCGCCCTCCTCACCCCCCGCCCCGTTGCCATCAGCCGCATCACTCAACAGCTCGGCACCGAAGTCAGCGTCCGGGTCAGCAATAGTGGCAGTAGCCACAGTAGCCGCACTAGATGCAGTCGCGCCATCGCCAGGTGGGGCTACAGCGCTGGCGGCATCCGCGTCCGGATCGTCATCGTCAATGTCGTCATTGCCCGCAGCCGCGGCCACCGCCGAAGTCGCTGTGGCGGCGACGCCAGCGGCACCTGCAGCGGCGGCGGCGGCGGCTGCGCTGTGTGGCCCGCCTTGCTGCAGTAGCCGGACTGCATTAAGGAGGGGAGGGTGGAGGGAGGGGGGAAGGGAAATGCCCTGTAACCTATGTGAGCTACCTGTTGAGCATTATGTACGTGTAAACACGTGCACAGACGTACATACATACATCTCCCTATACCTCCGCTGTTACCATTCCCATCAACACGCCACCACGGGGCCGACCTCGCTCGCAACACAATTCCACGGAGCACTCAAAAGCAGCTAGCTAGATAGATAGATAGATAGATAGATGGATAGGTAGGTAGGCACGCTAGGTAGGTAGGTATGTAAGTAGCTAGCTAGGTGGGAGGTGACTAGGTGGCTAGGTGCCACAGCCTCATAGGCCCACCCAAGACACGGGGTATCTCCTCCCTTGCGGCCCCCCCCCCGTTTGCTACTCTCTTGCCCTGGCAGCAGCTTCAATCGTGTGTGGTTCGCCTTTCCCCCCCAACCCCTCCCTTCTCCCCCCACACACCGGGCCTCGGCACACCGCCACTCACTCACCCGCCACGACGTCCCCTTCCATCGCCCGGTTGAGCGCGGCTCGCCCCGAAACCCGGACCAACCGCCCCAACGCCGCATCCGGACCGTGACCCAGCTCCACAACCGCCTCACGAGGATTGCGGCGACTCACGTGTACGACGCCCTGAAACCACGGTACGACAGGAGGCGGGCACGGTGCTTGTGACAGCGTGCACGTGCTGTCCACAAGGTTTGCGACTGTACGGCCTTCGTAACCTCCCAACAGAAAGCCCGCCCCCTCAGGCCTGCTTTCGGGCCCCCTGACACCACCGCTTCGAATGTGGCTTCCAGGTGGACGTATAACCCCCGGGCGGTTGAGTTCAACCACCCAACTACCAACCACCAACGACCCAACCACCACAGCACAGTCCCCCGCTCCCTCCTGCCCCCCCACTACAGCCGGCTCCCCCTGACCGCCCCCCGTAGTTGCTCTCCCGTCAGGGCCCTATGCCCCCAGGGCCCTATGCCCCAGGGCCGGACGTCCCCTGGACCAGCACGCAGGCCCCCCATCCACCCACCCATCCAGCTAGCAGCTAGCTAACCCCCACTGGAGTCCCTGCCATACCTGGAGCGCAGCCCAGCCCGGTGCGAACTGACCTGACTGGTTACCAACCCGCCTAGCCCGGTTGGTTGGAGACGCACTGGTAACGTCCCCCCAACCCCCCCCAAACACACACAACACCCTAGCAATTCTCATAGGCTATGTAACACCAGGCAAGGAGTACTCAGGGAGATGCCAAGGGAGCGGGACCCTCCTTACACCCACCCGCATAAGCACACCAGCAGCCAGTCCCTCCTCCACCTCCTGCTGCGTCAAGTGCGGTGTGTATGCGGCATCGCCGCCGCGCCCGCGGCCGCCGCCGCCGCCGCCGTCGCCAGCCGTCGTTGCCAGCTTGGCGGCCATGAGGGAGTCGTACAGCTCCGAAACCGGGGACCCCGGCGGCCAGTAACGGCTGACGTACTCGGCGGCGGACAGCACCGTCACGCCCTCCGCCGCCGCCTCGGCCAGGTTGGCTGCCAGGGCGCTGCACGACACGACAATGAGGTACGGAAAACGGTATATGTACAACAACGGTATATGAACTTGCGGCGACCTTTTCCCGCACCGCCACTGCGGGCAGCGACGACATGCAATACACACGCTGCTCAGTACACGGCCCCCCCCTTCCTGCTTTTTGTACACTCTTTCCTTGGCAACAGCTTCACTCGTTCACGTGGTTCGTCCTCCCCCCTTTCTCCCTTCCCATCATCACCCGCCACCCAGAAGAGTTGATAATCCCCACCAAGACTCCCGAATCACGACATCACCCCGGCTCTCTCCCCCCCACCCTTCCAGACATAAACCCTTCCTTACCGCTCTAATGCACCGAAGCCGCTCCCGACCTCCCCAGCCGCCGCCGCCGCAGCAGCCGCCGTCGATACGGCCGCTAACATCCCCCCCAGCCGATCCGAAACCACCATCACCGGCACCCGCGCCCCCAGGTGATGTGTGTAGTACAGTCCGGCCGCCAGCACCGGCGGCAGGGAGGGGCTGGGAGGCGGGGGGGGGGCCGGGACGGGACCGGTGGTGCACCCCGTGGACAGCGGGTGATGGAGATAGAGAGAGAGTATGTGTGTGTGTGTGTGTGGTGGGGGGAAAGAGATTGCATAGCCACAAGTCAGAGGCAGCGGAGGACACGCCCAGCGCAGCTGCTGCAAAGCCGCATCCGTCACAAACAACCCCCCTCGCCAACATCGGCATTGCTGACCCCGCGGGGGATTTTATTCCTCTAACCGCCACCACCGCACACGCACACACATCATAGGAGCCCTTGGCTGTCTGTAGTCCATTCCACACACACACACACACACACTCGACCTGCCCTGCAAACCCACCCACCCCCCGCCACTCACTCCGCCCCCGTGGCCGCCACAGCTGTGTCCAGGCAGTGCAGGTCGTCAAACAGTACGGCACGGCGGCGGCGGTCTCTGTACAGAGCACGTAGCCGGGAGGCCTTCCGACCCGACTGGAGCGACACCTGGCGGGGAGACGGTGTATGTCTGTATGTCTGTATGCGTGTATATGTGTTTGTGTGTGTTTTAATACTGCGTCGAGCCTCGGACATGAACTGGCAAGGATGAGAAAAAAGAGGCGAAGTTGTGTGTGCGTGTGTGTGGTGGTGGGGTGTTGGGGAAATCAAGGGAAGGGGAAGGGGAAGGACACTGGTAAGGAGGACGTGCCGTAAAACCCATTGCCGTACATTTATGTATGGCTTTGTCGCACGTGCACGAAGTATACATACCTGTTTGATGCAGCTGGCCAGGATGACGTAATTTGAAATGTCCGGAAGTTCAAATAGCTCTAGGAGCTCCGAAAGCGCCACGTCATCCGGAATGAGGTAAAAAGGCGCCGATGCGGAAAGGGAAGACGTGGGAGCCGCCGTCGCGCCGGCGCCGGAGGCAAAAGTGGCGGCGGCGCCGAAGTCTTCGGCTCCGAAACCCACACGGCACGAGTCGCATGCCTCGCTGGCACACGACACATCGACCCGGAGGTAGGACTCCTCCAAGGACGGTGTGACGGTATGTGTACGGCGGCGATACTTGTACGATAACTTGGTCTACAAAAGGGAGGAAAAGGGGAGTTTCAGGGCGCAGGTACCCGGGTAACGTGCCCTGAGGCTTAACCCTTTTCTGTCCATTTTTCTTCAACCCCTCCCTCCATCATTTGACACAATCTAACGGGGGATTGCAGACCCGAGGGGGGTAAGGTGGCGAAACCCTGGCGATTGAAGCGGACACCGGGGGTAGGCGGATAGTCCAGGAGTAGAGATAAATACTGCATTTCAGAGGAAAATATTTGCTGACCAGTGTTGACTTGACTAGGAGGGAGGAAGACGAACCCCGGCGGGGGGGAGAGTGTAGTGTACATGGAAAGACAGAACGGGGTTCGGATTTATCGGGCACGTGGCAGCACAGCGCGTCCAAGTTCTGACCTACGGCATTTGGTTTTGGCGGGTCACAGGTGCAGCTTTGCCTAGCGCTAGTCGCTTCCATGGAGGCCCCCTGCAGCTTCCCAAGTGCAGGTCAGCTCATCCACCCCTGGCCTGGCTGGTGCGCAAGCTCGGAGTAACAACTCGGAACCGTTTTGGAACGTGTCTGTCTTCGGGATGAATGCCCCGGCTGGGGTTGAAGATAAATAAAAAAGTGGTAAAAAGCGTAAGCTGGCGCAAGGAAGGGTGCAGCAGTACGATAGCTGTCGGTTTAATTGAAGCAGCCAGAACGGCGGGGTCCTTGCCAGGATGTGGATTGTTGCTGATGGATGCTGATGTATGGATGCCTAAATAGGGGCGAGACTGGCGAGGTGTACAAGTGTAGGGAGTTTGGGGTACTGGGGGCACGGGAGACCATGACCATGACGCAGGTGACGAGACGATTCGAATGCGACTAGCAAATAGACACTTACTTGGCATGACACCCAAGCCATCGGATTGCACTTCACGGCTTTGGCGCCTTGCCACGTCTACGGTCTCGGACTGTACCACATTCACACCAAGCTTTCTGATTAAGTAAAAAAACGTAACAGTGATATTTTAGGTCTTCAGCAGGAAAAACTCTACCTGGCACCAACTTCCTTCATGCCACGCATCGTACTGTAGTACGCGCTGACGGGTACACAACACACGTTGGCCTCCCAAAACAATTCCTTTTAGCTGCCCTTAGTGCAGCGTACGTAATTCGCAATATAGGTTCATCGGTTCATCGGTAGTGGCAGAACCAGACAACCATGCCGCAGAACGAGCATATTGAGCTTCACCGAAAGCGCTATGGCAGACGTCTTGATTATGAGGAGCGAAAGCGCAAGAAGCAGGCGCGCGAGGTGCACAAGCGCTCCGAGTATGCGCAGAAGGCTCTGGGTATTAAGGGCAAGATGTTTGCCAAGAAGCGCCATGCTGAGAAGGCCATGATGAAGAAGACAATTGCCATGCATGAGGAGCGGGATAACAAGCACAAGGCTGTGGACGGCGCGCCGCAGAATGCTGTTCCAGCGTATCTGCTGGAGCGTGAGCAGGTATGGAGCTACCCGCATTCGTGGAAGCGTATAATAATTGCACCTGATTATCTTGTGATTGGGTGTCCTCTTGGTGTCCTCTTGCCATCTTGCCCCGCGTCATGCTTACATCGGCGTTCGTTGTTTTGTCACCCACAGGTGGACCGCGCCAAGGTCCTTAGTAACACCATCAAGCAGAAACGGAAGGAGAAGGCGGGCAAGTGGGAGGTACCGCTTCCGCAGGTAAGGCAGGGTTCCGGGGTGTGTGCAGGTTAGGGTTTCGCGTCCAGCAGCGGGCAACGCACTGACGATAGGTAGCGGGAACCCAACATGTCGTGTCCAGCCATGCCGGTCTCTGACACGTGAATGATCCCTCGGCGTGCTTATCCTCGGGGTATTTCCTCCGCAGGTTCGACCAATTGCAGAGGACGAAATGTTCAAGGTGCTCAAATCCGGCAAGCGCATGAAGAAGTCCTGGAAGCGCATGATCACCAAGGTGACATTCGTGGGCCAGGGCTTCACCCGAAAGCCCCCCAAGTACGAGCGCTTCATCCGACCGACCGGCCTGCGCATGAACAAGGCGCACGTCACTCATCCGGAACTCAAGGCGACCTTTTGCCTGGATATTATCGGCGTGAAGAAGAATCCAAACGGCCAGATGTACTCGCAGTTGGGTGTTGTCACGAAGGGCACGATCATCGAGGTGAACGTCAGCGAACTGGGTTTGGTCACGCCCGGCGGCAAAGTGGTGTGGGGCAAGTACGCGCAGGTCACGAACAACCCCGAGAACGACGGCTGCATCAACGCGGTCCTCCTTGTATAATTATACTCTACACGTTAACCGTTCGGGAACGGTTGGTAGGCATAGCTACCGGGAATAATATTGGGAACGTGTTGGCTGGCGAGGTGTGAAGCCTTCATGTGCGATGACTTGGGAGTTCCAGGAGCGTTGACGTGAGGTTGCGACATGCCGTTTACGCGGAACATCTTGGCTAGTGTAGAGGGTAGTGGTGAGGGCGTTTTACGGGTGCCTCGCTGTCTTTGGGAGTCGATGCTGGCAACCCAACTGCATGTTCGTCATCTCGGGACTTGTCGTGTACATATTGCTACCTGCATCGCGTTGGAACTGTTTGACCGTGTGCTTGACCTGGCTTGAGAGTGGACATTGTGGATCCCGAAGCGATCCCGAAAGATTTGGGGGCCTGGGGACCTGCACAACGGGACGTCTGTGAACGACTAGCCGCTGACGTTAGGGCGCTTCGGCGCCAGCTTCGTAACTGAAACTCAACCCGTGCACTTCATCGTTTGGCCTTTGGACGCACACTTGCTGACCAGCTTGATTCATGATTTCACCCTTGGAAAAGGTATTTTCAACGGCTCTGCGCTGCTTGCCGGATGATGCTATTACGGATTTAGACGGGACGCTGTAGAGAGAGGCTTCGTCCTCCCCTGTCCCGTGTGCACCGTCGCTTGTAAACTACTAAGGATACATTATGGCGTGTGGTGCATAATGAAGGCATACTGTAAAAATTCATTATGGATATTAGGTGTCGACCCCAACGTCCGCCTGCAGCCGGCACCCGGCAGGCCTCCGAAGGCGATTAGTCCAACCCGACACTCTGCCATGTCAGCCGCTTGCACCATTGGCAAAACCGGTTTAAGCCGCGTATAGTAATTACAGATAGACTACTGCACTAAAGTAGGAACGTGCCCAAGCGCACCCTGCCGAAAGCGTAGCAGAGTGATGCACATCCGAAGTACAAAACACTCATCAAGCAGTGCTCCTTTTCACGATAGGACGATCAAAGCCCTTGCAGCCTTCTTCCAATCTGAGCCCGTCCGCACTGCGTACTTATCATATTGATTGCATTTATGATATCCGCAAACCAGACGCATTCGGCTCACAGAGCAGCTGAGAACTTGCACTAAACCTGAAGAAATGCCCACGCAATCTTCTTGGAGTCCGGCTCGCTATTAACCCTGCCCGAACCAGAACTGTACATGCTGCCTCGGGACGGCAGCGCAGGCCTGAATATCAAATCATAGCTAAAACACGGCCCATCATCCATAATGAGTCTCAGCACGATATGGGTGTGCTGCCGCGGCGGCTCCTGTGCAGGTGTGTACGGAGTTACACCCAACTAACAAACCCCAGAATCTGCAACTTCCTAAGCGCCCGCCCTGCACCTGCACGCTTCTGGTTCTGGCCAACCGGTTCTGCGGGAGCCCACACCAACCTCAACCCCCCGGCATGAGCAGCCATCATTCCTTGAAAGTTGTGTAAAGAATAATCCGACATTTAGAATTGAAGCTCAAACACGAGCTCAGCTCTAGCGCGACGGCTCGCCAGATATCCAGCCCCACAACCCAACCCGCGGCCGTCGCGGCTTGACACGGCTCGCTGCGGCCTCGTCCAGGAGGTCGTCCTCCTGGGGCGCGGCAACCCTCGGCACATCTACCCCCACAGCTACAGTAACCAGCTGCGCTCCTGGTGACGAAACGGCAACAGCGCCAGCTGCCGCACGAGGTGACGGCGGCGCTTCGTACGGCTCCAACACCACAGGTACTGCGCTGGATGCTGCTTCGGCGCCGACTGTGCTGTCCACTTCCGGCGCTCCTGGCGCCGCCGCTGCAGCGGCGACTGCCGCCGCTGCGGCGGCAGCCAGATCGCTCCGATGCGTGTCACGAAAACTTATAGATGCCCCGGCTGACGCGTCATTAACAGGCGCTGGCCCTCCAGAGGCGACGAGACCTTGCTGCTGTCCTTGCTGCAGCAGGCCGGTCAGCTGTTGTTTGTCTGGCAGGTGGGGGCTATCGGGCAGGTGGGAGGCGATCGGCTGAACAGGATAATCCCTGCGCTGTGCTCCTAGGTTGTTGAACGGCGAGACGACATGGTGTACGAGCTGCGGTGACGGTTCTGGCGATGCCGGTAACATGGGCTGCGGCAGGGCTTGCTGCTGGGGTCCTCCACTGCCGCTATGAGCGACACTCGAGACGCCGCTGTCCTCGAAGCTGCCAGGCGCCGTGTCCCGGACTGTGACTCGGGAGACTACGGGGCCGCCTTGTGCGGGCGGCGCTGCCACTGAGTGTTGTGCTTCCATGGGTCCAGCCACCCCATGCGCCTGCGCCTTCTCCTGCCCAACCCCTGCCCTGCTTTCAGCAACCTGCACGCCATCATTCACCGCCGGGCCTGCCTGCGCACCCGCCTGAAAACGTTGCTGCTGTTGGTGCTGCTCCCCCTGCTGCAGCTGCCCCGAGTGCTCTGATGAGGCAACCTGCCGGCTCGCCACTTGCCCGCTCGGCGTCCCATCACTTCGCGGCGCGTCCTCTGGGCATGAACCGCTTCTGACATCACTACCCACCACCTTATCCTTCGCACCCGCCCCGGAGCCCTGCCTTGGGCATCCTGCAGTTTGCTCCATCTGCTCCCCGCGCAATGCCATCATGCGACGCTTCTGCGCTTGCAGCACCTGATCCAAGGCCTCCATGTGTCCAGCCAGCTCTACAATGTACGCTGCTGTCTCACCGGGACCCAGCCGCCGGCCTGCAAGGCCCTCCAGGCGTGTCAAGACACGCGGCAGGTCCAGCGCCGGCGACTGTGGCTCTCCAGGGACTGCCGTGGCCGTGGCCCCACACGACTCGACTTGGGTTGCGAGTCCATTGGCGTGCTGGTTCTGGTGCGGCAGGTTTACGTACTGGCTTTTCAGCTGCAAGGCAAGGCATGCCGTGGTCGACAGAGATACCTCCTCCACTAGCCGCCGCACCTCCTCCGCGAGCATTACGAGCTTCCAGTCTGATTCCGTCAACGGACCCCCGGGCGGCAACACCTCCCGACTCGGAGGCGCGGCGTTAGTGCCGCCCGCCTGGCCCTGACCCTCAAGACGCAGTAAAGGGTGTTGAGACTGCGGGACGGACCCATGGGTCGCACCCTCTTTTCCGGATCCCGCCAGACACATGTCTGGAGGCGATTTTCCGTTGGATTGGTGACGTCCGTGTGGTTGATGCTGTGCGGTGTCATCCGGCGGCTGGGGGGTTCGTTCAGTTGCTTGCGCTTGTGTTGCCGCTAGCTGAGCCTGTGCCTGCGCTAGTCGCTCCTCGAGGTTGTGGAGTATCGCTTCCTTACTGGCGGCGCTCTTCTTGCAGTCTGATGGCCGTGGAAGAAGGCAGAACGAGCACAGGATGTTCAGTCCATAAACTAATGAGTGCAATGAGATGCGATTCGATTGCTGTAGCGTCTCGACAACAAACATGCACAGCCGCATCACCGTCAAGACGCATGAGTCCGGAGAGGAAAGTGCTTGCTGGTAGGGACCAATATCTCCATGCAATATGCGTCGCCTGCCCTCATACCTTATACCCACATCCCTGGAGGCACACCGCTGAATCCCCGCCACCGTTTCCTCACTTACCCGCCAGCGCATTCGCCTGCGCGTTGACTTTAGCCACCAGCTCGCTGTTCTCGTCAATCAAACGCCCAATAGTTCTTGCCGCCTGGTCGCACTGCCGCCGCACGTCCAGACTCACCAGCTCAGCTGCGCGCGCCCGGTCCTCAGCTGCACGTGCAGCCACGCGGTGCATCTCCTCCTCAGCGGCCAGTCGGCTCAGGTCGGAACGGAGACCATCCACCTCCTGATGGGACCGTGTGGCGAACCAGCCGCGGCAGGAACCCATGCCCCACGAAGGAGTTAAAACGTGGTCAGCACAAAACGGGCAGAGAAACACACGGTTACTATTTGCTCAGACGAATGCGCGGCGCGGACGATCTCCATGCTTCGGTTCATCTGAATTTAATGGCGACTGTAAACTGCAGAACCCCAAGCAAACGCCTGTCCTAATTGTTTGGGTTCGCCGGTCCGCAATAGGATGCGTAGGTACAACGAAAAGCCGACTTGGAAATAGCCAACGTGGATCGAGCGGCACCTAGCCATACCCTGCCATTACCCTGGGCAGGAGTAGTCCTTTCCCCTGAATAAAGCCACGCGCGATATGCACCGCACCTTCTTCATCCGGACCAGCTGCTCCTCATTCGGCTGTTGCTGCTGCGGTGTCCCTGCCCCGCTGCCGCCTCCACCGCTCAACGTGGCAGCAGTCGCGCTTAAAAATGCACTGCTTGACACCCCCGGCTTCACCCCGCCGATCTGCGCCTGTCCAATGCCACTTCCAGCGCTGGCAGCCCTGCCAAGGGTGGCTCCGGCAGCGGATGGCAGGCCGGTGGCCATTGCCTTCAGCGACCCGCCGGCGGTGCCCGCCAGAGCGCCGGAAGACATTGCCCCCAAAGATGGTGGTTGCAATGACAGCGGTGACAGGACATTGGGTAGCTTGGGCAGCGGTTCACTATTGGAAACCGGCACAGCTCCCCCGGAGGGACTTTCCACCCCGTTTTCGAGCTGCAATGCAGGGCGGAGGATGGGTGAGGTTAAAAGCGTCGCATGCGCAGGGGAAGACGGGTGGCTGGAACACATACCTGTTTCAACTTTTTGAGGGTGGCACGCGACTCGGCCTCCGCACACTTCAGCTGCTGCCGCAGGTCCTCGCTCACTCGCCGCTCCTCCTCCAGCGCACGCTCCGCCTTGTGCAGGCGCAGAGCCCACCGCTCCTCGTCGACTGCGGAGGAGTGCCCGCTCACATGCAGGGGCGGCGGTCTGGAAGCCCTGTCGTTATCACGCACAGGGCTCAGTCAGTGAGGATGGCACCGATATGGGCCATCGTTTTCGGTGCCACGGGTCCCTCGACGCAAAGTGAACCATGTGACGAAGAATGCTATGACTTCATGTCGCTTGCATGTGTCATGAATCGCCCGTCTGCCGTCAGAGCATTGACTCGAGTATGCCGTGACTTATCACGTCGGTATGACACTTGACTTTCTAGCACTCCGAGTGGTCCACTCGGAGTGCTAGTGGTGCGCAAGGGAAACCAGGGGCCGCACCTGTATCCGCCGGGCCGGACCGAGCTGCCGCGAGGCGCAGCCCCGCCGGGCTGCTGGACGCCTGCTGCTGCAGCTTCCTCCGTGTTCAGTGCCGCTGCTGCCTGCGCCTCCTCCAGCTGACGCTGCAGACGAAAGACATCCGCGTTCCGTGCCTCCAGCTCTCGCAGAGCAGCCGCCTGTGAGGACGTCATGTGTTCGTGCTCCCTGACGATGGCGGCGTGCTGTGTGAGGAGACGCTGATGCTCCGCCTGAGAAACGGCGGAGGAAAGGGAAGTTGAGTCAAGGAACGTAAGCTGTGTTACAACCATCAGCGTCACGGTGCGCGTAGCCGAACGGTCGATGTTTTGGCATGGAGGCATAGGGAACGGGTGTGCCCGGGCCCCGTCCAGCATGCCAAGTGGGGTGCTACCTGCAACGACAAGGCGCTGTAGCCCGGGAGGCAACGTGAAGCGAAGGCGCGCACCTGCATGGCTTGGTGTGCCGCAGATACAGCCAGCAGCTGCCGCCCGAGATCTTCTGACCGCTGGCGTTCAGTTACAAGCTCGGAGGTGAGGCTTTCTACTTGGGCAAGTAGGTTGCGCCCCTCCTGTTGCTCCTTTTCAAATTGAGCACGGGCCGATTGCAATTCCCGTTCAAGATCATTGACTTTTTGCACATGAACATCTTCGTTCGGCGTTCTTCGAACTGTAATATCTGGAATCCCCGAGATCACTCCATGTTGGGCTGGTGCGATTTGCTGGCTTGGCCACAAATGCGTATTCGCCGCTGGAGCTTGAAGGCTCCCTGCAACCGTTGGCTGCGTTGGCGCCCTGCCAGGAGCGCCTGACAACCCTGCTCGCCCCCCATATCCCTCGGAGAGCACCGCTTGGCCAATCTGCGATGTAACCGCCTGGTCACCAAAATATACATAAGGATAAGCAGGTGATCCGAGACTGCCTGAAAACGGTATAGCGGTATTGGTGTTTAAGACCCAGTTAGACATCCTGCCCTAGCCTAGTTATGAGACTTGCGTAGCCAAACATGTTATGAACAAGTAAAAGTTCCATATTCTTATGAAGTTACGCATTATACTCTGTGCCGAGCCCTTGTATCTTCAGCTCCCTGGCTTCATGAATTGCATGTAATATTGCATCAAATAAATTATTCACAACAAACCAAAAAGTCTGTAGGGGACCATTATTCAAGGTGCCGACGTGTACACCTTGTAACAACCAACATGCAACTGTCTGTACTCGTCAGGCAAGAAACCCAACATTCTGCATATATGCACGGCTTACCGGTAAAGCATTTCATAACTCGGGGCCAGCATACTACCTGCTCTATGACGAGCACTTGTTTCGAGTGAAAAGTACCGCGCGCGAGGAGTGTCCTTGAGCGGGCCCTAATGGCCCAGGCAACAGCAGAACAGCGGACGGAACTGCTTGCTAGGCAGCTCCTGCAAGCTGAGAAGGGCGTGCTCTCCCTTGCACCCACGGCCGGACAGCAGGCAGCCCTTGAGCCGCCCACCTACAGCATTGCCTTGCCGGAGAAGCTTACTCCTGATGGACCATGGAGCGTATATCGGTGAGAACCGGGTGCGACACATAAACTCGACCGTGCCTTCCATGTCCTTCGGTCCGGCAATGTTTGTTACGAAAACCACGCGGAAGCAGCAATATGGCGGATATGTCCAATAATGGCATGCTGGCCCAAAATTACATGCTTGGCAAATGCAAATCCAGCAAATTCGAATCGGTTCCAACTGCCGACCGTCCAGGGGGTTTTACTGCGTACCCTCCAGTTGTCAGCCCCCAAGGTCGTCATCCCACCCTGCACGATTAGGCACCACCATCAACCAGCTACGTGTGCTCAACATGGAGTCCTGGTTTTGAACGTCCAAAAGGGCAAAACCGAGGGCACGCCTCTCTGCAGCAGACCCTCCTGCGCTTCCACTTGAATGTGACAGTCGCAAATTTAACCTCTACAACCAGTGTTTTTGGCCTTCCAAACTATTTGTCCTGTCCATCTGGATTGCAATCCCAGGTCCGCCACATCCCCCTTCCAGCTGGTGTCCACGTACCCACCCCCTGCCGACCATGTGCGCACCCTCTATGACAACCTCGAGTACAGTGCAGCAAAGTTTCCGCACGTGAGTGATGAGGTAGCAAAAAGCTCCAAGTAGGCAACAAGGCGACGGAGCAATTGCCAAAGTGACTGGGCATCTAAATTCAAGCCGGTCAAAATTGTTTTGCGCGGGATCGATCCTTTGTTTCACTCGAGTCTAGGCCAATCGGGCAAATGGCAATTACAATTTGCAAACCTGGGGCCACGGGCAGTACGTAGCAGGTGGTATACATGGCATCCAGCACCGTCTTTTGAGCTTTTCCATGCGAAAACCAATTATTATTATTTCCCAAACCGCACTTTTGCAGATGCCATACCTGGGCACCCGTAGGCGGGACGACAAGGGCCGCCCCGGTCCGTATACGTGGATGACGTATGCTCAGGTACGTGTCCTACTCCAATCGACCATGTGCGCTCGTGTTTTACCATGTGCGCCTGTTTTCACCTAAACTCTGGCACATGTCAAGAGTATTACAGAGTGTCTAGCTTCTGGGCCTTGCATACATTTGAATTCTTCTGGTCTAGGATTTGTTTTCGGCAGCCCCGCCATTTCCTGACCGTCTCCCGTCTCCCGCTGTTTCCCGACTGCAGGCCGGCGATGTCCGCACCGCCATCGGCTCGGGGCTGTTGCAGCTGGGATTGCAGCCCCAGGCGGGTGTGGGCATCTACTCTGTTAACTGCAAGGGTGAGGGGGAAGGGGAAGTGGTGATGGTGAGGGGGGATGTGTGATCTGGGTCGGGATATGGATTAGTGTGTCCGGGTAGGGACGTGGTGCACTGTTTTTGTGTTAAAAGCTGGGTCGGTGTCACGCTGGAGGGAGGTATGGTTGGCCGGATGGATGTGGCTGATCTGGGTCGGGCTTGTTTGTGAAAGGGAGAGAGGTCGGGGATAGGGAGCAATGTATTTCTTGATTTCTTCTTGATTTGTTTTTGATTTCAATTGGCTCGACGTCTTATGCATCGGGGAGAGGGACGGAGGAAAGCTGGACGCTCTAGTTGTCATCGTCGCAGGAACGCAGACCCCACGCCGCGCCCTCCTGTTCGTCGGTCTTCTGTTTAATGTGCCATGTGACTCGGCGATACATCTCCCCTTTCCTTGACAATGCCTCCGTGTCCTTGTGCCCACCATATTTTGCAGAATGGCTGCTGTTTGACTCGGCCCTCCACGCCTACTCGATGGTCAGCGTGCCGCTGTATGACACCCTGGGTCCCGATGCGGTGGAGTTCATTTCCAACCATGCGGAGCTGGCGGCCGTGGGAGTGAGCGCCGCGGTGCTGCCCACCCTGCTCACATGCCTGCCCCGCTGCCCGGGCATACGGTTGCTGGTGAGTCGCGATGGATGGATGGGGGGAGGGAGGAAAGGGGATTAGGAGCAGGGGCTAAACCCCTAGAATTGTTGGAGCGGGGGAGCACTAAACAGACAGGGTACGAGTACCTCCTTAGTATCATACACTCCTTTCAGTGTCTGAAATCAGCCATCTACCTGCCAGCTGCCACTGCACCGTGTGGTGCTGCCCACTGTGCCGTTGTCCTCGTACCGCCAGCCGTTGCGTGGCTCCTTCCATTCCCTCCTCCCCCTCTCCTGTTTTCCTGAAATCCACATATTAGCTACCCAGATATCTAGCTGTGGACGTCAGCAGTCGACCCTTAGCTTTTTGCATGATCATATAATTTCCTCCCTCCCCGCCACCCGCCCCGTCCAGGTGGTATGGGGCGCCACGGGTCCCCTGCCCGAGCCCCCCGCGGGAGTGAACTGCCGGTTGGTGACCCTGGATGCGGTGGAGCAGCTGGGTCGCCGCCACCCGCGAGCCCACATGCCCCCCAAGCCCTCGGACACCGCCACCCTCTGCTACACCAGTGGAACGACGGGGCAGCCCAAGGGTGCGTCGTGGGTGCTAGGCGGGCCCGGGCTTTTGGGCGGTGATGGGGGGCGCGTTTGGAGGTGATGGGACGAGGTTGCTGCGACGGGGTTGGGGTTTAGGTCGGGTGGGAGTGAGCGGATGGGACGCGGGAGCATGTGTCTGAATGGGAGCCCATGGCAGGAGTGATGGATGGGGAGCGAGGTAGGGCGGCTGTGCGATCCAAGGTGCGATGTTAGTGCCTGTTAGCTTGTTGGCTCGAGAGCAGCTCACACTTCACTGCCGTATAAGGGGCACTCCGGGAGGCGGTGTGCTTGATGTTTTGTGTGCATCCACGGCAAGGTTGTCGTTTTTCCATCTGCGGCACCGCGTCTCCCTCCCTTCCTGTCCGCCGTCAGGTGCGGTGCTGACCCACGCCAACCTGATTGCCAACGCTGCTGGCACCTCCACGCTGCTAACCGAGTCGTGCCCTGGGGACCGGCACTTGAGCTACCTGCCACTGGCCCACATCTACGAGCGGGTCAATGTGGTGCTGGTGAGCGAGAGGGGTGTGTGCGCCTGTGTGTGCGTGTGTCTAGCGGTATGGGGACCCCTCGGGATGTTAAGAAGGCGATGGAATGGGGAGAATGGGAAGTCGTCTCTATTGTAATCTTGACAGTCTCGACTACCTCGTTCCTCTGGACCCTCACCCTCACCCACACTACCTCTTAACACTTACTTAGCGTACATCCCCGTTCTGCGGTTCTGCGCCTCGCAGCTCACCCACCTGGGGGCAGCGCTCGGCTTCTACTCGGGCAATGTGCAGGTACGTGAGAAGGGGGAGGAGTAGGGGGGAGAAGTAATATTTTTTTCAGTTTACGGCGGTGTATGGGTTTTTGAGGGGGTCTCTGTCTTTGCTGCATCTCGTAGATATGGCTTGATCGGTCTCACGCTGAAAGGGAACATTGGGATTGGAAATATTGGGATTGAAAATATTGGGATTGAAAATATTGGGATTGAAAATATTGGGATTGAAAATATTGGGATTGAAAATATTGGGATTGAAAATATTGGGATTGAAAATATTGGGATTGAAAATATTGGGATTGAAAATATGATGCATGTGGGCAAGCAGGCAAGGATGCAGGTAGTGGCGGCTGGTAAGGGGCCTGTTGCCCGCTTTGGGAGGACAGGCCCAGGGTCCTTGCGCTTTACCGCGCGCGCCGCGCAGTCGTATCTTGCATGTACGATCCCTGGCCTGGAGGTAACCCTTCAACCAAGGTGGGGTCATGAAGTACCACTGGTGTTGATGGAGGTAATGAATCGTTCGTCCACTTGCCGTCGGAAGTAATCTCTTCCCGTGTTGCGGCACCTGCAGGAGCTGCTTGATGATGTGACGACTCTCAAGCCTCAGGTGGGTATTAGGATGGGGGAGTAGCGACTGGCGAGAGGGAACTGAGGAAGAGGGGCTCTCAATACTATAGATGGTGGCATGCGCCTGGGCACTGTGATGGGGCATGCAGGTTGGCATCTGGCTGCAGCCTTGGCCTCCCGGCAGAAAACGACCTTGCATCCACACCACAGGATGTGGAGTCCGCGCATTGGATGTGTATCTGCACGCGCGGTAGTCAACTTCATGTCTCCTTCGTTTCATCAGATGGGGCCATTTGAAACTGGGGTCGCTTGTAGCCGCTTTCCTACGGCTCGGCAAAATCAAATCGAACGGTGCCTTGTGGGCCCCATACCGTTCTTCAGACCGACCAAAGGGCTTCCACCCACTACTTTAAATCAGTTAACAATCGCGTTGCTAACAACCTTGTTTGAGTAGTCCTCTTGTTCTCCCGCTAGCTTCAGTTTAGCCTGTTTGATGAACCTGACCATGAACGGAAATTCAGAGAATTTCGCTTTCCTCCTCCCCCCCTGTGTATGTACCACAGATCTTCGTGTCTGTACCACGATTGTGGAACCGAATCTACGACCGCGTCATGCTTGCTGTACAGACGGGCTCCCCTCTGGCCCGTGCCCTGTTTGAGCGGGCGTATGCGCACAAGAAGGCGGCCCTGGCGCGGGGGGATCCAGTGGGGGGACGCTGGGGAAGGCTGTACGACAGGCTGGTGTTCAGCAAGATTCGCGCCAAGCTGGGTGGCGAGCTCAAGTATATGATCTCGGGTGGGTCGCTGGGTCACCTGATCTACCCCCTGGACGAGTTATTAAATTCCTGTATTATACCATGGCAAGGCCACACTTCCCCACTCGCTCCATCAGCGCTCCTTGTCCCATCCATCGACCTTTCTCCTTCCCCCTGCTGCTCACCTCCCATCACCACTTGAACTTATTTACTTATTCTCCTGCCTCCGTCCTTCCGTGCGCCCTCTCCTCATGCCTGCCTAAGTGCATATATATAAATATGTGTTAAATATACATATATATGTATGTATATGTATATATACCAACTCAAGGCACGCACTGTTAGCATGAAGACGCAAGATCGTGCTAACAAAAGCCATATGATCATGTGTTGAATTGTATCCCTCCAGGCGCCTCTCCCATCAGCGAGGAGGTGATGTCGTTTCTGCGCATCTGCTTCGGCGCCACTGTGCTCGAGGGCTACGGCATGACAGAGGCAGCCTGCACCATCTCCACCACCCGCTCCGACGACCTGACGACGGGCCACGTGGGGTCGCCCAACCCGGCAGTGGAAATTAAGTTGGTGGACCTGCCGGAGATGGGGTACACTAGCCGGGACAGCCCCTACCCACGGTGAGGAGGGGCTCGAAGTATTTCGTAAGAAAAGAGTGGACCTTGGTGAAGAGGCTGCCTGCGGGACAGAACTGCCGAGACTGTCTCCTCCCCCCGCCTCCTCTACCTCGTCTCGGTTGTTTGCTATACCGCGTTCACGGGTAACTGTATCGGAAAGTGGGACTTTGGGAATCTCCGGTATTTTGGAGATCTGTCGGTTTAAGCAGCTTGAAGCGCCTCCATGATGCGCATTTTACACCCTTTGTCTGTCCCTAGCGATTCCGTGCTCGCCGCGGACTGAAGCGCCAGCTGCTTACATGCACACATGCACCCACAGGGGCGAGATTTGCGTCCGCGGCCCGTCCGTCTTTGCTGGGTACTACAAGGACGAGGTGCAGACCAGGGATGTGCTTGACGCGGATGGCTGGCTGCACACTGGTGAGGGGTTTGTCGGCGTGTGCACGTGGCCCTTGCGTCCGCCAGTCCATCCGTTGCCATCCCTTGGCCGGTTCTCCGGTTCTTCGGAGTGCATGTTTCTGATCTCTTATGTTCCCTACTCTCGTTCACCAAGGCGCGCCGTTTGGTTTGGGAACCCCTGTAACCGCCTATATGTGTTTTCCTTGAGGAACCTGCTGCGCTGTGTCGTTGACCCACATCGTACGCCATCTTTATCTTGTAGGTGATGTGGGCGCCTGGCTTGAGGGCGGGCGGCTCAAGATTATTGACCGCAAGAAGAACATTTTCAAGCTGGCCCAGGGCGAGTACATTGCGCCAGAGAAGATTGAGAACACCTATTCCAGGTACGTGGCTGCATGCACCGTGAAGCAGTGTACGACACGGGATTTATTGTCTTGGTTTCCTAAAGCACCCTAATGCCTTCACGCCACCGACTAGTTCCTCTTACAACCTGCCTTTACTCCGCTCGCCGGGCCGCGGGCCCCCATGCACATCCTCCACCTTTTAAATACCATCCTTACTCCCCGTCCGAACTTCCTTTTCTCCCTTCCATACCTCCTTGAATATGTTCGAGCCTCTACTGCCGTTCTTCTCCCTCTGAAGGCCCTAAACCCCTACTCAACCCGTGCCTGTTTAGGAGCCCGATGGTGCTTCAGGCGTTTGTGTACGGCGACTCTCTCCGGTCACAGCTTGTTGCGGTTGTGGTTCCCGACCCGGAGGTGCTCCTGCCCTGGGCCAAGGAGCGCGCCATCGAGGGCGGTATTAAGGAGCTGTGTGAGAACCCCCATGTGGTGGATGCGGTGTTTAAGAGCATGCAGGAGCAGGCGCGGGAGGCGCAGCTGCGGGGCTTTGAACAGGTGGGTGGGTGGGTGGGTGCAGGGGAGGAGGTAGGGAGGGTGGATAGGGTCGCGATTGGGGGGATGGATGGATGGAGGGAGGGACTGAGGGAGGGAGGAAAGCAGATTGAACTCGTGTGTGCGCACAGGTGCTGAGGGAGTGATAAGGATGTTGTATGATGCCACGTGATGCCAGGTGGTTTGAGCCGGGTAGTTGTTCCGGCTGGCCTCATGCGAGCTGGCTTCATGCGAGGCTTTCCATGGATGCCCTCGGATCCTCGGATCATGGCTTATATGCCCCTGGTCCTGTTTCTTTTCAACGGCACACAGAGATGGCATGCTCTACTTGCTTTACGGGTCTTGATGTCCACGGCCAATCCACTGAGGAAGTGAGGATCCCCTTTTTCTTTCCTCTCTCTTTTCCCACCTCCCGCGGTCAGGTCCATGCCGTCCACCTTCACCCGGAGGCCTTCAGCGTGGAGAACGACTTGCTGACCCCCACCTTCAAGCTCAAGCGCCCCCAGGTGCACATGGAGGCCGTAGGGGGGAGGTGGTTCGGTGTCAGGCTTGAGTTGCGGACGCAAGAGCTGCCTTGCTACCGAGATGTAACTCTCTCCGTAGGACTTGCGCACCCGGGAGGCGGTGGTGGAGTATCAGCGCCCTTTCGCCCCTGGGCCTGCGGATGGTCGGGGAGCTCTCCTTCCCTCTAATCCTCTCCGTGCGTGCACACCTCTGGCTGGCTGGTCTTGCATGATGTGTGGCTATGATGATAACCCGAGCCGTGTCCTTTCGAACCCGCCCTCCCCTGCGCCCCCCTAGCCCAACGCCGCCCTCCCCTGCGCCCCCCTAGCCCAACACCGCCCTCCCCTTCGCCCTCCTAGCCCAACGCCGCCCTCCCCTGTACCCAATACCCCCTTTTGAGGCTAAACATGGAGTTTCCCTTAGTCCAAATGATCCCACCCGTTTCCACCACATGCTACCCGTGGAACAACTCACTACCCCGCCACCACCACTACCACCCTTACTGCCACCTCCAGGCCAAGGCCCGCTTTCAGGAGCAGCTGGACGCCATGTACACCCAGCTGCCCAGCTCAAGCTGAGGGAGGGCCCGCTAACGCGAGGACATCCCGAAGAGGAAGAAACGTGTTATCCTGAGGTGCAAACTGAGGAGGAAGAAGGATGAGAGACGGTGTCGGGAAAACCCTTTCGGAGGAGGGATTCGTGTATGCTCACCACTGGTAATGGTCCTGTCTATAAGTACTGAGGCCACTCCGGTGTCATGCTAGTGCTATCTAGAGCACTAGCATGGGCGAATGGTGTGTAGATGCCTATTGTGTTCCGTTTCTTTTGCGTGGGAATCTTTTCAAGCAGCGTAACGGTAGTGGCTGTCGTTATGATTGTAAGTAATGATGGACTCGTGATGTAACTTACCAAGGGACTGAAATGGATTTGCCAGTGCAGCGGACTGCAACCCCTAGGATACACAAAAAGGTCAGCAGCCGCTAGTGAGGTCCCTAGTGAGGTCCAGGGGAACACGCGTAAACCCTGGGTTTTCCAACTCGGTCAGCTTCCTTGGACAGAAGAACATTGTACATTTAGGCTCCTGCGATGCACACCGTTGCGCACGCCTTCTAGAGGGTATGTTGTTGTTGTTGTTGTTGTTGTTGTTGTTGTTGTTGTTGTTGTTGTTGTTGTTGTTACATGGTCGTGGGTGCGTTCCCCGTACCTGCAAACCACCCTAGTACGAGCCGAGGGCTCAAGGGCTGCCAAATCGCCTATAAGCACCATCCTACCTCGCACTTCCAGCGAAACAAGTGATGAAGTATACTAACGACCAAAGGGAACGATAGAGTTGCGGTGAGACCATATACGTTCCAGCATCCTTGCCAGGCGTTCAGGTTCCCACTTCATAGCGTCCTTCATATGTTCGAAGCGTGGAAAGCCCATATCAGATCTGATTCCGTCGTAAACCGGGCAGTCCAGCAAAATGTGTTTCTCATCCTCGATGTGGCTACCAGTGCCGCAGCAAGGGCATACTCGCTCCTCCCTAGGTATATAACGCCGTCCCTTACGCGTTCTGTTAGCCGCCAGTGCCCAACAGCAAAGCCTAAACTGCATAAGCTTGCGATTCGCCGAACGTGGGATAAACATTGTGATGTGCGGGAGCACCTCCTTCCTGCCCGCTTGCTCGGCCGCCAGCCCCATCCAATGCTTATACTTCGCCATGTGAATTCCTGGTTGCTTGCCGTCTCACGGATACACGTCAGGCTGGACATCTAAACGCGTATGCTTCCAACCACTCATTAATCGGTCCTTGAACTCCAAAATCACACCTTCTGGCATTGGTTTGTTCATCAGCCACTCCACTCGTTCGTCTACCTCGTGTAGCCCTTGTGGGGCCTCTTTCCATACATCGTGCCCCAAAAAACATAGAAAACGGAGGAGTAGTGTCCCCCATCCGGGCCCTTCGGGGTTGGAGAGGGATTCTGCGACCTCCTGTCGCAAAACTTGGTATGCCACAGACCCACGCTGTAAACGGACATGGTTCCAAAACCTCACAACCTGCTTGAGAACGTGGTAGTGTAGGGGTAGCTGCGATAGCTCTGCGAACAAGAGGCGGTGTGTTGGTCTGGCAGCTCCTACAATTTGCCGCATGAAAGATATCTGAAGCTGCACTGCCCTGTCCTTTAGGCACGCCTCAAAGGGCCCCTCTGCAAGGTTATTCGCATCACTCCGCTTCCTGAGCCTGTCCGAGACCTCAGCTAGCATAAACGGCCCCCACGCTTGACAACCATACAACAGTATTGCTCGTACCTGCGTATCGAAACACCTCATCCTCACATCTGGGGCGAACAACTTTAGCTTATCTATTTTTGCACTCAACGCGAACATAGCTGCTCTAGCTGTGTCATACAACTGCTGGCGGCAGGCCCAGAACTGCCGTTCCGGCCCATACACTAACCCCAGATATCGTGCACTATCCTTAGCCGGTATGGCCTCCCCAGCCAGCCTGAGCTCATCACACGATGCTTGGACAGCACTTCTAGTGTCGCTGTCACTCGCAAAAACGAGGCGTTCACATTTCGACACATTTGGGCGCATCCCAAAATCGTCACAGAACATGTCCACAATGTTGAGCAACTCTCCCATGCGTCCTGGTGTTGTTGCCAGAAGGCTAACGTCGTCGGCATAGAGAAGGATGGACACTCGCTCATTTCCAACCTCCGGTGCGTCCTCTGGCCGTGCCCCGGTAGTAATACCGTCGTGCATATCGATGACGTCCGCGAGGGTCTCAATGTAGAGCCCAAACAGCTCAGTAGATAGTGGGCAGCCTTGTTTCACACCCTGTTTTGACTCAAATTCACCTCCAGCCTTGCCATTCGTCTTGATGACCATCGTAACCTTATCATATGCCCGCATCAGCGACTGCAGCATGGACCCTTCAACCCCTCTCTCTTGCAAGCGAAGCCACATTATCTCCCGCGGCACCTTGTCAAACGCCTTCTCAAAGTCAATTTGCACGATGATTAACGGCCGCTGTCCCGGTTGACTGTGCCTAGTAGTAAGGTACTGCTTGGCAAAGAGATGATGTGTAGTACCGAAACCTCTTCTGAAACCCGCTTGGCCTCGATGCCTAAGTGAGAGCGTCTCCCCTGTGCGAACGAGCCTATCCAGGAGGACCAGCGCATAACATTTCGCCAAAGCGCCCCCTACTGCTATGCCCCGGTAGTTACTCGGCATGCTGGGGTCCCCCTTCTTGTAAATAGGGGTGAGGACGGTAGTTGTAAACTGCCGTGGGAAGTCCCCAGTCGCCCTGATATGCTCCAGAAGCACGTGCAGTACCGGAACAAGCTGATCACTTCCCCCCGTCGCCTGCCCCCACCATTACCCGACGCGGAGCCTTCTTCCTCTCGGGGCAAACGCGCATAGCGGTAACATTCCGACGGCGCTACTTCCAAACCTGGTGCCTTACTGTTAGGCAGCCTGTCAACAGCACGTGCGACTTCCTCCAGCGTGAGAGGGGGGTCTAGGATTTCTGCTGCCTTCGCAGTCCTACCCAAAACCGAGTGGGATGACCGCCATTCCTGCCCCTCTAGAAACTGCCCAAAGTTAATGAAGTTCAAGAGCCGGTTCGCACCATCAGGCCCTGTCTCCCCTACACCTGCGTTTAAGAGCCCAGCAAAGTGTTCCCTGAAGACCTCAATATCGTCTATCGCACATCGCTCCCTCAACTTCCCTCCTAAAGCCCGCCACAAAGCTCGTTGGTCATGCCGACATTTGGCCACAAAATCTCTCATCCTATCCTCCTCATAAGCCGCCCTTGCGTGTCTTTTTGCCCGGTTATAATCCGTCCGTGCATGACGGAAAGCCTCCCACTCCGGACCCGATTTATTACTCACCCGGCCTGGACCCAGATGTGCTCTACTCTCCAACATGCGTTGCCGTGTTTGTTGACATTCCCGGTTCCACCAAACCGTATTCCCACCTGCCGTCATGCCGGTAGGTCGGTGGGTATCGAAGGCCCTCACCAGGACTTTGTACAGGGCACCTCCAATGCGTTCGACAGCTTGTGTGGTGTTGCAAACTCCCCTCTGCAGGTCCTCGGCCACTTGGCTTAAGGCATTCATAGTAGGGGACCCCCCCTCAAAATATTCCGCGTAATCCTGGTATCGTGCAATATCAAACTCCACCCGGGCTTTCCGGCCTTTACCGTCCCTACACCTGCTTTCGTCATCCACTGTAACATTAAGAGCAAGCGTCAAAGGACGGTGGTCGGTGGGCTCCCATCCATCCAACTCGATCAGGTTTCCTACCCTCAGAAAGGTGGCATACTGCTGAAGCACACGTGGAGTCGCTATGAATAAATCGATCATACTACCGCCTGCCTCCCCCTTAGGGAAAGTTAGGCGGCCTTCTGGGTCCCCTCTTATCCGGCCGTTCATCACGAGCAGTCCCTCGGATCTGCAGAGCGCCCCAAGCTGGGCACCCAGAGGGTATGTGACTAGCCTAGGAAAGCAAACCCTTGAAGGTGGTTAAGGGTAAAGACTGTTGAGGGTGAGGTGGCATAAGGAATCATAGCCGAACACGATTGCCACTCGCAATCTAGCTGGATAGTCTAGCTGGCGGATCCCAGCACCAGCGATCGAAGCACCATGGCACGGACGCCGTTGTTGAATTTCAGTACATGAGGTCGGATAGATAGTGCTGCCCAGATAATGAAGGACATCACCAACATCAGGGCTCATGGGTACCAAAGGGGGATGCTTCCCCCTTCGGCATCCCCTAAAGTTCTTCCCCTAACGGGGAACTTTAGTGATGACTTTGAGGTCTTCCCCTAAAGGGGAAGTTTGGGCATGAGCTCATCATGTCTGTCGGAACAGCAGGAGATGGAGCGGACGGGTCGAGAGATCAACGGACATTCACGTCTCTGGTGTTGGGTGGATCATCCGCCATGATGGTGTACCTGGCGGGTACCTGATGTGGAGTGCGGCCCAAACGTACTTTACGTATAGCGTTTATTTCCGTGAGACGGTTTCTGAGTGCAGATTTGGCAGAGCCGCTAGAAGCCCCCCGGGGGCCAAGCACTTGCCGTACCAAGTTGGCGTTTCAAAACGGTAAAGGGTAAAATGAACGTGACGCTAAAATGTCGTGACACCTGGAGCTCCCGCTGCAGGGCAGACAAAGAGGATTCGGTTGCGGGCGCAGCTACAGATAAATGACGGCTTTGCGTCGGCGGTGCGAGGGCGGGAAGCTGCCGGAGTAACCGGGAATAGGAGATACAATGGTTGTGTAGGATGCAGCGCACAAGGTTCAGTATATGGGAGTCAGTGTGTGGGCGGTGAAACGTCAGGAACATGGATGCGACCTGGCTGGCATTCATGCGTCGCAACGAGCGAAGGGGGATTGTCGTACTAATGAGCACCTCAACACACGTGGTCAACACCTGCGGTGTGCAATTCACGTTTTGTTTTCCCAGGACGCCGCATGAGCTTAAGCTACATCTTATGCAGGCGTTTGAGCGTGATAAGGTAAGGCGAGCCGTGTGTAGAGACGCTGCGTGCCCGCTTCTGCCTTGCGTTGGGCAATTCCGGTGGTGGCTCAGCGTTGGATTTGCTAAAGAAAGACGTTTCCATTGCCATGATTGCTCTCTCACACCTAAGTTAAACAGGTACCAAGGAATCCTGCCCATGCTCATTGCCGATGGTACAGCCTGGCATGCGCCGAAGCTAGAGCTTGGCGAACGGCGAATCGTGGTGTAGCCTCAGCGGCTCCCAATCTGACGAGACACTGCTGGATGTCGCTGGATTGTTTCCTCCGACTTTGGACAAGGTTTGCACCATACCACACTTTGCACCATACCACAAGCAGGGAGGAGCGAGTATGCCCTTGCTGCGGCACTGATAGCCACATCGAGGATGAGAAACACATTTTGCTGGACTGTCCGGTTTAGGACGAAATCAGATCTGATATGGGCTTTCCACGCTTCGAACATATGAAGGACGCTATGAAGTGGGAACCTGAACGCCTGGCAAGGATGCTGGAACGTATATGGTCTCACCGCAACTCTATCGTTCCCTTTGGTCGTTAGTATACTTCATCACTTGTTTCGTTGGAAGTGCGAGGTAGGATGGTGCTTATAGGCGATTTGGCAGCCCTTGAGCCTTCGGCTCGTACTAGGGTGGTTTGCAGGTACGGGGAACGCACCCACGACCATGTAACAACAACAACAACAACAACAACAAGCAGGGTAAAAGCAGAGAATGCTTTCGGCTTAGCAGGGTGACACATGCAAAAGTACCCATTGATCGAGGTGAATCTGCGCCTGGAGGTTACTAGTCACACAGCTGATGTACGGCAGTTATGTCTTATTCGACACGCTTATTGCATTGTCATGTGCTTACTGCCTTTGACTTAATGCAGATGCGAGAGATGCGGACATATGGCGGCTGAGACGTGGCGCTGTCGAGCGAGTAGAAGAGCATAATCTGAGCGTAACCTTCGCAATGATCATACGTACAGTTCTGTCGTCGAGTGCAATCTTTATGGCTTATACACGTTGTTCCCCCTATCACTTGGGTCTCGTAAAAATAAGTTCCGTCCCCCGAATGGGTTATGATGTTGGGAAATAAATCCTGGGCGGTTTCGCCTCTTGCGTCGGACCTGTGGCCACCCCTGGTGGTGTACTCGCATCAGCAGGGCATGAGTGATATGGGCACTGCTCAGGATCTTCAAGCGACTGCTACGAGGTTCCATAACTGCGAAGTGCAGGATGGGGTTCTGTTGCCAGGATTGTGGATGGAACGTGGCGCCTAATAGGATTGCGGCATTGCAGTTACTTACACAGCGATCGCAGCGCAGTCGCAAGACTGTTGACCAAAGAAACAAGGTACGCACACCGTCGCCCGTGCAGCAGTCTCGTTGGGCCGACCTGAGCGAGTCGCGTCGGATAATTGCTACTGGACTGTTCGGGAAAGCTGTTTCCAGGTCCCATGTATTCCTATTTTCCCCCCTGAACTAACGCATCGCCGGACCGTCTCCCTAACCTGTGGTGCTGTACAGCGCATACAGTTGCGTACGTCACGGTTGTACGCTGATAACAGCCACAGTTACTTGCGACCGTGTTTCAAGCGTGTTATGAGGCCGCCAACGCAACGGATTCTAGGAATGCATATTTCTGCCACTGGAAGCAAGGTGGCAGTTATCACTAACTTAGCTGCGAGAACGTCTCACTAACGGCTCCTGGTAGCATCTAGATTCCCAAAGCACGTGCTGCCTTTGATTCTATATATCCTTCTTAGATCTAAAAAAACAAATTGACGGTTGCCCTACTTTACAAGTCAACGTGAACATCAATCAGCTGTGCCAAAATGCCTCCATATGGCTCAACCCGCAATTTGACACATCAGTTTATACGACTAAGAAATGAGGCACGCAAGCTTCAGGGTATTGGAACGGTTGCGCAGAGCGACAAGTGAGTTGCAATACGCAGATAGAGAGCGTGGTGCAGCTGCTCAGAATATTGTAGCCAGTGATCCTAACTATGGTTGACCCTACGCCGGCGCTTGAAGGGCCACGGAGAAGTTGATTAGTGCGGCGTTGGGGAATTCATCCGACGTTGAGGCACCGGGACCTTCTACCAGCTCGTCTGTGGCACCGGTTTGGGTTCAGCAGTCCGAGCGGATTCGGCAAGAGCTTAAGGTCTTAAAGGAGCGTATTGCGAAGCTGAGAGAGTAAGTCTAAACCCGGCAAGGCTACGCGCTTGCGCAACTATTTAGCCAGTCTTGAACGAACCTCATGCCCCCCACCTCAGGTACCATCGTAAAGCCCTTCTTGTCACATTCGACGGGGAAAATGAAGCGCAGGTTCACGCGGAGACGCTGACCCGGGAGGTCCAGCAGAGCTTTAAGCGGCTAGACGCAGCGATCCGCATTGTTGGCGAAACGACCGGGCCCAACGACGATGCTGAGATTCGGAAACAAGTGCAGCAGCAGCTGGCGCAGGTATGCCAGAGCGCGGCGCAGGTGTCCCACATGGGACTGCACGGATAACGTGCCCGCCTATGCAGCACCGCGCTGGTGGCGGCGACAGCATGTGGAGTCACGGGGGTGTAATGTAGATGGGGAGGCTTCAAAGTCTCGTTTTTATGCCCACTGGGGTCCTATTCCCCGCGGCCATGCTGCCTGCCTGGAACCAATCCGTGCATGCCGCACCGATACTTTTGTCCCTCAGGCCCTGTTCAAGCTGTCTTTGGAGTTCCGGCGCGAAGAGACGCGCTTCCTGAACAAGGTTGAGGAGCATAAAGGCATGGAGAAGGGTTCGTCCATCGGCGTGATAGCGGAGGAGGAGGGAACGTGGTGAGGCAGGGGGTCACGGCAGGGAACATGGTCCAGCAGTGAGGAGGGCATAACGGGGTCAAAGTCACAGTACACAGGGCCGGCTATGGTGGCGGCGTCGCACAGGTATCGCGGCCTCCTGGTATTGTAGTCCAGAAGCATGTGATGGGGAGGAAACCTGGACACGCGAGAGTTGTCCTGAAGTTCGGAGGGACGCCTCGCGTGACCGTGATGGGACCCTACAATGGGACGCGTGAGGATGGGGCTTGGTGGTCCGGGCCTTGGCATGCCCTGTATATGGTTGGTGACGCCCGGGGAGATGGCGTGCATTTGGTTACTGGTTCCGCAATCCAGAATTTTAACCTAAGCAGAATGCATTAGCCGGGTGTTTATACGTTGCACCTGGAAGCGGGAAATGGGATGCAGCGTGGGAGCTTCGCTGGTAGCTGTTTATGGACGGCGAGCTTCACATCCTGTGCACAACGTTCAGCAGCGCAATTGTGCGCAACCCCGGTGGTCCTGCTGCCCAGCTGATGTATCCCATTTGCTGTCCGCATACACGCGCACTCTTTACACGTGCAGGACTGGTGGCGAGTTGATGGACCCGGGCTTCACGCAGGCTCAGATGGCCATGGTGGACATTTCAACAAATTTGGTCAATGAGCGGGATACGGAGATCCGCAAGATCGTGGAGACGATTGCGGAGCTGGCACAGATCATGAAGGATCTGGCCACGCTGGTGATCGAGCAGGGAACCATGCTGGACCGCATCGACCAAAACGTTACGCAGACAGCCGTCAAGGTATGTGGATGGGAAATGGTGGTGGGAAATGTCAGGGAGGGAACGGAATTGGGGGCGTGGGAAAGAGCACGATGCGACCTGCGGAGAAAGGCAGGTTCCAATGTCCGCGTCGGGCTGTTTACCGGTTGATTTGCTGCGTGTGTCGTGCTGAGGAGTGGCGGCTTCGTAAGTCTTTTGTGGCTATCCCTGGACGAGGTGCGGGATGCGTTTTGCATACCCTGGTGTTTCTGTCTGGTGCTCCGTGATCCTCTCCCTGCTCGATGGTGGGTTGCTTCTCCTGGCTTTCCTTTCTGTCGGCTGATAAGCGCTGACCCCTTAACACGCGCCGCATGTTAACGGGTTAACCAAGCCTTTTACCCCGAGCGTCTCCGTGAATGGGCCGCTTGGGTTGCAGGTGGAAGAGGGCGTCAAGCAGCTCAAGGCGGCAGAGACGACGCAGAAGCGCGGGCGCATGTTTATGTGCATCATCGCACTCATCTGCATCATAGTGCTCTTGCTGATCATCGTCATCATCCGCCACGCATAACGCCAGGACAGGCCAAGCCAGGCCAGACTAGGCCGCTGCTTGCTTTACATCCTCGTACAAACCTCGTAATGGACCTGATATGACGGACGGAACGAAAACCTGTTCGTTCGGTTTGTGTGGTGGACTCGCGGGAAGGGGCTGACCACGTGCGACGCGAACAGACCAGGTGGCGGACGGAGGCTCCTTCACTGGGAGCTCTTCCTTGATTGAGCGGAAGTGTCCTGGGCTTGAGTCCAAACCTTGCTGAGGCAAAAAGCAGGCCGTCATTTAACCCTGGGAATACTGCATGAGACCAAGCTGTGGCCGCTTGGATTGATTGTGGGAGAGGAGCACCCATGGTCCGGACGTCGGGGGTCATTAGACGTCCTCCGGCTTGTCAATGGACTGCAGGTGAAATATGCATGCGAGGGAGGTCTTCCCGTGCCTGACCTTTGGCCCCCGACAGTGGGGCGGGTTGGTGGCATCTCCCTCCCCCAGGACATTGCGCCTGTGTGCGTGGTTGCTGACGTGGACGGTTGGGCATGAGCGGTGTGCAGTGCAGTGAGTTGTTTTGGGGTTACCCCGCTCCCCCTGCCAACCAAACGCACGTGATCAACACAATGCTTATGTTCTTTTCGGCTGTGTGATAGGGAAAGCTGTCCTGAACGCTTGGGATCTCAGGTTTGTAACTTTGCAGGAGGACCACCCAATGTGGGCCAGCTGACAAAGCAGTCGGTATATCCGGCCAATCTCTCATTTATATCTCTAATATTTCTAATGTAGCAACTTAGGGCGCTGTGGGCAAGGACTGGTTTCCAGAACGCCTGATTCGGTGGATTGGCAACATGCGGCTGCGGATTGTCCTCAATGAGCTATTGAGTTGCATTTCAGCTCCCATCTACCAGGTAAAATCAGGAGATTACACTGTGGCAAGAGAGGAACGTTAACTCCATGACCGTGCGCTGGGGACCCGGAAAGGAGGATACAGTTTGGGGATGGACAAGCCCACCTTGCGCAGAGGCTTTCCATAGGCGTCTGTGCACGATATATGCGCACACATGCACACGTGCGTGCATAATACATACATCACGTGTTCACGTCACGTAACCGTCTGCATAGTACTGGGGCTGGCAATGACAGTGCCAAACATTCATTTGTACAGGCGAAAACGGATTAACGCTGCCGACAATATACATGCCCCACGTCATACAACTCGGCTGTCAAGGAGCAGAGGAGGGGCAGAGACATGGCCCCGCTTGGCAAGCGTCCCTAAGCCTCTTATAGGCCGCCCTTTCCTCAACCCAACCGGCAAGGCCCCAACGCAATCATAGCTCACTAGGGGCAACGCATGTGCAACGCACGCTTTAGCAGGGTAAGACAACAGCCACAATATAAAACACTGTACCAGCGTTTGCCAGGCGCAGCTACAACAACCACACCTGCGCCGTTTCCAGTGTGCTATACCGCCATCTCGCCACGTCCTCGTGGATATGCTCCGCTCCTCACACACTCACCTCATCGCTCTACGCAACCCTAATCTCTTCTCTCCCAGCACCACACGGTACCGCCCTGGACTGCATCCTGCATCTCTCAAACTCGTCTTTTAATACCTAACAGCCTCTCCTGCCACACCACGCCAGGCCGCCTCCCTACTCGGTAGAGCAGCCGCTCCCCATCGCAGCTAAACCTGGCTTTTCCCAGCTCCAACACAACCACTCGAACGTCCTCGAACATTTCTCCACACACGCAAACCTACCCCTTCCCCTGCATTTCCCCTGCTCCTGTCCCTGCCCTATCCCCCACAATCTTCCAAGCAGACGCACCAAAAGGTCAACATCATAACTGCGGCAGCTTCTTGACAATCTCCTGCTCCAGCTTGGCCACGTACTGCAGCTTGTTCGTCAGAGTCACCGCCGCCTCCATGTCGTCAGCACGGAAGGCGGCCGACAGAGCCGACACCAGCTTCTCTTGCTGCTTCCGGTTGTGACCTAGTAATGCGGATAGAGCAGCGGGGTCGTCCGTGTTCTCCACCTCCTCGCGAGCTTCCATTACCTAGGGACATGGAGGGGTTGTGGCTTGCGGGTAAAAACCAACGGCACAGAATGAAGCAGAGTTGAGTAGCTGGCTACTAAGCGGGTGTAAGGATCCACTACTGTCCGCGTACGAAAAAGCTGCTATTTGGACGGAGGCCGGGTGGAGGCTGCTGCCTGCAGCGACAGCTGCTGTGTTGGGTAATTGCCGACATTCATGGCTTGCGCTGCTTGCTCGGTGTCTTCAGCCATCGAGTCTCCGCCACCTGGGTCCTCAACTCCCGAATCTTCCCAGCGGTGGCTGCGTCCGTCCTCGGTTCCCGCACTACGCCTGATTCCATGATTTTACCGCCCTAATTTCCGCACCGTTCGCTACTGCAAAGTCAAACCCAAGTATCCCTACCTCGCCTGGGGTGTGTTTCGTGCTGCTGTTGAACTTTGTACCCTGTTGGAAAGTGACCGACACTCATGTACACCAGTAAATGTTGACAGCAGTAATGGGACCCGAGGGGACCTGTGGCGCTTTGTTGGCTCTAACGGGCCCTTAACGGGACGCCGTGGGTTACCTTCCCTTCCCTAGCCAGAGGAGCTTCTGGACACCCCCCCTTCCCTCAGCCCTCACCTCCATGAGCAGTTCGTGGTCCTCAAAGGTGCCCTCGAAGTTGTCCCCCGCGTTGATGCCACGAAGAGCCAGCTGGAAGGGAGAGAGGGGGGTGGGAAAAATGAGCCGGGCGCGGAAGGGGAGGGGATTACCGGGCAGTGGGGTAGGGAGGGAGGAAAAGGAAGGAAATCCCATCGCCGGTATGTATGGTCCTCACACGTACATCTATAGGCATATCATCTTCCTGTCACGCCATTCTTCCCTCCGTCCTCATAACCCCTCCTCCTTTTCACACCCGAACCCGCACCCGGGCGGCCCCCCACGTGACAGTTCTGACGCCTTAGGCTCAGACAGTTAGCAGGTTTTGCATTCTCTTTCCCAAGCCGAACTCCTCAACCCCAAAGCCCCTCCATGACCCTACCAGATAGTTTGCTCTGGACAGTGGCGACTTGAGTATGGAGTAGGCAAGGTTGACAATGGAGGCCTGTTGGGCGGAGAACTCTTGCTCCTCCGCGGGCTTGTGGCCCATCTTGTCCGGGTGCAGGTTCCATTGCAGCTGCTTGTAGCGCCGCTCCAGCAGCTGGGGACTGATGTCAAATGAGGTTTCGGGCCTGCAAAGAGGAGAGGGAGGTTGCGGAGGTGGTGGTGGTTGTGCGTGCATGTGTCAGAGGTGAGTTGTAGTTAGTTAAGGAGCTCCGTAACGCCCGCTGTACGACAATGTGCGGGATCATTTTGAAGGGGACAAATAATTGCTTGTACTACAACGGGGAGTTGCGTGAGTTTGGCGGATGGCCAGTGCACGGGCTTTGGTTGCGCGGAAACTATGTGGCCGGGCCCGCCCGTCGGTTGACCGCCGGTGCTTACAAGGAGAAAAGCTCAAAGTAGTTGAGGGATTCGTCCGGGGGTTGAATTGTTTCGCAGCCGTGGCACACAAGGCCCCCCCGCTTGACGAGCTTGTCGCAACTCCAGCAGGCTTTCTCAACGTCCTCGAGTGAGATCGGGCGCCGGCTTGCGCCATGGTGCTTATGTTGGTGGCTTTTGCCACCGCAGTGCTGGTGGTCGTGATGGACGCTCCTCCAGACGGACGCTGCTGGCGCTGGATTGGATCTTCGTGCCCAGAGGTGGCGGATTGGGGTTACGACCTGCTCGTATGCGGGTGCTGACGTTGACGGCTGGATTGCGTCACCCGGCGAATCTGCTGCCACAGGAAGCGAGCTGACGCAAAAAGAAGAAAGTTCTCTGCGTCGGCGACCTATAAATGTCACTATTCCCCGAGCGCTCATGGGTCTCTTCTGCTTTTCACGTGGTTGCGGTATGACGTGAGCAGCTTTTAGTAGGCACGTCAAATGAATTAAAAGGATATAATTTACACCTCAAAGAAAACTTTGGGAAAACAATTCACGTGCTGCTCGGAATGTTTTTCCCTTGCAAAGCTCGTACAGCTGCCGTTAGTCGTTCGTTTCGTTGGCGACCTAAACATCTAATACATGGTGACTGACGGTGCCACTGGTAGACGAGTGAGTCGCATCATAGGATTTCAGTCGCGCGCTTGAAGCAGCTCTGCACGTTGGGCATCGGCAACCTCCTTGCATCAGTTTTCACAATCTTGACGACTTGTGACATGATGCCTCCCACGACATTAAAATTGGCTGGAGCCAGCGCGCTTGCAGCTGCTCTGGCCGTGGCGGTCAGCAGGCCACGGGCGGTGGGCAGGCTGATGCGCACCCTCGTCTCGCGCGCAGCCGTGGGCCCCGCCTACGCGGCCCTGCCTCCTCCTCAAAAGGTAAGCATTAGAGAACGGCGCCACTTATGTGCAACAGCTGTGCAATACAACCGCTCCAGCTGCTGCTAAGAACAGGGGTCTAATTCTGCATCAATTTTTCCTCTCGCTTTCCGTGTGTTGCTCCCGGTCTCCACGACGCCCTCCTATCCCCTCTCGCGGATGCTGTCCGGCCCCGACCCCTCTGTACCTGCTCCCCCCTGGCCTCCTGTCTCCCCGTGTGTTTGGGTTCTGTAGGTCAAAGTCGCGGTGTGCCAGATGCATGTGACCGCGGACAAAGCGCAGAACCTGCAGACAGCCAAGAGGGCCATCGAGGTAGGGACGCCTGGAAATGGGGTTAAAGAGGGAACGGGGAAGAGATAAACGGCCACAAGATGGGCGAGAGGGGTTCCTTTCCCTGGGCACCAGGCGCTCGGTCTGAGCGAGTACCAGGCCGCCCCGCAGGGCTAATGGAAGACGGAGTTGAAGACGGAGGCTGAGTGGTCTATCAGCTGGAGGCGGCGTGGAGGCTGAGAAACGAATTGCAGGGCCGCTCGGCTCCAACCCTGTCCCCTATAAAGGAAGGGAAAGGACGATGGTATGGGCCCCTGGGGGACCCGCCCAGATCCTAGCCCTGCGAGCGCGGGGGCGACCTCCAGGCGGCGTCATCTCCATCGTCCATTCGCCGCACCTCACCTTATCCCGCTTGGCTTGTTCTGGCCCGTCCCTCCTCCCTCCGAACTTCCTCGAGTAGGACGCTGCTGCCCAGGGCGCCAAGCTGGTGGTGCTTCCGGAGATGTGGAACTGCCCCTACTCCAACGACTCATTCCCCACATACGCCGAGGACATAGAGGGCGGGGCTAGCGGCAGTGTGGCCATGTTGTCGGCGGCGGCCGCGGCTGCCTGCGTTACGCTGGTCGCGGGTTCGATCCCTGAGCGATGCGGTGACCGCCTGTACAATACGTGCTGCGTTTTCAACTCGCGCGGCGAGTTGCTCGCGAAGCACCGGTGGGTGCTGTTGATGGCGGTGGTCCCGGATTCATGATGTAATCCTGCTTTGTGAATGGGGGTGCATGGACTGCATTGTTGACGTGTTCCTCCGGTGCTGCTCTGCCCTCTAGCCCCTCTGGCCCTTTCCGTCCTGCTTGCATCCGAGTTTAGTATGTTCTGTGCTTTCCTCCTCGTGCATTTTCCCGTTTCCCCTTTCCTGTTCAGCCAGTATCTGTTGGGTGTCACTTGGGGCTGTTAGTTACGAAGGGAATGGCGGCTTGGTGTTGTGCTGGGCGGGGTGCTAATGGCGTCTGGGCTCTCTTCTCTTCTTTTTCCCCGGCAGGAAGGTGCACCTGTTTGACATTGATATCCCCGGGAAGATCACCTTCAAGGAGTCGCTGACGCTCAGTCCGGGTCCAGGGCCCACCGTGGTGGATACGGAGGCGGGGCGACTGGGGATCGGGATCTGCTACGACATCCGGTTTCCGGAGCTGGCGCAGCTGTACGCGGCACGTGGCTGCCAAGTGCTCATTTACCCTGGTGGGTGGGTGGGTGGGTGGATGGGGCAGGGCGGGTGGGTGCGGCAGGGCGGGTGTGGCAAGGCGGGTGTGGCAGGGCGGGTGCGGCAGGGCGGGTGCGGCAGGGCGGGTAGGTTACCTTTGGGGCGTGGATGGGTGGAGGTGGAGGTTGGGTGGGAGGGCGAGGGAGGGTTTGGACGGTTGGGGGATGTGGGGGATGGATGGCCAGCACGTGGGGATCGGATCGGGGTGTAGCGGATGTTCCTCGGCGCGGACGGCCGCCGCCGGATGGGGTGTGGGGCAGTGATGTGGGACCTCCTGCTGTCAGCCCGGTTTTCCTCCGGCAACCACATCGCCGCCTGTTGCCGCGGGCTTCTGGTTCACGTCCTGGTTCGTCGACGGCCGTTCTTATTTCTCCTGGGTACGTGAGCAAAGCTCACGTGGTTTAGTCCGAGGATCGAGGATTTGCTGTTGCGCTGTGTCGCACGCTATCCCGTGATGCTGCTGGGCGGGAGGGCGTGTGTTGCACGCGCACGCGTGTACCCCTGCCCCGAGGGGTGCACCGGTCCTCGTGCTTGGGACCCCGCCGTGGACGGCAGCAGCACTACACGGCAGCAACGCATTGACCCCCTCCACTCCTTTCCGTGTCATTGTCGCGCTTCCTCTGCGGCTCTTCTCTGCGCTTTTCCAGGTGCCTTCAACATGACCACGGGCCCAGTTCACTGGGAGCTGCTAGCGCGGGCGCGTGCCGTGGACAACCAGATCTTTGTCATCACGTGCTCACCAGCACGCAACCCGTCATCCTCATACCAGGTGGGGGGGGCCCTTGGCGCGGTGAAGTACGGAAGTTTTGTTGAGGTGTTGCATTAGCACTAACCAGCTCGGGATCCAGATCCCTCTGAATAGTTGAGAGAGTGGTATGTTGTAATAAGGCTTCGTGGCAGCTGCACCGGAGTGCGTGGTTCGTTCGGAGGAAAGAGCGGGTTTGACTTGTCAGGATGCCCGTAGTCCGTTTTACGGCCTTGACCTTCCCTTACCGAGTTTTCAAAACACCCAACACCCTACAGGCCTGGGGCCATTCTACAGTGGTAGGGCCCTTTGCGGAGATCCTAGCCACCACGGACCATCAGCCGGGAACCATCTACACAGAGCTAGACTACTCGCAGCTGGCGGAGCGGCGGGCAAATATGCCGCTGCGGCAACAGAAACGGCACGATCTCTATGTGTTGCTGGACAAGACAGCATAACATTTACTGGGCGATGTTTTGAGATATCCAGGGATTGCGTCGTGGCGGTATGAGATGTATCGGTACGAGTGGCGCCATGACGGCTTTGGTTTTGGGTATTGCACGCAGACGTGTCGCATATACCACAGAGTCAAGGGTGGTGTTGAAAAACACCGTAATACGAAAGATACCGCAACATGCTTTGTCACCAGAGCCACCAATTTGTCTCAGGCGGAAGTGAACTTGGTGACAGCCTTGGTACCTTCCGAAACCGCGTGCTTGGCCAGCTCGCCAGGCAGTACCAAGCGGACTGCCGTCTGAATTTCGCGGGACGTCACGGTGGGCTTCTTGTTGTACCGGCTCAGTCGGGATGCCTCGGTGGCGACTTTCTCGAAGATGTCGTTGATGAAGCTGTTCATAACAGACATGGCCTTGGAGCTGATACCGGTGTCAGGATGAACCTGCTTCAGCACCTTGTAGATGTACAGCTTGTAGGTTTCGCTTTTGGCGACCTTGGCCTTCTTCTTAGCCTTCTTCTCGCCCTCCTCGCTACCAGCAACCGGCTCCTTCGCGGCCTTCTTCGCAGGCGCCTTCTTCTCCTTCTTCACCTTTGCCGCCTTAGGCTTGGCATCGGCCTTGGGCTCAGCAGCATCAGCCGGTTGCGAAGCGGTCTTCTCGTCCTTCTTAGGGGCCATGGTAATCAGCGTCGTCGACGGATCAACAGTAAGGGGTGTGAGATATAAGTAAGTTTGTGGAAAACATGAAACGTTATAATAGCCGATGACTTGGGTTTGGCTCGGTGATACCCGCTCGGACTACGCCAACGGTGTCGTACGCAGACAGTTGCCCCACTGAGCTTTAGGATGTTCAGTGACATAGATAAATAAGCGGTTAGCAGCTTTTGCAACATACATATCGTATTGTTACTTAATCCCATATCCTTATTATCAGTGAATTTCTATGGCTGGTCGTGGCAAGGGAAAGACTGCCGGCAAGAAGGCCGTCAGCCGGAGCGCCAAGGCAGGTCTGCAGTTTCCAGTTGGCCGCATTGCGCGGTATCTAAAGAAGGGCAAGTATGCGGAGCGTATCGGTGCCGGTGCTCCTGTGTACCTGGCCGCTGTGTTGGAGTACCTGACCGCTGAGGTGCTGGAGCTGGCCGGCAACGCTGCTCGGGACAACAAGAAGAACCGCATCGTCCCGCGCCACATCCAGCTGGCCATCCGCAACGATGAGGAGCTGGGCAAGCTGCTGGGTGATGTGACCATCGCGTCCGGTGGTGTCCTGCCCAACATCCATGCAGTCCTGCTTCCCAAGAAGTCCAAGGGCAAGGCTGAGGACGGCTCTGCAGCTATCTAAGTTCATCTATAACCATGTCTCACAAGTCCCCGGTGTTTTTAAACACCACCTAGTATATTCGTGCGTCAATTCAGTTGAGGGTTATGTAATTGATGAAAAGCAAGGACGCGGGGGCGGCGCACTTGTTATAAAAGCAGAGCGATCCCATTCCGAACAAAGGAAGCAGATAGGGTCTTGCATGCCATCAAGCCAATCAATGACAGGTGCTGGCATTCTGGCACTGAAATGCGCTCTCATAGTAGTCATGCTCTCCTTATGGGTCGCAGTTACGGATGAAATTAAAGTTCCGGCTCTCAACATTCTCAAGTGTATAGGAGGAAGAACTCAAAGAGCTGCTGTGCATATCATACGGTGGCAATATGCCGTTATGCATAAATGGAATGCTCTGCCGTAGGATTTAGGCCGCGCGACCATTTACTGTGCAAATAAATAGGGGGGTCCTTGTGAAGCAGCTGCCCGCGTTTCCAAAGCACGTATGGTGTTGGATTGTAAGGTGCCCAAGTACGTTTGCGAGGAAGAGAATGTGGCCAGGCTGGAGAGGAAAGTGCAGTGGCATCAGTCCTCAGTTCACTTCTTGGAACGAACATCAGCATAGGTCCAAGCTCTCTCGCTTGGAGGGATATGCAAACAAACATCCTGATAGGGGTAAACTCGCACGCTACCGAGCATTCAACCGAGCACATGCATGCTTAGTTGAATGGTGAGATGCGACCCCGCCTTCATTTCGAGTTCGGCAAGCCTGCCACCGCGTACCGGATATGTTGGCGATGTTACAGAACACTGCACCTTGGTTTCTGTGCGCATTGCGTACGCTGCTCGACCCCGCCGACCAAAACTACACGTGCTCAACTGAAGACATTCCCGGTGGTTGTGCAGCAGCTCTTGAGGCTGTTGCTGGCTGAAATCCATCCTGAGCTGTTGCAACACGGCTAACGCGGGCACGTCCCTATGCACAGCAAATAGCTGTTCCAAGCCAACAGCGGCGTCCATGTCACCGACAAGGCTCTAAACGTCTTATCTGTTCTTATGTTTAATTAAGTTTATGTATGTTATACTTTGCGCAACTTTGTAATTTGACTTTACTCTGAACAAGGTGCTGCATACAAAATTCTGCGTTGTTATATTTATTTCGTAAGAGTGTAAGTTGAGTTTAGTCAGAACCATGTGCATTATGCGCTGCGCTACCGAAAGCAGGCGCCTTATGGCTTGCACACAACTGCTTCTTCGCCGAACGCTTCATCTTCCCGCGGCAGTTTCACGAGCCCAGTGTTGCAAGCTATGACGTAGGCTTTCGGTGCTTTCAGTTGCTGCAAAGCAGCCACGCAATAGTCCAGCCTGCATGCCGCGTGCGACTATGGCCAACAAGACCACCTGCGCAATGCGCTGGCGCACCTCCAAGACATTTATATACACTTGTACAGGCGCATTTTGCGAATCGCACGCGCGCATCCGCACGGCAAAATTCGCTCCTGGCTTTTTTGGGACGATGTACGAACTGTTTATTCGGCACAGTACGACCGGACACATTTGTGCGAGGGGCTGCTTAACAAGACATGCGTTGCAAACTCTATGCCGTCCTGCCGGTTTTTTGCTGAAGTAGCATTGGCTATATAGTTCCATTGGTTAAAAAATAAAAATGGTTTAAAAATGCTGCACTTAACCAGCATTGCACGCTAGCGCCCTCTACTGTCGGTTTGCAGTTAGCCGTTCCCCCCATGATCTAAACGATAGGTTCAGCGATGGTTCTGCCAACGGCCAATACGTATAAAGGCTGCCCTGTTTCTTACCATAATAAATGTGAGATTGCAGTTCCGATTCTTCCATAAGCTTGCGTTGACACGTCTGAACGCGGCAAGGGTAGCAAAGGCATGGGCAAGGGTGGTACCAAGCGCCTTCACAAGATACTACGCGATAACATCCAGGGCATCTCGAAGCCCGCTATTCGCCGTCTGGCTCGCCGTGGCGGTGTCAAGCGCATCAGCGGCCTAATTTACGAGGAGGTGCGCAGCGTGCTCAGAAGCATCCTGGAAGACATCCTCCGAGACGCCCTCACCTACACGGAGCACAGTCATCGCGTGACCGTGCATGTCATGGACGTCATACATGCGCTCAAGCGGCAGGGCCGGGTCCTCTATGGTTTGGTTTCGGCGGCTGAAGAGATCCTCCGGCGACTGAGTACTTCCCAGGTGGAATGGTGGAAACAACCGGTGTTTTTCAACATCACCAGAGCCAAAGGTTATCATTACACAGAGATGGTGGCCCCGATACCCTGCCAGTTTAATCTCATTCCCTTAACGCTGTGCTATTGGACAGCACTGATGCGCTTCCGCAGATTCCCTCAACGACACAATTCTCTCATAAGTCTGCCTAGACCCCCAGGGGAAATCGATATTTATTGCAGCCAATGTACTATTACTCCAGTCCGTTGACGACGGAATCTATGAACTCCATGCAGCTTATAGGAAAGACGTTGATCGAATTCATGGACCCGTTGTGGAGGATAAATCTCATCTATATGTCACAGTAACAAGACGTGCTGGAGGGATCGTTCTCGTGAATAACGCTAGTCACCGCTCCGAAAAATGCTAACGGTATCGCGTGCTGTGCTGCCAACCGCATGTTAACGAAAAATCCCAATCCTAAATCAAGGCGTGAAATGCACCAAAGCCAATGTGATTGTAGTGTATTTTGCACGTTACACTTCGTCTGTACGATTAGGGAAATGGAGTTTTAAACGACGGTGACCGCAACGCTTGCAGCACATAAGCGTGGACGCAGACAGAATTCCATAATTTCCATATATAATCCTCGTTTAATCCTTTCTGCATATCCGGTCTGTAACGGTGCCTAAGGGCACTGTGTCGTCGCCGTCGCCGACGCAATGCACCTTCATGGGGCGCAACTTCGGCTTGGATACAGGTGCCCATCGCCTCCAAATTATTACTTAATTTCCAGATTGCACCTCAAATTGAGGCTTTACCAACAGGAAAACTTCAACAAGCTGCATTCCAGCCGTCGCCGTCCCAACCGCCCCAGCCTTACACCGGCCATGCGCGCAACTAAGCCGGAATGTGCTTGTGAGATCCTCAAAGGCGACCTCGCTCGGCTGGGATGTAAGTCGCGTGGGATTCCCCCCTGAGCGGTGTAATGTGCAAAATGCGTCAAACGGGCTGCAGCCCTTCATAACCTCTTCACTACTTCCCAGCACACCATGGCCACCGCATGCCGTGTGGCCGAAACGCTGCAGTACGGACCGTTTCGTGCCCTGTGCCTTCAGTGCCAAACCCACCTTCCCCTTGGGAGACCTCCCGCGGATGTGCCCCATCTCCTCTCCTTCCCGACTCACCCACCCAACCACAGGATCTGGCCAATGCACTGCCGCGGGCCAATCCGGAGAAGCGCGTGTTGCAGGTGCGTGTGTGTGTGTGTGTGCGAGAGGGGGCAGAGGGGCCTAGGAGTAACCTACCTTACTGGGGGGGGCTAGGTGGGTAGTTTTGTGGTGTTGGTGAGGAGGAGACGGGCAGAGGGGGAGAGCAACCGGAGCGGCAACCCCACCCCGATGGGGAGGGGAGGGGGAGAGGGTGGAGGTCCGGAGCGGTGAGCGAGCTGTCGTTATGCGGCTGCAGCCTCAGGTCGATGTGTGTCTGTATGTCTATTTGTGTATTCGTGTCTATATGTGTATCCGTGTGTGGCCTGGGCCGTTTGGGCGAGAGTATCCCTTTAGGGCCCGGGTTGGGATTGGGGTTGGGGGGGAGAGGGAAGTATCTTTGGCGGGAAGGAGTTTAAGTCGATTCCAGGCAAGGGGATCATTCGGCGCGGGCGGGCGGAGGGTGAGGGTGAGGGCTGGAGGGTGTGCGGAAAGGCTATCTCCCGATGCTGTTGTCGTTTTTGTCGTTATCGTCCTGCAGCCTGTGGTGCTGCTGCTGAGGTCATGTGTTTGCTGTGCTGTGTGCGCCGTCATTATCCTCCTCTTTTCCCCCCCTCCGGTGTGCCTATGTCCTGTTCAGGACATCAACTTCTTCCAGCTGGTTCGGGAGTGTCCTGATTGGGAGACCTTGCAGAGGATGGAGGAGGATCTGCGGGAAAGGTATGTGTGCGCGTGTGTGTGTGTGTGTGTTGGGGGGGGAAAAGACCTGCGGGGCAAGCAGCCTTATGGAGCGGGAGGGGGGAAGGGAAGGTAGCAAAGTACGACCTGAAGTACGGCATGCGTTTAAAAGCCAAAAGGCCAAAGAAAGGCACATTCTCCCCCCCCCTGTCCCCCCCACACCAACACCCCGCGTTAGCAGCGGCAGTGCCGTGGGGTGTTGAGGACTTGACGAGGCCGGGTGGGAGGGAGGGGGAGGGGGTTAAGGGGAGGGAGCCTCATTGCGTATGGGGCGCCGCATAAATGGAACGAAGGGGAAAGGCGTATGTTTGTGCGAATGAGTGTCTTTCGTGTCAATGTCAGAGATTTGAATCGCTGATGGATGCGGAGCGGGGGAGAAGGGGTCATAATCCCCCGGGGATGAAGCCCTCTTTTCCCCCCCCCCCCAAAAAGAGAGAAGCAGCTGTCAGTGAGACTCTACTGAAATGCCGTGCATTCATGCTTGTCAGGTACGACCGACAGCCCTCCCTGGCGATGGCTGTCCTGCTGCGCACCAGTGAGGTCGTGGATGTGGGCGCTCTGAGTGAGGCGCAGCGGAGGGAGGTGGCGCGGGTGTTGAACAGCAGTGTGGTGCCGTGCATCATTAAGAAGGGTATCTACAGGTACGTGTGGGGGGGAGCGGGAGGAGGGGGGAGGAGGAGGGGAGTTTTGGAGGGGTTGAGGTTGTGAGGGGGTTGCATGAGAATGACGTGCCGTGTGGAGGGTGGTGGGGTCGGAGGCCCCTAGTTGCGGCCGCCACCACTACCACCAACAACAACAGCACCCCCAACACCCCACCCTAACACCCCCAACACCCCCCCGCACACCCGCGGCAGCTATCGGCCTAGTTCGTTGCCGCCGCTGCTGGCGGCGCTGGCGGCGCTGCAGTACACCAATGCTCGCCTCAATGCCGTACTGCTGAAGTTGCTGGAGGTATGTGGGGAAGAGGGATTTGGTTGCTGATGGGGGGAAGGGAGGGAGTCGAAACCGTGTGTGTTTTGACACGGAAACAGGTTTCAGGCGGCACTGCAGGGAGGGGCTCCAGGGTCCTGACGGGAATACCCCTTTCCGACTCTGCGGCATCTTCATACACGCACAGAAACACACACTCTCTCTCACACACACACACACACACACAACACCCGCCTTTCTCCCCCGTTTTTTGATTCTCCCCTTCTTGCACGTGATGTGCCCTTCATCCCCCCGGGGGCTGTGGGCCCCAGAGCGCTGTGGACAGTCTCCTGCTGTCCCAGCTGTGCAGCGCGCTGTGCTCGGCGGCCGCCCTGGAGTTTAAGATGAGCCCCGAGCTGCTGGACAAGGTGGTTGCGAGGCTGGAGTACACGTTGAAATTCTGTACGGCGGAGGACGTGGGGAACCTGGCCACCGCGCTGGCGCCGTACAGCAAGTGGGTTTGGTGGTGTATGCGTGGTTTTTTTACAAGTAGGGATGGGGAGGAGGGGGAGAAGTGGGGGAGAGAGTGAGGTCCGGGGAAGGTGCTGCTGCAGGGAGGGGACGGCAGCCGGGGGGGGAAACCTCCCGGGATCCAATAACGCCCTCCAACACACACACATACACACAAATATACACACACGTGCCCGCTTTCGCCCGCCGATATGTTATCTTCCCCCTCCCACCCTTACCCACAACGCACATGCGCAGCGCACGCGCCATCCATACGCACACATACACACACACACGTTTTCCCCGAGCCCCCCTGGTGGGGCCCCACTCTCCCCGATGTCCATCAAAGCGCTTTGCAGACCTCCTGCCTCTGTATCTTCCCCCCGGCCCCTCTCCCCCCTTTTTTCCTTCCTTCGGGGGGCGGCTTATCATTTCCCCTCTCTCCCTCCCTTCACCTTCGGGACCCCCATGGCCGCTTACCATTATCATTATCATTGCCGTCACATTGTCATTGTCATCAGCATCACATCACATCACACGATATGCTCCCCCGACCCCCCCACCGGTTGCAGGCTGCCCCCCTCCGCGGGATTGTCCTTCAGCTCGCAGCTGGCCGCCAGGTCGCAGCCCTTCCTGGAGGAGCTGTCCGGGGAACAGTTGGTGGATCTGCTCGTCCTACTTGTACGGCATGACTTCCCATTGACGAGCACCTGGGTGACTACCTTCCAGACCGCCCTGGTGGCGAGCCTGCCGGGCCTTACGAGGCCTAGGTCGTACGCCTCCCTGCTGTTCAGCCTGGCTAAAGGTAAGGTGTGTGTATGTATGTATGTATGTATGTATGTACGTATCCCCAATCCAGATCAATATGTCCGCCGTCAATTCCCTTTATTTGGCAGTTTGGTACTTAGGACGCCTCGGCATTGGATCCGTTGATACTTTCGTCTCATACCCTACCCCCCCCCTCCCCATTTCCCCCCCACACACCCCGCCCCACTACCCCACCCCACTACCCCACCCCACCACCACACACACAGGCTCTCTGGCCATCTCAGAGAGCTTCCTCGCCGCCTTGCTGGGCCGGCTGACAGCGCCCGCCATGCCGGGGGCCGTCAGGGCTAGCAGCAGCAGCAGCAGCAGTAGCAGTCTGCTCGGCCGGATGCGGGCGGGGGACTTGGCGGTGGTGGCGGCGGTGCTGTCCATTTACGGGTACACTCCAGGGCCGGAGTGGTGTGGGCGTTACGTGGAGGCGTTGGAGAGGAGAGTGGGGGACATGGAGGCCAAGCAGGTGTGTATGTGTGTATGTATGTGTGTGTGTTTTGGGGTGTCCTGGGTGTTGGGGTTAGGAATAGAGCTGGGCGGGGGGTGTTGAGGATGTCATTGGGGCATCCCTTTGGGGGCCTTGAGTGCATCTCCCTTAGCCACCTCCTTCCTCCCCCCACCAGCCTCCCACCACCACCACCCACAGTCCGGTCCGGTATGGGCACCACACACATATCCCCACCACCACAAACGTCACCAACACCAACTCTGTGCCTCTCCCCCCTTTCCCCCCCTTCACCTGTCCCTCGTTCTACCGTTATCCGTTGCGTCTTAAACCACCTCAACCACCTCACCGAGGTTTCTCCCACCTCCCGTTTCGGGTGCAGGTGGTTACCGTTATCGACACGTGTGCGGAGCTGGGCATTGCCTTGCCCGGTGACCTGATGGACGAGCTGCTGGCTGTGTCTGAGGGGGGGTTGGAGGCACTGGGGGCGGGGCGGCTGGTGCAGCTGGTTTCGGCGCTGGAGGCGGCATCCCACCGGCCTGACGGGCCCTGGATGAAGCAGCTCACCAAGGCGCTGCTGGTGAGGGGGGTGGCGGGAAGGGGTGGGGCATGGAGGGGGGAAAGGAGAGATCATACGATGATGGTGCAAGAAGTATAGCGCCAATTGTCGACGTGTCCACGGCCGCAAATTGCTGCTGCAGGGAGGGGAGGGGAGGGGAGGGAGGGAGGGGGCACGGCGCCATGTCATGTGTTGTGCCGTGGCGGCGGGTATTGATTCGTTGTGTCTTTTGAATTCAGGCATGTAGGAGTTTAAGTGGGGAGGGGGAAAGAGGGGGAGGTTCACGGGTTTCGGCAGGGGGGAGAGGGAGGCGTCTTCTCAATGCAGGCTATGATATCCTCCAACGAGGGGGGACCCCCGGACCTGTTTTTCCCACATTTCGTACTGATTTACGTCGTACTGACTCACCCAACCGGGGGCCGCTGCCCTTTCCTTTGCAGGGCATTGCGGGTCGCTGCAGTGCCGCGGAACTAGCCGATGTGGTTGCCGTACTGTCGTATGCTCCGTACGCCTACCCACACAACGGCGAGGGTACGGCGGCGGTCCTGGCGGCTGTGAAGGTGCGTTGCTGTGGGTATGTGTCTGGAGGGATTCCCCTGGCGCATCACACTATTTTGCCATTGGGGCCATTTTGCAACTCCGCCGCCGCTGCAGCAATCCCCCTGGCTCCCCCCTCGTGTAAGACCCCCTGCATCAGCAGAGCTATATACATCTTCACAACCATCAGCACCACCAATACCAACATCAATACCAACATCAATACCACTCCTCCTGGTCCCCCACCTATCACCCCGGGGTTTTCCCACCCTCGTCTCCCCTTCTCGCGCCCCGCCGCCAGGCCCGAGCGGTGGAGCTCAAGGGTTTAGACTCAGCGACCCGTGGGTCAGTACTGGAATCACTCAAGCACCTGAAGCACCCGGAAGCTGCCAAGTACGCGGACAGCCTTGCGCCGGAACCACCGCCGCCACAAGCACAGGCACCGGTAGCAGCGAAGCGGTTCACTGCAACCGGGCCGACCGCCACCACCACCACCACCGCCACCAGCGGGCGAACCGCCACCAACACAGCCGCCGCAGCGGCTCCAGCTGCTCGCCCCTCCGCCGTAACTGCCGCGGTGCCGACGGCTCCGGCACCGGCTGTACCTGCGGCTGCTGCTACAGCGGCGGCGACGGCGGTCCGGTGGTCATCAAAGACGGTGGCGGCGACGACGGCAGTGGCGGCGGCGGCGGCGGCACCCCCGCCGGCCTCCAGGGCAATGCAGCCGTCTCAGTCGCAGCAGCAGATGGTGGGCTCCACACGAACCTTTGGCCGACGAAGGTCGTTTGATGATGATGAGGAGGAGGGGGAGGAGGAGCTGCAAGAGGAGGAAGACGAGGAAGAGGTTCGGCGACCTGCGGGCCCGCTGCCACGCCGCGCCGCGGCCGCGTCACCGCCGCCGCCGTCCTCGCCGCCGCCGTCACAGTCATCACCGCACGCGGGCAGCGCTGGCTATGGCCTGAGCGATGGCGGGTTTGTGGCCAGCACACGCACGTCTCGCCGCCGGTGGTGATGCGATCCGGAGCAAGGGTTGTGGTTCGGTCTGGCGGCGGCGGCGGAATAGCGGTCCAACGGGCCCCACCCCACAAAGGGCCCCACCCCACAAAGGGCAACCGGGTCCGTCCGTACCTCATGGCGCTTGTGACGGCGATTATCATCGATTGGTGTGTGTGGGGGGGGGGGAGGAGATATAGACACATGCAGCGCGAGGGCGGAGAGTGCATCGCCTGGCAATGGCGGCAGTGTTGGGTGAGCTGGTTGCTGAATCGTGGTGGCTGGCGGTGTCTGGTTCACTTGAGGAGGCGGGCGGGGGGCCCTGGGGAGGAGGAGGGGGAAGAGGAGAGTGAGTGAGTGAGTGAGGGGGCTGCGAGAGGCGTTTCAAGGCACGACAGCAGCGGCAAGGACCGGGGCCAGCAGCGACTTTCTGAGCCTCACCCTTTCAGTGGGAGGGCCCTGTGGGGGCGCCGGCGTGTTCCTGAGCCCCTCACCGGAATAAGAACCAGATCGACAGACAGACAGACAAACGGGTCAACAGGTTCAGAATCTCAGCCACAGTCCAGGAGAGCCCTTAGCTGTGTGGTTTCCGCTCCTTCCTGGAACAGCTGCTGCTGTTGGGGTCGGTGGGTGGGCAGGACGGGAGGGGGCATAACGTCCATCGTGGTGTGGAAGGATGTGTGGGTGGTGGGTGGCTCTGAGGTGCGGCATGTTGGAGGAACTGTCGTAGTGCCGTACTGTGTCGTACTGTGTAACAGGGAGGTAGCCGCTGCCAGGTGCATAGCCCGGACCACATTGTGTCGGCTTTGTGTGGGTCGTGTGGGGCCTTGGATACATGATGGGGTGCTTATGGAAGGCGAGCCACATGAAGATGTGATGGGCGGGCCCCCCGCCTCGGACGGGCATGGAGTCCGACAGGTGTAGCGATGGGATATGGAGGGATGTCTTCTCTAATGGGATTAGGTGGGGGGGCCGGGGCGGTGTGTTTTTATTGGAAACGCTCCCTGACGGCTATGTGGCGGGAGGGAGGGGGAATGGTGAGGTGGATTGCGGTGGTGGGGGCGGGCTGCCATGATGCGGAATTCTCTGGTCGCCTTTGTTGGTTCTCACTGCCCGTGGCCATGTTGCAGTGTAGCACTGGAGTACGGAGTGTTTTTGCAGGATGTGAATGCGGAGGAAAAGCAGCAGCAGTAGCTGAAGTGGCACATTCTGACGCCGCCTGGTGCCATATAGACAAGGAACTACAAGTTCAGTCAAGTCCTTTCTTTGCTCTAGCGGCAGGAGGAGGAATGAAGGTGCAATTTCGCATTCGTGACACCTCTAGGCCGGGAGGTCACCGACTTGTGGGATGGGATTTTCCCTCCGTTTCGCGGCGTTGGCGGCGTCAGCTGATTTACTTACCCTCCACATTAATACATTTGCAGCCGCTAGAATGCCGAGCGATACGACTTTCAGGTGCTATGAGAAAAAGAAAACAGGAGATATTACGCCGATCTCGACATCAAGTATGTGAGCAACATACGGTATGAGGGATGATACATCCGCACATGGGACAGGACCTTCCGGAGGAAGGGGTCTTGGCTGGCCTTTTCGAATACCGTACAAATATTCGTATACAAGTACACGGTCAATGTGCGGGTGGAGGTCCGCCTGAGGAGCAAGAGTCGTTTGCCGAGGTGGTGCCGACCTCTCGCTCCGAACTCAAGACGGTCCCCGCGTTCTCATTCTAAGCAGTAGGCTGGCTACCACCCGGGGGGGGTGTTGGCCGCCCTGGGAATGTTGTTGCATCTCAGGTAGTTGGATTCCGTTGCCGGGTCATTCATTCGCTGATCAGAGAGTCCACCGATGTCCGCCCCCATACCCCGCAGCCCCCCACATCTGCCCCCACCCCACCGGTTCCCCCCACGGGCCCCCTTCCCCGTCCCCGCAGCATGCATAACGTACAGCGCCAGTTGCTGCTGCAGCGCCGGACATAGAGGAAGGAACCCTAGTCCGGCTCGGTAAATGGATGTGTGATCCATTCGTCACACATGTGACACAGTTCCTCTTCAGCACGCAGGCGTTGAACCTGATACCCGTTATGGGACCGCCTGATGGTGAGGATGCTTCACCATACATACATACGTACATGCATACCCTAGGTCTCCACCAACAACGTCTGGCGCACACCAACACAACAACACAGGGGCCCCGCGGGCTTCAGCCCTCTTACACACCAGAGAGAATGTACATGTGTGTATGTATGTATGTGCGCACACTTGAAATGATGCGCTCCGCCTTCCTTTCGGGCCTGACCCGCCAACAATTCCTCCCTCCCTCACCGTGTCAACTTCTGTTGGTCCGAGACGGACAACCATGCCGGACGCACATACATACGGAAACACACACCACAGAGCCCCCCTCTCCCCCTTCTCCCTCCTCTCCCACCCACCCCAACAGAGCGCCTCAGAGCACCACCGACATTGCCAGCTTGGACTTTTCTAGGGCAGGCACCGCTGCCACGCCCAATGTACTGCATCCAACTGCGTACTGCGGCCCGGGCACCCGATCCCCCCGGCCCTCCCTGTATCGCGGCCGCATGGTGAAGCCCCTGTGCGACGAGGGTGCCCCGTAGTACTGCCCAAAGTCCTTGAAGTCCTTGTCCGCGTAGTCGTGGGGGGCGGGGTTGCTCTCGTGGTCCGGATGGATCTCATTTCGGAATTTGAGACTGCGGTGTGTATGTGTGTGTGCGTTGGTGGGGGAGAGCAGGGGTATTATTATTATAGGGAGCTGGGGATTGTTGGGGGTTGGAAGGGGAGCGCATGGAGGGCGGTTTTAGGGCGGCGAACAGGGCGGGAAGAAGGGGAGGATCGTCTTGGCGTCCTGGAAGTAATTCCCCTAATTCCTTTTCGCCTCTTCAGAGCCGGCAGAGAGCCCGCAAGTGGGGGACCCTCCCTAAAAACACAGACACAAACACAGTCACACACACGAACACACACACAGATACACAGACACACGTCGCATAAGGCCCCACCTGACAGCAATCCGCCCATCGCGGTCCCGCGGGTCGTACGCCCCTGGACCCGGCTTAAGATCCTTGCTGCCCGGCTCGTACATCCGTAGGCCCATCGACAGCACCGGCGCACTGGTCCGCACCAAGCTATCCGCCCTGGTACCCTGATACGCCCCCGGCCCGGGAACGTCCTCTTGGTGGTCTTTGGGCGCCGAGCCGTGGAGCGTGTACACGGGTTTTGCCACGCGGCCCGGGTCCTTCGGGTACCCGTAGTCCGAGGGCCCGGGGGAGGCCTCGGGTGCGGCCCACGGCTGCCGGCCTCCGAAGGAGTACGACGGCGCGGAGCGATGGTCTGAAGCGGTGCTGTGGCCGCCGTCACGGGGGATGAGCGGCTCCGTGATGTCGTACGTTCCAGGGCCGGGGTTAGTGGAGGAGCGGAGGCCGGCGTCTCGGGAGGCTCGGCCGATGGTCCAGGAGGCTCGGCGGGGGCGGTGTTGCGCGATTGACGGAGCGCCGTACTCGCCGGGGCCGGGAACACCGTTGTCCCGAATGGCCTGGGACCGGCTCGCTGCGCAGGAGCAGGGGGGAGGCGGTCATGGGAGCGTCAGGGGGGACAGGGTGGGCGACATGTCGACACACGTGATGGCAAAACACGTGGGATGTGTGGAATGTGTTTCACACCAATACTTCCCCCGCCCCGGAAGGGGTAACCCTTACAACTGGTGACTTTGAGCTTTGGAAGATGTTGGGAAGTTGGATGAGGGTGTGTTTAGCCTTCGATTCGATGCATTACAGGATAACACCGCTCCTCCACTATACCGCTCCTACAGGACGCTAGCCAGCCATGCACACAGACACATTCGCACACGTTCACACACACACACACGCCTCACCTCCGAAACTCTTGCCCTCGGAGTTGGGGCGAGGTCGTCGCGGCGTGTCGTACTCTCCCGGCCCGGGTGTAGGCTCCCCGGGGGGGAGGGGCCCCTTGCGGAACTTAAGGCTGGCCACGTGCGCGTCGCGGGGCGCGAACCGGGGACTGTACTCCGCGGGCCCCGGTGACCTGTCCGAGCCCCGCTCGGCCGCCGTCTTGGGCCCCATGGTGAAGGCGGAGGGACTGGGCTTCACCAACTTGGCCGAGGGACTTGGCTCGTAGGCGCCAGGGCCTGGGGAGGCTGTGGGGTGATCTGCGGGAAAAGCGCGGGAAAAGGAGGGGGAGGTTACAATCACATGTCGCGTTGGTTGGGGGCCTTCAGGTATATATACATACAGAGAGACGCACAGAAACACGGTGTTTAAGATGCTAACTGAGGGCGGTTCCCCAGCAGTGTGGCTGGAGCCCAAAACTGGGTTAGGTCGGCTGACGTGGGGTAGGTCGGCTGACGTGGGGTAGGTCGGCCGGCGGAGAACCGGGAACAGGAGGTTGTGAGGATATGAAAGGCTCCCAGCCGCCAAGCCAGAGACACACACACACACACAATCATCCCCCGGCCGTTCTGCGCTGTGCTGTGCACTGCATTAGTATTGAGGCGACGTGCTGAACGTGTATGAGGGGCCGTGTGTGGGGAAAGGAGAAGGGGAGGGAGGGAAGCGGCTTTGGTTGGGGAGCCCCTCTTAGACTCCCTCAGATATAGGAAGAGTAGGTGGGTGAGTTTGGGTGGGGGGGTTGGGGAGTGGGGGTGGGTGGGGGGGTGAGAGTGTGTGTGTGTGTGTGTGTGTGTGTAGGTAGGGACCGAATTGCATTTTTACTGCCTTGGCCGCCCATCACGGTGGTGTGGTTGCCGCTTGCCAACATCCGGGGGGGGGGCTGACGGAGGGCTGTCATGTGGCGTCATGTGGCACCCCCCGGCCCTACAGAAGGGACTTGAGGTAAAGGCCGTTAACGGTTGGAGGGGGAACTGGAACCTCGGAGCTGAGTCAGAACAGGATGCGGTGCAGCGCCCGCAGCAGTCAAGGCCTGTGTGTGTGTGTGTGAGAGAGAGAGCGTCGGTGTGCTGCGGGTCTCGGAGCGCTTAATGGATAGGGGTGGGTATAGGGGTGGGGACAAAAGCGAAACGGAGCCCCGAGTTCTGGATTATGTCGCGCCATCCCGGGGGCTATCCGTCAGCGACGTGGACCCTGCCCCGCAGCCTGTGGAGGGCACAGAAAAGCAGCAGTAGCAGCAGTAGCAGCAAAAGAAGCCTTCGCTTTCAGCTCAGTAATACAGCTTCAGCCGCAGGGACAAAGCAGCAGCCAGATAGGTTCCATTGCTGCAGCTGCTGCCCCTCCTGCTTTGCTACCGCTACTGCTGCTTTGTGGCTACTGCTGCTTTGCAGTGTCTGCGCCTCTGCGGTCTGTTGTTGCAGCTGCTGCCGCTTGAGGGGAGGGGTGACATGCAGGCCGGCAGCCACCCCACCCTGAGCCCCGCTCCCGCCGCTGGTATGCAGGGGAACAAGGAGCCGAAGGGCTCCTGCAGAATCACAAGGTGGAGCCCCACCCCCACCCTGGAGCTTCCCCCGCTCCTTAGGAGACAACGGGAATAAGGCCGCGACCTCCGAGATGCCAAGTCGGGGCTGTAGCAGTACCTGGGGAAGGCGCCCCCAACGTCAGCACCTGCCCTGACATGGTATGGGAGCTGTGGAGAAAACGCAGCACCCTAAATTTCATTGATAGTTTCGCGCCTCAGGTCAGGGTGCGATTCTTGTGGTGTGGATGTTACAAGATCGTTGCAAGTCCGCCGGAACTGGTGAAGTGATGGGTACGGGAACGTGTACGGGTACGGGCCAGGTAACCGAATCTTCGCAGACTCGGCGGTAGCGTAATAGGGATAATAATTAGAACCACTGCGCTTACCTTTTCGAGCCTTGCCTCCAAATGAATACGCCGGCTTTTGTCCGCCTATTTGTGGCGAGTACGCCGCCCCGGCTGGCGTATGGTTGATCGACCAGTCTCCACGAGCTGACGTTCCAAACCCCGTGCCTTTGTCGCTGATACTCCATCCTGTGCCATATTGGCCAGGCCCTGGTCCAGGATCACCTGTGACACAGCAAGGAAAGAAACATCGAACATTGTATGCCGCAAGCACCAGCATTCACATCATAAACTGCATGCATCCTTCAGTTATTTCACAATTAGCTATGTGCAACCACTTACCGGGAGACCGCTCGTGTCGGCCACCGAATGAGTATGCTGGGGCTGTTGGAAGGGTCAACGCTTTTCCGACTCTACGAGTTACTTTGTAATCGTCATGCATTTTGATTTAAGATCAATATTTGCGGCCTTTTGGGTTCAGTAACTTATAGGCAACCTGATGTCCACGTCTTTAGCTCAGCAGTGCAGAAGCATAGGAACAGACGCTACCTTTGCATCATAAATTATGGACGTTGTTGTGCTACCTAGCTTGCCTGACCCTCGAGCAAATCAGCTTTGCGGTCGAAAGGTCTAAGGCTGTCCGTACAACGATTAATAGCACCCAGGGTTATGAAGGCTTCGCCAACTTTACCTCATAACAGCAGCAGACAATTTCATGTAAGGGGGCCTTGATATGCAAAAAGGAAAAGCTGCGCAAGTTTTACGTGTCGTACAACGGGCGTTTTGCTGTTATCGGGCGTCGCTCCACGTAAATCGCGAAGGGACATTGCAATGGAAGCATTCAAAGCTCTAGGTTTCGTTGCGAAACTGCTGTAACGCAATGACAACTGATTCAACACCCCACGTTACACAGCTCTCTGGACCGGTGCCAGAGCACCAAAGTTTCATTCTTACTCATCCGCCCATACAACGCAATACCAGCACGTTCCACGGCCGGCCACAGCTGCCCTCAATGGCGGAACCCCGCTAATCGCCAACCTCCACAAGAAAGAGCGCCAGCTGTCACCAGATGCAAATTCCCTTGGCAAATCACCCGCGCCAGAACCCCATGATGGGCGCCATCGCCAGACTTGATAACCCCACACAACACAGCCTTTAAGAGAAGTTCTGGGAACCCTTCTCATCAACACGCTGCCAGTGCTCCATCACAACCGCTTCACGCATATGTGCGATAAGAGGGCGTGTACGCAGTTTCAAAGCACACAGCTGCACAGCGCTCGAACGTTTGTATTCAATCATTTACATGTGTCCAAACGCCGCGCGGCGCATCGTCAACGGGGCAACCAACTGCAAGCCTGGCGCATGTGAGGCTCAAACGTGCCCCCAAAAGTAGCATACGACAAACGGCGAGAACTGCGCACACACAGCCCTTCGTCTGCGGGCAGAAGGATTTCATCTACCAAGTGCTATCACGACCAGGAAAGTGGTCGTTGCCGTAACGTATCGTTCCATTTGCGTGCGCACCAATGAACGCCCAGGGGACGCAAGACTGAACATGACACAACGGTCGAGGCCGTCCAGAGCAGTCCCAAAACGCTACCCTAATGACCATGACCATGACCCCACAGATTCAACCCACCCGCCAATCCACCAAACGAAAGGCAAGGCATCGGGCTCCCCGTGTGCGGGAGGCTGGAGCCTCTGAGCCGTCAAAGAAGCCGTGCGAGTCATGGCGGCGTCACTGCTACCATCACACGGAGTTAGGACTCGTGAGAAGTTCCATTTTCGTTACGTGAGAGGACATAATTTTGCTTCAACAACCCGCCGCACAAAACTCCGCAAAAAAACAAAGCATGCACCCCCCTTTTCGGGTGATCGGCGCAGACCTGACGTATGTTACGCACAGGCCTGACCACACCACGCGGATGAAAGAGGCCCAGATAGAGAGAGCACACCTGTACGTGACTAAATGTGTCTTACGTGTGTGTATGTGTCAAGTGTGTAGGCCGCCTGCTGGCCCACGAAAAGTGTGATGTTAATACACCATGGGGCGACAGTAAAGTAGCCGCCCCAGCTGCGCCAACCCACCACATGGTAAGGGGACCCCCTCTCTGCATCCCTCCCCTACCAGAACCGCAAAATGTCTTCACTAAACGCAGCCGCGACAGCTTGACCACCGGTGCATTCCACCATGAACCCCAGGAAAGCCAGAGTTTTCGGAGCGCCCCCTTATGTAATGCACACAAAGTCCAAAATCGTACTTCACCCCGGCCCAAACAGCCCAGCACCCAGTGGTTTCCAAAACCCTTTACCCCACGTTCTCTCCCTGGTTCAGCCCGAGAGCCTCGGCAAACGGTTCATCGGACGGTTTCATTCAAAAGTGCGCCTGGTACGGAGGCGCCCCTTCAGCTCCCGCGAGAGCAGCTGGGAAGGAAGTGTCACATGGCCCGCCTGCTGCTACGGCCTGACGTGCCAAATTATGCCCCCGGTATGCCATTACCCGGGCATACCCGGCGGGCGACCAATACCTGCAACACAAAGAGGCAGACCCGGCACATTGTTGCCATTCCAAGATCACCAACTTAGGAAACCGGTGTACTTTGAGGCAACAGGGCTTTGCTACAAGTGGATAAGTGCGCAAATGCGGTTGCCAATGTGTTCTCCATATAAGGTGACCGATTACGTGTGCGTGTGTGGTATATGGCAAACATTACCTAAAGCTGAAACTGAGGCTTCGGCAGGCCAAGCAAAGAGATTCCCAGGAATTGGAGCGATACTACGTCGGATGCCTACCACGCGGTGTGTGTGTGTGTGTGTGTGTGTGTGTGTGTGTGTGTGTGTGTGCGGGCACGCCCGTGCCCATGTGTCCGAGTGCGTGCGTGTGCGTTACATCACATGTCTGTGCGTTTGTGTTATTAAACGCGGCGAACAAAGGCGGAGGGAGTTGCCACGCAGCTGTAAGGACTCTTCGCAAAGTTGTTCTCTGTAATGGAGCCGGGGCAGTGCAGGACATGCCCTGCTGGTCGAATGTCTTGCAGTCAGGAGGAGCAAGTGAGCGTGTAAGCCTTCCAATGACCCATGACAACTTCCTATCGACACGTGTCCGGGGGGTGTTGTCTCTATCCGTGACGCTGCAGGGCATCACCAACCCCCGCCAATCGACCCCTTGACCTGCCCAATGCTCACCTTGCTGCCAACCCATGAGTCCGTTGCCGGTGGCATATGCCTGGTTACCCGCCTGGTGCTGCATGACACCTTGCCCCGCACCTTGCTGTTGCTGCTGCTGCTGCGCCTGCTGTAAGAGCAGCTGCTGCATTCTCAGATCATTGCTGGCCAGCCCCATCGCTCCCTGCTGCTGTTGCTGCTGTTGTTGTTGCTGCTGCGGCTGTTGGACGCCAATGGCGCCGCCGTACTGGCCTGCCACAGCCACCTCCGGCCCTGCACCATCAGCAACCGGCATTGTAAACCTGGTAATAAGTACACATGGTGTTGGCAGGTACCCTATTGCCTGTTGCCTCGAAAACTACTACTGTTGTCTGAGGGGGCCCCCCCTTGGCCTAGGGACCTCTACACCTGGCCCCACTAGAAGGCACAAACTCTGCACGGTATCCGGACACCCTCGGGTACATGCCCTGGCGGGAGGCCAAGCTTCGAGGCAGGACCATCTTCTGCGGTAATGACGGACGGATCCCCAAACGGCATTCCCGGCCAACAGCAAGGACTCTGAAACAGCCCCAGCTGTTACTTTACACCAGCTGATTTCTTTCGGACATAGAATCCTCCATCCGCGACACCTAGGCCATCACTCTTTCACAGGAGAAAATATTGGTAAGTATCTGAAAACATTTGCTAATTATTTTACCTGGAATGTGGTCCTTAAATAACACATTTACAGATAAAATACAACTACCTTCCCTGGTTGTAATTCATAGTCTCTAGCCAGCTGTGCCAATGACAACGTGTTACATGGTAAGCACGCAGCATATGATCTTATGTCCCCACAATCACTGAGCAAACTTACGCTTTACTGCCGGTGTGGCTCCCGGCACGTCGACCACCCGGTCGAACGGCACCAGCCGATGCGTCGCCACGTCCTGCTCGAACTGACCGGCGGTGACGTAGTCCTCAAAGTCCAGCAGGCAGCGCTCGTAGTGGGCACGAAGAGCGGCGGCCGCGGGTGTGTTGGGCTGGCTGGCGCTGGCGGCCATCTGCGGATGGATGCCCTGGTTTACGCACAGCTCCTGCCATTGCTGCTTCAGGACCACGGCCTCGTAGCCGCCACGCAGGTGCACCTCCAGGAAGAGCTGGATTAGGAGGGGTAGATAATGGAAAAAAGAATGGAGCGAACCAGGTTTGGAATACGTCCGTGGATGCGCGGCGGCACGAGGCGGAAATACCCGACATGCCCAGGGCGGCTTCTCGGCATGGTGACGTGCTCGGAAAGATAGCCTACACTGTGGGTTGGGGCTTTTCACGAGCGCCCTCCGAACACCCTGGTCCGTGGCACTGAACCAGGGACCGAAGCCCGGAGCAGCACGCCCCTCATGACAGCTTTCCGCCGCTTGCGAATAACAGTGCGCTCAGTGCGCTCATGCCTCTGGCCCAGGTGCATACACTTTACGCGAGGTGCCCTAACAGCCATCTTCGGGCTCCAGTGACCTCCATCCAAATAAAGAGAAGCGTCCCCAGCCCAACCCAGCCACAACACCCTGCTTGTCTGCCCAACACGCAGGTGCAACTACCACGCCGCCTAATGGCAACTAACGGACCCCTCCTACCGCACCTTGTGGAGGTCGAGGTCCTTGCCCGCTAGCTGAGGAAGGCGGTAGCGCAGCACACCGCGCGATCGGTACCAGTTGATCAGCAGGCAGTGGAAGTTCTCACGCTGGGGCATCATCTGCAGGAGGTGGTGCGCCACGGCGCGGCGGCCGCCGGGAGTACGAGCCGGCAGCGGCGGTGACATGATATCGGGTGCCACTGGCCGCCCATTGTCGTCCTCTGCGGCACCCGCCATAACGGCCGCGGCTTGCTGTTGCTGCTGCTGTTGTTGTTGTTGCTGCTGCTGTTGCGCCTGCAACGCTGCCTGCTGCTGTTGTTGTTGCTGCTGCTGCTGCTGTTGCTGCTGCAAGAGCAGTTGCTGGCGCTGTTGCTGCAAGAGCTGCTCCTGCTGGCGCTGCTGTTGCTGCTGCAGCAGCTGCTGCTGCTGTTGTTGCATCAGGATCAGCTGTTGCTGCGCCAGCAGGCCCTGCTGACCGCCGCGCTGCACCATCTGCTGCAGCAGCTGAACCTGCGTGGCGGCCGGCAGGTGTCCGATCTGCGCCTGCAGCTGTGCCAGCAGAGCGGCCGTTGTGCCTGCAGCCGCGCTCGCTGCACCTCCTGGTGCGTTCGCCAGCCGCTGCGCCTGCTGCGCCTGGAACAGCGCAATGGAGCGCTGCTGCAGAAATTGCTGCGCCTGCAGCTGGGACATGTTGCCCGGCACATTGCTAAACTGCTGTTGCTGCGGCTGGGACGGCTGCTGCTGCTGCTGCTGGTCGTCGTTGCGCGCGCCGCGACCACCACGACCTTTCCGACCCCGGCCGCCGCGGGAGCGGTGATTCCCGCCACCCTCACTCACATCTGCCGGGCATGGAACCAAACCAAACCACTTGGTGTCATAAGATCTCACCCCGTCTGATAAGAAAGTCGACACACACTATGTTGCACTTTGCAAGACACTTACTCGCTACGCCTAAAACCCTAAGAACAACCCCGTTCCCTGCCCATATGACAAGGCGTACCGCTGTCAGTGTCGCTGGGCTCGCTAGGGACGTACTCATCGTCGTCCTCCTCGCCCATATCCTGCACCAGCTTGGCAACCCGCTCTTTTGCAACTGTGCGCTGAGTGCGGGCGGCTGCCGCCGCAGCTGCCGCCGCCGCCTCGGCTTCCGCTGCGCGCTTGCGCTCCTCCGCCAGGCGTCGCTCCGCTTCGGGGTCCACTTCAATGTCCCAGGGACATACCTGGCGGGCCACCGCATGCGCAGGTGGTAGCAGGGTAACCCCAGGAATGGGGTTGTTGAGGGAAGGCGCCAGGTCATGCGGAAATGAGAGGTTACACCGTGTAGAGAGGGAGGCAGGACACGTGCATCAGCGTCACAACCCCTAACCATCAGCGTCATCCCTGATCGTCATCACCAAGCAACAAACGCGCCCGGCTGCGGCGGCCCCCAAAGTCGACACAGATCGCTCAGCTCATTCCTTTTAATTCCTGTTGCTGATCTTGGTCGTATTCCCTCCCCAACGGCTTCATTCACCCATCGCTCACCGGGCCCCAAACCAACGCTCTACAACACCTACCCGGCCCTGCGTGTTCTCCACGCCCGCCTTGTCCCACTCCACCGTGACGCTCTCCCAGGGGTCGAAGTCCTGCTGGTCGGGTGCGGCAGGTGCCCCCACCTGGAGGATCTTGCCCTTATACCAGCTGCCACTGACCTTGGCGCCCTGTTTGCCGCCCACGTACATGCGGCAGCGGTCGCCCGGCTGCCAGTCCTTTTCCCTAGAAGACGGACATCGCAACATGCATCGCAGTCGGTGCATTCGCAGGTGAGGACACTCGCAGGTGCGCGTCAGCCCGTGGGACGCCATGGGGACCCCAACGTAGGCATACGCATACACATACGCATGGATTCGGTAGTGTGCCTGCCGACGCATTGAATTCACCGAGGGTGGGGATGCTCACACGCGCGCTGAACCCAAGACGATGTTGTGCGGTGGTACCCCGTATAGCTGCGGCGGAGCCACTGCTTCAGCTGCAGACAGACCGGGACGGCCAGGGTGGCACATTAGCGTCAAGCCGCCGCCTCTCACCTGGCCTTGTCGAGGACTTCCGACCGGATAACGTACTGTGGCAACGTGTTGTCAATGTAGAGCGGAAGGACGAGCTCGCTCTGCCGGCAAGCAGGGAAAGGAACGACTCCGGATATTAGACTATTAGTAGTGAGGTTCAGCTTCCTCCTTACAGGATACTCGACAACGCGCACATTCCGATCATGCATACATGTGAACGTCGCTGACGTCGCTGCGTGGCGTAGTGCCAATTTCGCCCTGAAGTGCAAGCTACAATGTCAGACTGCAGGTGAACCTCCCATCAAACCTCAGAGCGGCAAGTGATGATGGTCGAGTGGTTGGTGCAGCACATGAGTACCCTCAAGTGCCTGAACCATGGCGAGACATAGACATGGACAAGGCAGTGCATGGGAAGCCGCGGCCTTGATATACGGCCCCGCTCATGTGCACTCACCGTGGCCTGCTCAAACCGTGGGAGTTGCGCGCGCAGCGGCGTCAGCAACATCCACATGCAGGGCGGCCGCGACGGCGGGGGTGGCGGCACGGCCATCTCGATGGGCTCGCCATCCGGACCCCTGGCCTGCTGCTGGGCGGCTGCTGCTGCCACGGCCGCGGCATGCGCCGCCTCGGCCTGCGGCGACACCGGGTACCTGCAATGGGACATACGTCAATGACACCGCCTTAGCTGGTGAGGAACAACAGAGGTATGTCAAAATGCATCGTGTCCCGAGAAGCTGGAAGCCTAATTCAAGCCGTGCGTCTCATGCGTCTAAGGGCACTGAACCGTGCATGGCCTTGGACCTGTGGCCAACTCGACTCTCAGAAGATGACAGCGTGGGCACGCACGAGCCCCGAGCCGTGCTGCTGCCATGTACAGCGCCCTTATCCTTACGTTCGGTAGGAGAGGCAAGCCACACGGTAGCGCTGTGCGAAGTGCAGCTGGTTGACGCGCTCCCGCAGGACAATCAGCTCCCTCGCGAACGTCATGTCGTTATTGGCCTGACGGGGGACGCCAGATGGCAGCAGCACAGAACCATGCAAAAATGTTATGGCACGGCAATCGGCAGCCGGCATTCATTCGTAGCTCAGTACAACGGGCAACCGTAGGTTACGTGTGTATATATGGTTGACAGGTGCCTGCAGTGCAGGCCTGGGTTAGCTGAGCCCGGGTTGGCTGATAAACAGGTTCCGGGTTAGCGCAAAAGCTCTTTGCAAAAGACGTCGATACCACTGCCAGGAAGGCACGGAGGCGTCTCTTTGGCGACGTTATCGGACTGCTCACAAACTTTAATATCCGTAGACGTCTCGGCACTTGCCACCATTGACAGACACCTGTAGCCACGTAGGTTCAGCTTTTGTACTTCTATGCGCGGGATCGGTGCTGGGTGTTTCAACCCTTGCGCGATTCCATCAGGTAGGCCTCCCCACAACATCTTACGAGCTGAGTTGGACACGCCGCTGCATGGTGTTTGCCAGTCACCCTATTATGGTGAAACACACAGCATTGTTGTTGCGAATAAATGCTTCCGTCCATCTGCACGAGCATCTGCAGCGGCAGCTGTGCCCACGACTGCTGGCCACCCATACCTCCCCCCCATACGGCCTCTGCGAGGAGACCCTATGCTCAGCCGCCAATGCTGGGGCCATCCACGCGTACCCACCCGAGCCATGTTGTAGAACTTCTCAAGGTGGTAGTAAATACCGGTTTTTAGCACGATGACAGACTCGTTGGGGCCAGGGAAGTACAGAGGGCACCTGCGTTGGGTTCAACACGGGGCATGCCACAAGATGAGGTCAGCCGGGAACGACGAGATTGCAAACTACTTTGCCCAGGCTCCGGCGGTACCAACGACATGGAAAGGCCATGCAAGATGATGGAAAGGGCGTGCAACCCACTCCAACCATGCTTCAACCCCCCATGGTCATTCGCATGCGTCCAAGCTTTTGCACTTATCCAGCACGTGGCCATGCTCTACCTTGCGACCCTTTCGTCTTGTGCACCGGGTCAGCATAGCCGGCAGGTTATGCTGACCCGGTTATGGTTATGCTGCGTTGAGAAACGTGACTGCCGCCCCTGGCCCCGCCGTTCCCACCTGGCCTCGCTGACTCGCCGCTGGAAGCCAGCGCGCGTCAGCACGTGCTGCGAGTCCGCCGTGTTGACAAACTGCTGCAGTGCCAGCACGTGCAGTGCCACCTCGCGCACCGTGTGACCAGGTTCCCGCAGGCTGGCGATCCACGCCTCGCGCAGCTGCGTCGTCCAGGCTTCCCGGAAGACGCCGACCTTCATGAGCATCTCCTCCAGCAGCAGCACCACCTCCGCGCCGCTGAAGCGGGCGGCGGCGGAAGCCGCAGCCCCCTCCTCCTGCTCCAATGCCTCCCGGGCTGACTTGTAGTTGTACTGGTTTGGTTGAATGGATTAAGACAAAGAGGCGGAGGAGTGACGTGCGGCTGTGGCGGTGGGCCGAGCCTTTACTACAACCAAAACAGCGAGCGACGTATCGCAGCGCCGTGACTTATCACGCCATCTTTGCGCGGCCATAACAGGTGACACATGTTTACATATTCTGCACGGGAGCCTGACAAGCAAGTCTACTAAAGTCCGTATTTGTTGTTTAGGGAATACGCCTGTCTGAACAGGCCGCAGCAGCGGCAGTGCTTAGTAAGCCACAAAGGAGCGCGATAAGCAGCGCATCCTCTTAACATAAAGCATGGCTGATGCTCGGACAGCGTTCTACATGCACATGCACGCGGGCCCACTTGTCCTCCTCTCGCCGCTCACCCGCAAATGGTCCAACAGTTTGCCTAACTGCGTGGCCCATCCGGCGGGCTGCAGCCAGAAATCCACCTCGCCAAACAGGGCCTCCAGTGCGTTGCAGATGCGGTCCTCAATTACCAGCGGCACTCGCGGCACCCCGGGCTGGTGGGGCAGCTGCACGACGCAACACAGCAGAGAGGATGTTTGATTTTGATTAAGAAAATGTTTTACGGCGCGCAGGGACGGACATAGAGCAAGGGTCCAGGGAAAAAGGTATCGTTATGGAGACAAGCGTTAGAACACACAGCGATCCCGTAAAACAGCAATAGGAATAAGGTGAAGCCTGCGGCGGCGCAGGCAGGCATCTTGGAGCGCAAGGCAAATGAACTAGTGCACATCTCGCACGTTCCGCTCCCGTCCCCAACTTTCACCGCACCATGTTGAGGTTGCCTCGCAATAGCGGTGACAGCAGGTTTCGATAGCCATTGGCGCGGCGCGCGTCCAGGTCGGCAGCGTCCCACGGAACTGTGGCGCGGCTCAGCGCATCCTCGTCCAGCTCACCCGCCTCGTGTACCGGGCCTACGTGGACCCAGGGCGGGGTAGCTAATGCGAAACGGCCTGTGCTGTGCACGGCCCATTCCCTAACGCCAAGTTTCGCCCCCATAGCGCTATCCGGACCCACTTTTAGCGTATTCGTATTGCAGGGGAATGCAATTTTACAGCGCCTGAGATGTGCTCCTGGGGCTATAGAAGCGATCGCTCAGGCGGCAGCTCTGCCTTGCCCAGCCTAGGGTGTCTCGACCAGCTGGCAGCACGCGCAGCCTCGCTGGGGCATGGCACTAGGACGTGGCGATCAAGGCTATGGGGGCCGTCGAGTTACATACGAGAGAGACATTGGCTTCCGAGGGCGCGCACCATCACGGCGAAAGCGCCCCTAATAGCTGTGGCTAGTTTTCTCTCGGAGGCCTGGGAGACCAAGGACACCGCGCTCAGGCGCGCCGATCCCAGGCGAGCAGGAGAGGACGTCAACGTCCTCATTAAGCGCCACAATAATGGCTATTGACCGTCCATGGGCCCTTCTTCGGGCTTTTACGGACGTCCCCCGCATTTGTGCAAAACCCAAAGTAACTTTACCTTTTGTCAGCTTCTTTGGCACCCAGATGCTATCCAACAGGCGGAGCAAGGGCGCTTCGCGGCCGATATTGCCGCGGCGTAGCCAGTCCCGCAGCTCCACCAGCTGCTCACCCTCGTACCTAAGCATCGGGGTACGGGCAATGCATAAGAAGATGGTTTGGTGGGCGAAAATGCGAGAAGATATGCGTCAATAATCCGTAGCCAGGCGATACGGAATGAAAATGGCAAGACGGAAAAAACAGGTAACCTTCAACTCGCACGCCGTGAACCCCGGTATCCTAGGATGCTTGGCCACTGTCGCGTGCTAGACGTGCCACACACCCGTTGCCCTTGTTAAGGGACTGCGACTCACCAGCCCCATATACTCCCATTCGCCGTCTCAACGTACAGCCGCCAGGCGCCCGCGTTGGCACCGAAGGCCCAGTACCGGCGGCCACGAGCGTCCGTGCCAACGGGCTTGCGCAGTCCCAGCCTGCGGAACGCAAGCCAGAGGAGGGATATGTCAGCAAGCAGGCCCCCAAAGGGATCGATTGGATCCAGCTGCCAAAGTGGCATTACGGTACCCACCGCTGCCGTTGATCGCCAAGTTACTCCTGCACACGGGCTGTAAAATATCCCGATGCTTGAAAGCAGGTCACTTGCACTTTCACGACGGCCGCTACGGTAATACCTTACCTGGCTCTGCAGGCCTCCGTAGGCGCAACAGAAACAAGCCACCACCTCGTCCCAACCACACGTGCCCGTCCCATGCACCTGCCCAGGCCCTCCCCAGCCTCACTTGCAGCTGTCCATCCAGCGGATCCAGAAGTCAGGATCCTCCGCCTCCGCAGGTCCAGCTGGTTCCGCCGGCCGCACCAGCCCCTCCACCGCCCGCCTAACCGTGCCGTCGTCGCACGTTACCAGAGACACCCCTGCCGACGCAAGCGCGCGCAGTGGCACTGCAAGCATTTCCACGCGGGCATTGATGTGCTCACGCAGCACATCCGATGCGAGTGCCAGCTCGATGAGTCCCCGCAGGATGTTGAGCTTGGCGCGCGGTGGTAGGAGCACGTACTCGCGTGTCTTGAGTGTCTCCGCCGCTGCCTGGCATGTGGCAACAGGTGCAGACATTATAAAATATGTAATAATAACGACGTAACCCAATAATGGTTCCATGTTCGGGGCCTGACATGCCTTACATCAACACAAGCCATGTAAGCAAAACACCATGCGTTGTGTTTCTATGAGCCTTCACGCGCTTCCGCAAACGAAAACCGTGCAGCTCCGCCCATCCAGGCGGCTATGTACATCATAGCTCTTTAAGAGCAACCGGTGGAGTTCCCGTCTTCGCGTCATGTGTGATATCTATTGCGTACCTTTGCCTCTGCTCCCACCACCTCCGGCGGAGCTCCGTTGATGGCCGACGCAGTACGCTCCACCCAGTTCTCGGTCTTGGCCTCGTCCGCCATCAGCTTAGACTGCGCGAAGAAGCAAGAAGCAGACAGACAGGTCAGCGGGTGCAGAGTAAACCAGCCAAGCCAGCTCGTCTTAATTTGTTTGGCCCTCAACGTCACACAAGCAGACATCCAACACAAGTTTTACCAGGACAGTGCATGTGCTCTGTAGTAGGCCGTGTTCGCCCTGGAACCTCTTGGTTCGTTACGGCGGGACCGCTAATTGCTTGTACAAGCAGCGAATGTAACACACACACATACATACATAAAGGGGGCCGCTGGTGAAGCTAAACCACCCTGTAATAACACCATACGTAACGCAGTTAGTGCTTGCCGCGGATAAGTACGCAAACTGAGCCCCCGATGTAGCCTTTTTGCTGCCAGCCGGCACCGGAGCGGAGAGCCCTAGGTAGGTGGAGAGGTTCAGAGTAAGATGAATTGATGCCATGCCTCGTACCTCTTGCGGCAACTCCTGCTTGCGAGGCGCGTGACCATCCACCATGCGCAGCAGACCCGCGTGCAGGTCGCGCAGCAACGCAGCTGAAGCAATGTAATGATGATCCACAATCGTGCGGGTGTCATACAATATGCTACCGTCGCTGCCAGTGCGTGGCGATCCATCGGGGTTACGCAGCGGGAGGGGTCCGGGCATGAGCGCGGACTCGAGCGCACGGATGGGTACGGGCGGGAGCTGGAGCATAAACGCGAAGGTCTGTGGGAGAGGCATACCAAGGCACGAGGGCACAGGCGCAAGGCCGTCAGCGCTCAATTGGAACTCCGCTATCCGCTACGAAGTGGGTAGATGGCAGGGCGACATGCGTTGAACAGGATTCATTCCAGCGTCGCCCCGTGTACTGACCGTCCCGTAGTCTAGACAGGGTACTGGAATATAGAGGAAAGACAATCCCCATCGCCTGCTGTTTTCGGCCAGCTCCCCATAACCACGCACCATGCACATCTCCCAGACCGCCAGCACCTCCGGCACCATGTCGGGGTCCACACGGAAGTCCGCGTTGAGCGCCGGAGGCTCACCGCGAGCGGCATCAGCAGCCGCCAGGGCCGCTTGCTGCTCGGCCCGCCGCCGCTGCCAGCGGGCGTCGCGGCGCTGCTGCTTCAGTTCCGATCGCTCAGCCGCACTGAGACCCGCATACATCCCCTGCACCGCAAAGCGCCCAACAATCACCTATAAGACGAGTGCGCGATTAAGCAAGCGTAAGATGGACAGACGGGTAGGCTGCCCCATTGCGGTGACGCTGGGAGGCCGCGCCATGCCCTTTTGTGTTTTCCACGTGACCATGCGCACGTGTTATTAGGCGGATGCGCTGCGCCTAAGAAGCCTTTGCAGGCGGCTTCAGACAAGCATCGCTCCCATAACTGCCATTTACCCGTCTTGTATAAGGACAGCGCCTGGGCTGTACAAAGCTGAACCACGGCGTGCGTATACTGTACAGGCTATGACTGGTAATGCATTCAGAGGAATGGGGCAAGGGAAACCCTGAGCAGGTTCTGCGTGCAATCAGCCAAGCGCCTACCAGCCGCTGTCAATGTCGGCCTTCTACCAAAACAGAGAGAGAGAGAGACAGGACGACGCACTGTCAGCTGCGGTCTACCACTCACCTGTCCCATCTCATCGCCCTCCTCACTGAGGTCGTCCTCACCATCCTCGCCCTCTCCCCATTCATCCTCCTCATCATTTGCCAAGTCATCATGCTCATCCAGGTCCGGCTCCTCATCGCCCACGTAGCCGTCGAATTCTGAGGCTGCAGCCACGGTGGTCGTGCCGGCCGCAGCGGGAGTCAAGGACCGGCTGCGATGTGCGGAGGCGCTGCCGTAGGCCGAGGCGCCGCCACGGCCGCGCCCAGCTGCACCGCCGCCGCGACCACCGCGACCCTTAACAGGAACCTGGCAACCATGCAAAAACCCACGCAGCTTAGGAAAGGAAGGCTACGAGCGCCCAAGCTGCATATGTGAGCAGGGGAGGAAGCTTCGACCAGCGTGCTGGCACCCTAAGAAGAATGCCAGGGTCACGGACCCTACAAGCACAGCCTATCGAGCCAAATCCTCCCGTGAACCCAATGTGCAGTAAGTTTCTCGACACGCACGCAATCGCTGCAGCCCTGGCCCCGCTATAGGCCTGATACCCCTCGACCGAGCCCTGGAGCCTACCTTGACCTCCTCTTCCTCAAGCTCCTCCTCGCCTGCAGTACATAGGCGTTGACACCCAGTGGGAATCTGGGTCCCGCATGCAATCCATGCTTGTCCTTTGCAGCAAAAAGTGCAAGGCTGGTAAGCCATGCTAGGTCATGTTCAAGCAAGCCATCGCGACCGCGCCTTCGTGCCGCGCGCAGGCTTATGAGTGCAAATGTTCGAGCAACAATCGACAATAGAACAACATACTATCCTCAGCTCCTTTTTGCGCATTCACGCTGCATGAAAGAGCACCACAGTAATTTGCAATGCAGATACGCATTCGCTTTTTCGAGCTGGATCAGATCCATGGCAACAAAACACCTCGGCTTGTACCTCTCAAGGCGCACATGTGCGAATACGCAATTCTTTACACCCTACGGCAGCGTGGCATTCTCAAAGCAGCCCAAGAGCAAATCCACGCCGTGATCTCTTCCCATTGACTACATACACCCCAGGGTACCTGTCCCGCTCAGCCGCTTCCGCTTGGGGCCACCGCCAGCTGCAGGGCCCCCACGCCGGCCGCGCCCCCCGGCAGTTGACCCAGCGCCGTGCGCAGCGCACGGCCCCACCGGCTGCTCTGGCGGCCGCCGCGCCGCCACGACTGTAGCGGCAATCTGCTGCAGCTCTATTACCAGCGGCGGCGGGTTGATGCGGGACCGCTGCAAGGCATTGCGAGGGGGCGCTTAATAGCGTACCTTGGATACTCATCAACCTGTAATTTGTCTTTAACTCGTTCGCAATCGCGTCAAAACTGGTTTCATGACATCGCCCGTCCCCATGGCTTGTCCCGACGGTCATTACGCAAGTACCACTCTTGCTTTTCCGCTCATATGCCCATTGGTATCGCAGCTGATTTTGCATGCGCAGCAGAGGCAGTTTACATACGCGACGGGGGCCAACACGGGCGGTGGGGACTTGCCTTAACCCACGCGGCCAGCTGGGGCGCCAAGAAGGGGCTTTCCTGCTTAAGGACCTCAACACTGTATGGCGTCTGGCTCGTGCCGGGCTGCTGACCCGGCTGAAGCAAAGTCGCTGCAGCGCCTGCCAGGTTCACCGCCGGATTAGCCGCGACGGCACTGGCGGCGCGCAGGCACAAGTCCACCTTCCGTTGTATGGCCGCATACATAGGTGCGTACACTGCCGCAGGATTCTGGAGCCGGAACCTAGAAGGCGCGAAGTGTAAGGGTGGCGACAGCCGTTACGTGGGTTAGGAGCAGTAATGCCGCGGTACATGGCCGTCACGACTAGGAGGTCATCCCCGCTTTGGAAAGCCCCGTTTCGACTTACCAGGCCTTCCCTGTGCATATCCATACCCCCGGATTGGCGCCATATTGAATAACCCAGTCGAGAATGGGCTGCGTTTGGAGGGCGATGAACTTCTGGTTACCTACAGTGGACGAGAGGCAAAACTGTCATTGAGATCGTGGAGCCACGAACGGCCAATCAGAGGCGCTACAAAACTCACCTGTATTAGGTTGACCGTCAACTGGGGGTACCAGACCAACGGCGACCACGCTACCCGGGGCTAACGTGTGCAGAGCTTCGAGGCTTACGGGCGCGTTGCCAGCGCTGGCATTCAAGATTGAAAACTCATTCAGCGTGCGCAGTGGCACTTCAGGAGCCTCTGCGTTTTTAGAGTGCGTTAGGAGGGTGGTTCGGACAACGGTCTGCGGCGGGTCAAAATCAGCCAGTCCACAACTCCCCAGGCCAGAAATGTTGCCCACCGACCCGTGACCCAGGATCTAACGTTGCATGATAACAAGTAAAAGCTTCGAGTTCAACTGTGAGCAGTTCCCTTACCCTGGACTTCCTCCTGTGTTGACATCGGCTATCGTTCAGAAGCACGCACGCTCTGCCAAGGACCAAACGTATCAAGCCTGCTGCCTTTTGAAAGGATTACAAAGTAACTACCAGACAGGTTGAGCACTCCATTCGCAGCAGGTTTCTCTTTCCAGCTGCACCCCAGCTCCTCACGGAACGTGGGGCAAATCTAATGCTCAAACTAAGTCTTAGGGTCCCAGGGGCCGGGCCCACTGACGGAGTACGGAGCGATCGTGGCGCCTTTCGCTGGAAGTTCTCGCCTGGCTGGCCCGAAAGCCAGTTACAACATGCAATGGCAAACTGAACCGTAGCAGCATTACAGGACATGCAAATCTTCGCCTGCTGCTCCCATCGAACGGCCCTCAGAACGCAAGCAAAGCACGACTGCTGTACTGTACGGCATTATTTCCCTAGACGACTTGTGTACCTGTGAGGTGATTACCTGCTTGGATCCTTGCAACACTATCATAACTTACAAATGCTCCGTACACGAATTGCTATCCCTCGGGGCATCGGCCGGGTGAGGCCCCTGGCTCCTCGCCCTGTCGCAAATTTGCGAGTTCGATGTCAAGCAACAACAGGTCAGCATCTTAGCTGCTAAGCAAGCTATGCCTTTCACGCTAAGGAAGCGTTCGTCGCCGTGCGGTGTGCGGATTACAGCACGACGGATGCATTGTATGTCAAGCATTCGATGTAAATCGCAGGTGGCGATCAGCAGCCTTCTGTCGCGCCAGCCGTTGAGGTGACCGCGCCGCCCGTTGTTGCGCCGGTCGCTCCCATTCCAGAGACGACTGCGACATATGTGATGCCGCCGAACCCCATGTATTACCAGGTGGGCAGTATATAGCTTGATTTGACTATGTCGGCGATAGGATCTTTAATCGGCGGCTCGTAAGCGGGTTCCACCCTAAACCGCAGGGTATGCCTGCGCCGCGTCAGGACTACTACATGGCCGCTCCACCAGCTGCATACTATCCCCCACCACCAGCACCTTACAAAGAGGAACCGGCTTCCTCTGGAGCTCCGTGGTGGATTTGGTTGGGCTTGGGTGTGATTCTGGGACAGGTGCTCGCGAAGGTGCGTCTTGGCGTGCACCAACAACATTGCCCAAAGAATCAATCAATAATTAGTTAATATTAAAGCACATGCATTCATTCACAGGTCCAGGAATACATGAAGAATCCGAAGACGCCGCAGCAAATTATGATGGAAATGGCTATGAAGCAAATGTCTGGCGCGATGGGCAGCACAACTGGGGCAGGGTAAGTAAGCCCACACCACTGAATCATTTGACCCATTTCGTTCGTAGACAGATCTTCCGCCCGTGGCGTAGCGCCGCACTGCACCCTCTGCTTCACCCATCCCATATTATCCTCGCAGCATGCCGCCCTTTGGAGGTGCTGCAAGTCCATTTGGCGGCCCTGCTGGTGGCGCCGCCAACCCATTTGCTAACTTCGCTGCGGCGGCATCCGCAGCGCCAGCGGCCACGGTGGACACAACCGCATCCGCGGTGCAGGCCGGCGCCTTTACTCCCTCTCCCCCATCTAGCAGTAGCAGCACCAATGGAGAAGTTCGAAAGGGCGAGAAGTTTGCATCCCGGTTGTCCAGCGAGGGACGGGAGCCGCGCAAGGTGGAGCTGCCTCAGGCAAGCAAGCCGCTGGACGTGGTGGTGAGTGTCCTGAGTGCCTCCCGCCAAACCTCCGCCCAAAGAGCCCCAAAAGGGATAAATAGGAAAGATAGGAGGAAAATTGTGTTGGGGGCCAGGAATGAGCATAGACCGGAGGCGAAGGCTTTGGAGGCGGCAACGGCAGTGGGCAAAGAGGCGGAGAGGGAGGGTGATGAGCAGTCAGCAGCTGGATGTGTTGCTGCCTTGCCTCTGTAGGTGGACGCATACTGGGCTGGTAGCTGATCGGGATCGCAGACCTGAGCTTATTTGGGTCACTGAACTGTCATATGATGTGATGCGGCGTGCCCACGCAGCCGTGTCACAGGGGCCCACTTGTTGGGAAGCCTGCTGCTATTCAGTGCGTTGCTCCGGGGCCCCAGCTGAACTTCGTGGGATATGTTGGGGGAATGTGTTTATGTGTTGTATCCTGTAGGGCGTATCACGGGATCTGACATTCGCCGATCGGTACTTTTGAATCTGTAGTTGCGACACAACAGTATGAGTTTACATGTGCACCCTGAGGGGCTTCCACGTCGCAGAAAACGTGGAGCCTGTTGGTCACTGAAATGAAAGCCCACGGATCCAACATCTAGAGGGAACAATAGCAAGCTGTGTGCTCTGGACCTGGGCAATATCTTGGAGACGTGCTGAAGGCGCATGATGCAATGTTTAAAATATCCATTTTTCCTCGGCCATCATGGTGTAAATAATAAATGAATAAATTAGCCTGAAATGATTTTGCAGGATTGCTTTCCCCTTCCTCGCTCTCCCCCTTTTAGGAGCCGGTGGTGAAGGAGCCGTCTACCAGCAGCAGCAGCAGCACCAACTCCTCTAGCGCAGGTGCCTCCAAGCCTCGATCGTCGTTCTTTGCAGATGTGGACATGGACGCCACCGTCACATCCACATCCGCGAGCAGCAGCGCAGCCGCGGGTGGGTGGATGGGAGGTTCTAGATGGGTGGCTGTTAAGTGGGCGGATAAGTAAGCGGTACCCGTGTAATAGACTGGACGCGAGGACGTCGCTATCGGGTCGACTGGGTTGGCAAACGAGCTAGGATGGGAAGGAATGGAAATTGGAAATGCAGTTCCTGCGTTGGCCGGGTGGGCTGGGCTGCGTAGGATTTGGTCAGGCGAGTTTTGGGATTGCTCAGATTGCATACGAGTTGCGGTGCCGATGGATGCACAGCGGCTGGCAATCAATCAAGGCTCAACTGCGCTAAACATGTTATGTCAGATGTGTACGGCGGATCGGGGCGCACATGGGTGACGTCCACTGCGCTAAATGGAACTGAATTCACTCCCTCCAACCCTCCAAAAAACTTAAACCATCTTTCTTATCCGCAGACGGCAACTCAGCCGTCATGTCGGAGATGATGGAGAGCATGCTTCGGAACCCGGAGATGCAAAAGATGCTTTACCCCTACCTGCCGGAGCCCATGCGCAACCCGCAGTCCATTGAGTGGATGCTCAGCAACCCGGAGGTCAAAAAACAGATGGAGCAGATGTTTGCCCAGCAGGTAGGTGGCTACCTGTCTTGGGTCGGCTAGGTGGCTCTGGCTGAGCTGAGCTGGGGACATGGGGTGGCTGCCGGGCTGGTTTGGGGCCGTCGGGTGAGATTAAAGGAGTGTGATGCATTTAAATCCTTCGAGCCGAACATGAGCAGGCCAGGTAAGCTTGTTTCCTGCATGGCCGTTGGGAAGGGCGTGGGCTACGGGAAGGGGAGCATACACGGGCCGTATGTGCCGCTGCGTGGAGAACGGCGTCGGGGAACGAGGATGTCTTACAGGGAGAACGGCTACAGGGAACTGTACACCTCAGCCCCATTTGTGTGCGTTAAAGCTCGGACTTGAACTTCTCGTGGGTCAAAATGGCCCCACGTGGTTTGTCACACCTTCACATCCTTCCGCTCACAGCCGTGGCTGTTTCCTCTCGACGCGATTGGGGTCCGTCCGGCTGGGCTTCTCTTCCACTTATTCTCGCCTCGGACCTAGCTAAAATGATGTTGCCCTGAAAAATAAGTTTGCAAAACAAAGGACACATTAGTAATTTATAGGTTTATAAACAAAGGATAAATTAATAAAATAAAGATTTATCGGAATAATTAAAAGGACATGAGCAAATTAATGAAATGTTCCTGTGGCTCCTTCCCCTGCGCCCTTGTACGTTGTACGTTCTCCGCAGAACGTGATGTCTCCCCAGATGATGGATATGATGAAGAACATGGACTTCAACCAGGAGAAAGTCAACCGGCAGTTTGCGGAGCTGGGGCTCAAGCCGGAGGACGTCATCTCCAAGGTGATGTCCAACCCTGAGCTGGCCGCCGGCTTCTCTAACCCCAAGGTCCAAGCCGCCATCATCGACATTTCCTCCAACCCCATGAACATCGTCAAGTACCAGACCGACCCGGAGATCATGAAGGTGGGGACTGAGGGTTTGCGCTGCTGCCGTGTGGGCTCATGCAGACACACTTCCCGGCCTGGCAGGTGGCTCCCTCCTGAAAATGAACTCTGAAAACCTCCTGACTCCTGCTAGTCGGCCGTTATAGAGTTTCGTTTCGTCTTGGAGTCCCTTTTTTGTGGTCATCTGGGAGCCCAATCGGTGTGCGTGGCGTTCTTCTCCTGACGGCTTGCCCTGCTGGGGTACAAGTGAGCCTTGGATTACAACGCCAGTATCCCGGATGTCGAAGACGCCCCGGCGGTTGGGGGCCTCTGTGCGGGTGTCTTCCCAGATTGCTGAAGGTGTTTCTCTTTTCCCTCGTGCTGCTGGTCGTACAGGTCTTGGAGAAGGTGACGGAGATTTTCCAGCCGCAGATGAACCAGAAGTAAGGGACGCGGTGTGCAGGGATCTGCAGAGCCAGGCAGAGCAGGGAGGGCTGGCATGCGGAGCTAGTTTGTCCTACGCCACCGCCAAGCCTGTAAAGACAATCACCCGGCGCTCGGCGGCGTCTGGGCGGCGTCTTGGCTAGCGTCTTGAGGAAGGGGAACCTTACGGGGCGCTATAATACAGGCGGCCGGTCCCCATTTGTGGATATAGGGCTTCATTAGCAAGGGGCCAGGAGGGTAGCGAGATGTTGCAGCGTGGGCTTGAAAGTTTTTATGCTGGCATCAGCTGATCACCCTGGTTACGGGGCTAGGGCCGGTGCAAATATTGAGCCACTTCTTTTTTGAAGGGGCTGGGCAGTACTGGGAATTGTTTGATCTAGGTGCTGTTTTACATAGAAGATGGGGAGGGCTTGGGAGCGCATAAGGGCCCGCTGAGCTAACAATAGTCCGCTGGGCACCGTAGGCACCATGGTCGTGGAGAGTGTAGTTGTGCGCGCCGAGGGGGTGTTGTGTGGGATGGGCACGGCAAGAGCTTGGGGATTTTATTTCGGGCTGGATAGTCTTGTGTTGCCGGCGGGATGATGCCGGCCGCGGGGATGTGGACTTGCCTGCGTCGGGCGGAGCGGACATTGTTGGTTGGATTTCGAACGGGTTCGCTGTACTACTTTCCGCGAGCAGATGATTGCGAGCAGGCGGGGCATACACGCACATGCAGGAACGCATTTTGCGCTGTTCTGTAGAACGTTTTGAGCCCAAGGGTTTCGAGGTGTTGTAGGCGTCTATCTCTCGGTCTTCCTCTACTGTGCACCACCCACCATATGGAAGCGCCCTTGGCCGTATTTCTGACGAGTAAGTGTTCTACAAGCCCCTTGTGCAGCCAGCTTAACACAAAGTAAAGCAGATACCTGGACACTATTCCGCGACCTTGCAAGGACGGGCTGCCTCGGGAGAGGCGACGGACCTTTTTCTATTACAGCCTCTGCAGAGTACACCTAGTAACTACGGAATATGCAAGCCCTCCTCCGGCAGAGGTGAAGGCGTGCAAATACGAGACGATCACCCAGCGGCGACCCGGTTGCGTACCCTACCGGCCGACGACAGCTGGTACAGCAGTCGAGCCTGAACCGCACAAGGTTCATGGTTAGCATACACATGGGGCCGCGGTACGAGCACGTAGTGTAGCACTCCCGCTGCCTTCTTGCCTTCAGTCTGCCGTCACTTTATTGAACATCGTAAGGAAGGAGTCCACCATTAGGGAAGACGACGAGAATGTTACAGCTCCACTGACACGGAGGAAAGTGGCGAATGGTGGTACATACATAAACATGTCCATAGAAACGCTCGGGGCCACAGACGTCCTAGGTTCGCCTAAAGTTCGTAGGAAAAAACGCTTTAGCAGAATCCAATGCAGCATGAGCAACCTCCGGGCATCGGAGGAGTACGGCATTGTACGAAGCCACAAGAAAATGTTGGCCGGATGACCCAGCACTCATATTACACGCTTGTCGCAGCATCCGCAAGCGCCCTTATACTTCTGCTCCTGTTTTGCCGATAACGCACAACACACCGCGCTGAAAAGGAAAAAAGCGAAAGCGAGCATGAATGCCATGCCTGAAACGAAGCAAAGCCGCCAAAAGCATTTGAACTTTGAAAACATTTGACCACACCGTACCGCAACACCGAGGAGTCAAGCCACAACAGATACAGGATACAACACATACGGAATAAAAACACTTGCAAACAAGGAAAACACGTTCAGTTCAACCCAGTTCCAACTGCTGACTGCCGGCCTCTTTTATACGTATTACACTTACGTGCGGCAAAGCTACTTCGACACAACGGCTCATCGAAGCGTCTTTGGCAACTGGGCAAAACGATGAGCCAGTTCCGTAAACGAGGGGTCAGGTGCCCGAGCACTGCACATGCAAATCTCGCGCGCAATCGCAGCGGTCACAGACAACATCATCCCCACAACGTCGACTCACGACCAAAAGTCCGCAAACACAGCCCCAAGCAGCTCCCGCGTGAGACGGATTGATACAGCAGCAGCGGCTGTTTCATGAACCGCGAACTGTTGCAAATCCACCCGAAATCCATACCACGGGAGCTCGCTCGCGCCACGGGTCATCGTCCTCTCCAAATCAAACACCTTGACGCAAAGGATAAACGAAAACAAACGCACAACAGGGTCCAAGGTAACACACTTAAGAATCTTTGGAGGAGCCTCCTCCCTGCGCATACTCACTCCTCGCACACTGCAGCATGTCGCCACCCACCAATTTCCATTCGTAAGGGCACCAACACTGAACGCCCGAATTGGGCCTGCCGCAAGACCCCAAATATGGAATCGGATTGGAATTCTTCCTCCCTCACCTTCGCACCTCTTCTCCATGTGTACCACTTATTTCTTCAACTCCAACCCTGGCCGCTAAGCTTCCCCGCTCTACAGCGCCAGCCATCCCACATGCCTTTTCATCTCAGCTGCGCAGTCCGCACCAGCAGCAGCGCCAACAGCTACTATACTGCTGCTAACCTAAGAGTATGCGGACGGGTCATGCCCGTCAAGCGCAAGACAACCAGCTCTCCCATCCTTTCCTCAAAAAGCTATTGCTGCCGCGGACTCTACAAATACACCCTCAGCTCGTTATTGTGACTTGAGGGCCTTACCACCCGCCTGCGGCAGCTGCGGCGGACGGTGGTTTATGCACCACACAGCTGACAGCGTCACGGCGCAGCCCAATATCTGCATGGGGCTCAGTACCTCGCCGAGCGCCAGGTACCCCGCCGCCGACGCGAAGACGGGTGTTAAGAATGTCAGGCTGCTGAGGGACGTCAGGGAGCCGTGACTTGCATACCAGAAGAAGATGCCGTACGACATCGCGCCACCCATCAGCGAAACGTACGACATGCACATGGCGTCCTCCAGGGTCAGATGGGAGAGTTGTGTCGCGAGCGACGCCAGTGGCGATGAGCCCGCCTCCAGCGCTGCAACGGCGCTGGCGTCGCCTCCAGCGGTGCTAGCGGCCAGCGCGGCGAGTATTGCTCCGCCGATGATCATATGCCAGCCGGTGGCCATTATGGGATCCACATGGCGTGTGACATAGCGAACCATAACAGTGCCGATCTGCAAGATTGCACAGTGCAGCACAAACAATCCAGATGCGGCTCGCTAACACCACCGCGAGGCGCAATACCAGTGCTGCGCAGCTGGCAGGAAGCAAGTAGGCAGTTAGCGGGTTGGGTTACGATCAACAGCGGTCGCCAATCACTCTTTTCACGCGCTCCAGCATCTCCTCCCCTTTTCCCTCCTCTCCTCCGGTTCTCCCCAAGATGACCGACCACAAGGTGCCGTATTAGTATATACACCTACTTCCCACGGCCACGGCGCTCACCGCCATGCTCTGGGCCGCCAGCAGCATCCAGAACTCCCCGTTGCCTAGCAGTCCGCCGGCCGCACCGCCTGGCAGCTCCGGCCGCCAGGCGCCGCTGAGCACCGCCTGCGCCGCGTCTGCGAGGTTGTCCCCTGGCACCTCCAGCATGGCCAAACCCGCAACACCTAGCAGCAGGCCCCCGACACCCACGCCACTGAGCCGCTCCCCAAACAGTACCGCCGCCAGCACGGCTACGGAGAGGGGCTGTGAGTCGATGATAACGCTGCCCAGGCCAGCGCTGGTCTTGGTTAAACCCTCAGCCAGGAAGCCCTGCCGGGAGTGGAGTGGCATGGAGCGCCATGTTGACGAGTTGGAAGAGGTAGCAGACAACGGGCCGGGGCAGCGAGCGCGTGCCATCTGGGTTGGATCTGTTTGCACCGATGGACATTTCTTCCGGGTGCATTCTTTGTGTGGGTATATGCGTGTTGGCCGCATGTATAGTAAGTTTAAGTGGACGCACCTGGAAGGCTGCGGCGTCGACCAGGGCGAAGGCCAACACCCAGGCCCACGCCTTCAAGGTTCCGGGCTGCTTCCGCCCGGATGCTGCTGCCCAGCCCACCAGCACGAGACCGGCGGGGAGCAGCCGCAGTGCGCCTAGCACAAGCGGGGTGGTATGAGGTACCACGCTCTGCAGCAGCCCGCATCAGAGCGCGCAGGGTAAGTTAGAGGGGTTTTTGGAAAACGAATGCTGAGCAGTTGCGCAAGGAGTGGGATGGGTGGTAAGCATATGTGCAACGTGTGGACCGCAGGCGCTAGCTAGATGGGCAAGGCAGGTTTTGCAACGGCCGAGATGACTAGACTGCATCCTGAAGCTTTCATGGAGCAAACTGTATGTTCCGTGGATGCCCGGAAACGCTTTGGGCTGACGTCAGGCAGGCTTAGAAACAACCGTCTCGCGCCGACGGTTGCTTGTCAAAGCCCACCTTCATGGCGACCATTGAAGTGCCCCAAAAGAAGAAAGGAGAGATTAACAACGCAGTTTCCGAAATGGTAGACAACAAGCTGCGTTGGGCCGACGACGCGTCGGCAGGTAGAGCCACATTACTGGCCATAGACGCCTCGTCTTCGTCGGGCACATCCTCCACCAAACACATCATGCTGTCTAAGCCCGACAGCGTACACTGCATTTCTTGGTGCGTCCCATGCTGCGGAGGCGTGCCGTCCGGTGGCGCGACTGCACTCCATGCCTGAGGACCGTGCTGCAAAATTATGTCGGCAGTTTGCGCTACGTCAACAATGTCTTGTGGCGATGCATTTTGGCAAGCTATTAGCCTCCGTCTAAAACGAGTGGTCGACTGTCGGCATTGTGCCGCGAGCCGCACGTTATGAATGGTGTCACATGTGTGAAAGAGCTGAATTTTAGGCATTGTTCCTGTGAGAAATTTCGGCGTGTATCTTGTCCACGGCTCTCTAGGGTCCAATACAGCACGAGCTGGGTTGACCGATTTACACAATCAGACTAATGAAAGGTAAGTAATGAATATGCATCCATTCCTGTGTTAATCTACACGGCATAAAGCTGTGGTAATTGCCACATGATTGCGAGCGAATGGGTTCCACCGCAAAGTTTTTCAATCGTCACGACAGCTATGAGCCCTCTGATTCAGAGTCCAAGCAATGCCGCGAGCTGCGTTCAGCATTATTTGTACGTCAGTATATTAAACAATATGCACAAGGATAGGCACCATCAGCAGAACGTCTGCAAATGAAGACATGAAGGCGCACTGCTTTGGCAGCCTTCACGCAGAGCACGTAATGAGGCTTTCTGAGAAGAAAGAGGAAATGGAGGTTCTTCAGCCCCTCCTGTCTTGGGCCGGTATGCGACGGTTGACTTCGAATCCACTCTGCTGGCACCGCTTGAAGTATTTTCGGTGACAGTTCTACCCCCTCACAGGTGGCTGCAGCAATGAACCTAGCAAGGAACCCGCCCTTCCGCCGCGTGCTGCACCAGTCCCACAACGACCAGACGCATCGTCGTCGGTGTCCGGCACTTTTGGTCCGCCAGCTCTGCAGTCTCAGCAGCGAAGGCCCCTGCTGGACTGGAGAGCAGCTCTCGCAGCCTCTCAGGCTGCACGCATCAGCCGTGACCAGCGGCTCGCGCTGCAGCCTCTGGAGCAGGGTCCCATCACCTCGGATAGCCTCCCCTCCCAGCGCTGCGGGACACGGCACAATCTTGCCATCGCAGCGAGCAACAGACCTGCCAGCTCAAGCTTATGCCACCCAACGGACCCGACTGCATCACATCTTCCAGATCTCACACAAATGGATAATGCTACTGATGCAGCTCAGCCGCCGCCATCACCCCCTAGCCACTTGCACAGCAATCACTCCCCCAATCCCATCGCCGCAAGGTTGTCAAAAAGCCCCGTACCTGCGGCTGGCAGACCCAACAATTCCCAAGCAGAAGCCTGCGGCGAAACCCGTCGAACGACATCCCCGGCGCCGTCGCATCAGGGGCCCTCCGCATCCTCCGGTCTGCCGCAGTGCGTGGAAGCAGCCGCCTGGTCGACGGCCCCAGGCGCGGCGGCCCTACCACCGCCGCTCGCTGCCTGGGGGATCCTGCTCCTGGGCCCGCCCGCTGCCCAGACCTCCGGAGCACCTGCACCAGGAAGGGCGTGTCGAAGCCCTGTCACGAGCAGCAGAAGCAATGATGGTGATGCAGGAAGCTGCAAGCAACAGACTAGTGATAGTGAGGTGGAGAGCAGCCGCAGCCGCGGTCACCGGTACCGCTATGGTCGGCGCAGCCACGACGGCGCCGTGCATATGTCGCCCTCCGGTGACGGCCTTCTGCTCCCAAAAAGGAGCACTGATCCTTCACCGTCACAGCCATCTTCGCCAAGGGCGACAGCAGCAACAACAGCAGCCACAGCCATCAGTCCCCAGGCGGAGCGCGGCACACAGACAGACTATGTGTGCGCGGCGCAGAGCGGCTCCGACAATACAGTGCTGGATCCCGTCGGCGGAGGGCCTCTCACCAACCGCGTCTTAAACCGCCGGCGCTCCTACACAGTCCTATACGTACGGGACTATGATTACGATGACGATGGCAGGCCAGCGCCGGTGCCGAGCCCGGGTTCCGGCGATAGTAGTGCTGGTCTGCAAGCTGGTGCGCCTGCTGGTGAGGTTGCGGGTGCTGTTGGGGCCGCTGTCAGCGCCGCCATCGGGTCCCGCCGGCGGCAGGAGCGCGAGCCGCCGCCGCAGCAGCAGACACCGTCACAGGCACCGCCGGATGCTGCTGTTACTGGAGATCCTGGAGGCCGCCTCGAGGGGACGGCAAGTCCCGGAGGGATCGACGGGGTTTCACCCAGTGTGGGATTAACGGACGCTTCGCAGCACCTGCCGAAGAGCACCAGCAGCTCCAGCAGCAGCAGCGGCGCCCACAGACACAGCAGTAGTCCTCGCAGCGGTCCCAGCGCTGTTGCATCGCGGGTAACCGCATCGGAGCCTGCGCACCTCGAGACTACACCCGTAGGCGAGGATACGGCTACTACTACTACTACTGCTGCTGCGGCGGCGGCGGCGCTGGAAGCAAATCAGGCCCTTCATGCAGGCCCGGTCATCGGCGATGCAAATGCCGGTGATGGTGTTGATGCTGTTGCTGGGGTAGGCAGCAGCGGCCCTATTGCTGGAGGTGAGACCAACGAGGCCCAGAAAATGGCTATGGTTTCGGAGCCAGCGATGGGGACCCGGCTGCGTCCACAGGGCCCTGCTAGGGACGTGGTCTCGGGTCGAACCCCGGTTCGATTAGGAGCTGCTTGGGAAGCCGCATTGGGCGTAGATCCGCTGGTGGCGGTGGCGCGCACCGCCTGGGCAGCTCCTGCGCCTGCGCCTGCTCAGGCAACACGGACAAAGCCCAAGAGAGCACCTCTGGAACCCCCATCAGCAGCTGCAGAAGCAGAAGAAGCTCAGTCGCTGGCAGGCCCTGAGCCGGTGATGCGGTGGCGGCAAAGGAGCCGCACAGATCAGGAGGTGAGCGGTCCGTCAGGGTGCCCCATGGAAACATACTTTGACGAGCGGTCGCCGTCGCCGTCGCCACCACGGTCTCGATCACCACCTGCGCGACGGGAAGACAGTTTGCTACGTTCGTCGCTCGGCGACACAGAGCAGCTCCCCGCGAGCCGCCGAATGGGGGCCAGAGTTGAGGATGTTCGGCGGATGAGCCACAGCCGGCTGCTGGGCCGAGGCGGCGGCAGCAGCGCCGAAAGCCGTGGACATCGGCACGGGGTCCACGGCGGTACTGCTCCAACTGAACGCCGAGCCCCGCAACCAGGTGGCAGCTGGCGTCAGTGCTGGACCAGCAGCCCCCCGGAAGGGCGGCATGGGCCGTGTGGGCATTCTGACGGAGTGAGCGATGGAGTTTGCGCGGGCAGCGGCGGCAGTGCCAAGGCGGCGCATCAGTCGGCGTGGTCGGCGGCCGGGTCGCCTAGGGGTCCCGGCATTCGGGCGCCGGGGGACATGCAGCAGCAGCACTCAGCAGCAGCAGCAGCAGCAGCAGGGGACAGAGGTCGAGGCGTGAGAGATGAGCTCCCTGCCGTCCGTACAAGTTGCCGGGGGCCCGCCGTCGGCCGGACATCACCGCCGCCGCTTCCGCCGGCGCATCAGGCGAAGCGCCCTTTGACCTTGCCTGCAAACAGCGCCCAAGCGGCCAGGGCGGCGGGCGGCGGCTGCGTCGCCGCGGGTTCCCGAAAGGGAGGCAGAGCTGACGTGACGAGTCCGCAACGCAGCGTCCCTCTGTGGACGGCACATAAGCTGGCGGCGCCGCCACCACCGCGCGGCGACGGCGGCGGAGACGTACTGCCGCCGCCCGTGCGGGCGTTTGGCCCTGCCGCGGTAGCGCGTAGCAGCAGCAGCAGCACTACTGATGCTGGCAGCAGTGACAGCAGCAGCAGCAGCGGAAGAGGAGACGCACGGAGCTCGCAACAGCCACATCCGGGGGCTGAAGACCGATCCGACGGCAGGCGGGTACAGGAGCCACGACGTGGTGTCAGGGGTATGATGCATCGTGCAAGCCCCGTGGGCCGGGGAGTAGGGGCTTCCACTGCTGCTGCCTTGGACTGCAGCACGGATTCCGACCCATGGTTCTGGCTGATGAAGGCCAGCCTGGCGGACCGCCTGCCAGGCGCCCTGGGTGCCGGGACCCGGTCCCCACCGACTTCGTCTACCTTGTCCTCCCCAACCTCTCAGCCAGCCGCTTCCGCTGGGAGTAAATTCACAGCAGCAGATGCTACTGCAGAGGTGGCGGTGGGGACGGGGGCTGTTCCCATATCGCCCCCGCGGTCCACTGCTGTCGATGGTGGCGGCGGCGGCGCCACTCGCAGGCGCAGGTTGACACCCCTCCGCGCTTCCGACGTGATCGCCGGAGGCCCGGCATGGGTTGCGCCGCGGCGGCTGTGGCGCGCGCCATCGCCGCCGCCGGCGGCTGTGGCGCCAGGTCCGCCGCTAAGGCACCCAGCAGGAGCAACGGCTGGATTGGACAGGGCCAGCGCGATTTCAACGCGCGCTGCGTCCGTGGACCGAGTGCCCCGGTCCCGCGGCCATGAAGGACTGCATCACAGTAGCCGTGTACCTGACGCCGACGGCGGGAAACGGGGCGCCCTCCGTGCACCGCAGCGATCGCCTTCCCAACCGCACCAGCGCCAGCAGCGGCGTCAGGAGATGGGTGCCAACGCGGACTGGGTTGCGAGCGCGGGTTCTGGTGCGGAGAAAAGTTCATGCCAGCGGCGGCGGCGGCGGCGGCGTCAATCTGCACCCGGGCTGCGGCAACGGCGCTCTCGGACAGGTACGGCGTCGTCGGTACACACGGATTGCACTTTCAGTGGTGGACTTGTGCAGCAGAACCCCTCCCCCTTATCCGCTGCTTCTTGTGTGTGGGTTGGGGATAGAGGGGCCAGGAGGAGCAGGCGGAAAAGAGGACAGCGCCTCCGCACATGGGTCGTCATGGCATAGAGCGTATGCGCTCACGTATCGTGCAGGCGAGCGAGTGCGTGCGCGTCTGTGAGTGTATATAGATATGTATGTGTATGTATGTATGTATGTGTGTTCGGCGTTGCACCCACCGCGGAACCTCACGTGGACGCGTCGGGACAAGAAAGCCGCCAGATCCCGTCCCGGGTCCGTCCCTCTTATCGCTATTCCGCAACCACCTGAGCCCCCTTCCATGTCCCCCACGCTGCCGACCCGGCCCCGCCGCGGACATGCCTCCCCACCCGTCCGCTCGTCCGCGCCTCCGTGCAGAGGGGGGTTCACCTGGTGCAGCGGTTGCTCCTCACCGCCCTGGCAGCCCTAGCAGCCCTATGGGCCGCCCTGCTTCACGGCCGAGACGCCAAGGCCACCGGCACGATCAACCCCACAATCACCCCTATGCCCACAGCCAAGACAGCCGCGACCACAGCGCCTACAATGTCAGCAATGTTGACGGCAGCGGCGGCGGTGGCGGCAGCAGCCGCGGTGCCGCTGATGGTGATAATGTTGAGCGAAACTACAGCGCCGGTCGCCCTGACGTACCATCCCTCAAGGAGATCTCCACTTTCGGCACATCCGCCGGCGTTGCGTCAGTTGCAGCGGCCGTTGGGGGTGCTGGGTATGATGGGGCTTATGGTGATGGTGATGGTGATGCAGGGCGTACCATCAAGCGCCGACAGGTACCGGTCTCCGTACGGTCGGCGCTGCTGCCGCAACCCGCGGGGCCGGCGACGCAATGCTGCGATGGCGATGTGTCTTTCGATCATGCAGCGGCGCGTGTGTCAGAGGGCCCGCCGCCTCGAGGGTGGGGAGGCGCGGCGGTTGCAGGTGCGATCTCGACGACAGCTAAAACCTCTGCTCTGTCCATGTACCCGGACGGCGCTGCTGCGGCAGCGCTTGGCGCCACTCCCTCTACATCCGCTGCAGTGCAAAGCGCTGCGACCAAATCGCATCTTAATGTGACGGCGAGGGAGGCGCGGACTGCGTCCATTCCGACGGCAGCACAACCCGCTTCAGCGGCGGAGGTGCAGCCATCAGGTGGTACGACCTCACCCGCATACACGCAGCCCCGTTATGCCGTACGGCCGCCGGCGGCGGCCACCCGTGGTTTCACAGCTGTCGAGGATGGAACGGCCGCCGCTGCGTCGGGACACGTTGTGCAGCCGGCTGTCGCCACGGTTGGATCGGGGGTGCTGCCCTCGTCGTTATCCTTCGCAGCCTCCTGGCTGGGTGCTTTGGACGGAAGAATGTCCAGACAGCGGACAGCGGAAAGTGCGCAGCAGGTCGCCAGTGGTGGTCCTACAGTCGCCGTCGCGGGTACCGCTGCCACCGCCGCATCCTTCAGCGGCAACGCAGGGGGGAACCGGCCGCCGCTGCGTGAGGCAGTTCATCCCGCCGAGCCGCCGCCGCCGCCGCCGCCGCCAGCGCTACAGCCAAGTGAAGTGAGTGCGAAGACGACTGGTGCCCGGCGAACTGGACCGTGGCCCCTTGGCGGCAAGACGTCGTTTGCAGGCAGGCAGGCCTCCCAACCCTTGACTTCCGACCTCGCTGATAGTGGCGGCGGCAGCCACAGTCGGGTTTCGGGTGGCACGGCAATGCAGTACGCGGATCTGTCGGCGCCGTCGGCGCCGTCCTCGGATAGTACCACCGCTGCCGCCGCCGCCGCCTCCATGGCCTCAAGTCGACCATGGCCCATCACGGGGCTTCTTTCTGTGGGATCTGGCCCTCCATCGGCAGCCACGTCCGACAAGCTGCTGCCGCCAGGTCAGCTACTGCCGCCGCCGCCGCAACGGCGTGCAGAGCCGCTTCTGAAGGAAGAAGAGGTGGAGAAGGAGGGGCAGCTGGCTCAGTGGCTCAAGGAGCATACCTTGGCGTCGGGTACTGTTGCACCCTCACAGCCCATCCAGGTCCGTCGTTTGCCAACAGAGGTGGACGTGGGAAATAGCGGTCTCGTTGAGTGTGTGTGGTTGCGCACTTGCACATCAGCAACCCGCTGGCAGGTGGCGGCCGTAGAAGCGCACAAGCATCACACGGCTGGGTGTTCCGTCTTACCATGCGAGTGGGTTGGGTGCCGCTTCCGTGCCCGCAGGTAATTGTGACGGGTCCGACCACGTTCGTCGCAGCACCAGCACCAGCACCAGGAGGAGGAGCGACGGCAGCAAGCGGTGGAGGTAGTGGCGCGGCACACGAAGCCGCGGTGATGCCCCAAGGCTCGCTTCACCTCCTTACCTCTAGCCACCGGTACCTTCCACAGAACCATCCTCACGACCTCCATCAACATCATCAGCATCATCAGCATCAGCGCACACAAGTACAACAACAAGTACAACAACGCCAACAACAACAAGTACAACAACGCCAACAAGAATACCCACCACAGCTCCAGCAGGCCGGGCAGCCGGGCCTTATGGTGGTTGACCTCGTGCAGCTCCTATCCACAGGTAATGGTGCAGCTCCACATCCTCGACCTGACTTCGCCATTGGAAACCTTGACGCTTCCGACCGGACGGCAACAGCTCGGCATGGCAGTTTTGGGGCAGCGACGGGCGCGACTAGCAGCAACAGCAGCAGCTGCGGTGGCCATTCACGCAGCGGCGGCGGTGGCGGCCGTGACGGCGTTGCGTCCAATGCGGCACTCGCTAATCCGGCGGGGGTTTACTCTCACGTCCCTTCTGTTTTCACAGATCACCCTCGCCCACTGCATACTCAGCAGCCCCCTCATCAGCAGTACCACCAGCAACCCCTGGATCGTCGGTACCACCAGCACCAGCTATCAGAGATGGCAAACCAGTACCAGCAACATCCACAGCAGCACAATAACCAGCAGCAACAACAGCAGCAGCAGCAGCAACGGTACTACTATACCCTTCAGGATCAAGGACAGCAAGGACCACCGCGCGCGGGGACTGCTACCGGTCTCGGCACCTCAGGAGCTGATAGTCCCTCCGGACATCCGCTCAGCCTTCAGCTTACTATTCCCCCCGCCCCAGCGGCTGCCTCAGCTTCGGCGGCTGCACGGCATCCTCACCCCGATCCATCAGCGTCCTATCGCCAACCGCGTGACGACCCGAGAGCCATGTTCGCAGCCGGCAGCTGCCGGAGCAGCAGCAGCTGCGGCGGGGTCCGGAGTGCTGGCGGCGGCAGCGGCACGAACAGTGCTGCGACATTGGCACGTCCCAATGCGACACCGCAACCGGTGTCGACCACTGCCGCTGTGGCTGCTGCCGAGCCCTCGCCTACCCAAGCCTCCTTTGGCTACACATCTGGGCCCGGCGACAGTGCGGTAGGCGTGGTGCATTTGGCCGGTGGGGCGGGTGTGGAGGTGACGGTGAAGCTGACGGGCCTGTCGGGTGCACGCGCAGCGGCGGTAGAGCAGCCGCCGCCGATGCTGGTGTACGGGGATACGCGTCATTCTGGTGACCATGCATCGACGATGTACGGAATACAGCGCGGGTCCCAAGGTGGTCCAGGTGCGCCAGCGGTGCCATCGGGGCAGTATACGCAAGCGCAAGAGGCCCGAAGGGGCGGCCCTGCAGCGGCAGCGGCAGGGGCAACGAACCTGCCGTACGAAGTGCAGCTGGACGCACTCACGGCATTGGGTCAACAATATGACGGGAGGCGTAGCCGGTCGGGGCGGGCGGCGGAGGCGATTGGGACATCCGGGGAGCGCTGGCGAGGTGGAGGTGTCGAAGGGGCCCAGGGGCATCCTGGACTTGTCCTTGATAGCTCCGGAACCAGGGGAGCTGTGCGAGTGGATTTGAGCCACGGGCGCATCCTGCAGTCTGTACGCTCTGGCGGTATGCGTTCGTGAAGATGTGGGTCTTTTGCACGAGGCTACGGGGCGCATGCAGGGATGCCGAGAAAACAAAGCCGAGAAAACATGCTAAAACATTTACTAAAACCAGACATGGTCGCAGGAGGCCGAGGTGCCACCAGCTCTGCGAGCTCTGCGTTAAGCGATGTCGAGCCGTGTCCCGGAAACGTAATTGTATATATAGCGGGAATGAAGGAGGAATAAGTGCGAGCGCACTGATACAGTGAACAACGTGCAAGCTAAGCGGCGAGGCCGAGGGCCTGCAGCCGGATTGGAATCATCTGATCTCAGTTACACTGCTCCATAGCATCATACAGATCGCTGCCAGTGCATCGGTCCATATATATATATATATATATATATATATATATATATATATATATATATATATATATATATATATATATATATATATATAGCGGAAGCCATACTGTACAACTGATGCGGCATGGCTGTAAAGGCTGTAATTCGTTCGCCACTATTGCGAGGTGTTGCTGTCGCGTAAACAGGCAAAGCACACCGTCCCACCAAGGAGGCAACTGAAACAAGCGTGGGAGTCAGCCCGCATATTGCGCGCTACTAGCAGCAGGAAATGCTCTACGATGAGCATCAGGCGTGCCGAAGCATTACTGGAAACCGTGCCGTTGTCCAGACTTCCTACGATTCACTAACATCAAATTCTCTCATCAAACTGGCAGAAGCGATAGTGCATGCCTGCGCTTCCCGTAGGCAGAGCTGTGTTCTAAAACCCTAAAAGCAGCAATCTTGTCGAAGTAACAGGTTCGATGAAAAAAGCTACGCACGCGCGCAGACGCACATGCCGAGCAACAAATATTCCCAAGGTTGCAACGCCGAAGCCATTCTATCGTTTGCCTTTCCGGGGCGTATGCGAAGCGGCAGACATCATCGCATCGCAGCCGCAGCAACGAAAGCCCACCTTCCATGCGATATGCTTTTCGACAAGTACTATTCATGCAAATTTTCGAAACCCTACCCTCAACTGATGGTCACACTCTTTCGCTGCTGAACAAAGGTCACATCACCAAACGGCTAAAACATTGTAAACACCACGGCAAAACATAAACAGAAGCAATCAGTCTGCGAAGGCGGTTTTCATAACGTAAAACATAGCTCAAATGGACCGGTGCACAGTCATGCACAAGGTCAGACTTAACATAGGGTTTTAGGGTTTTGCTGAGCTCGACAGTTCAAGTGCGGACGAACTCGCCAATACCGCAATCTGAATGACTAAGGACACCATACATGCATGTGCTACTAGTAATCTTGCTGTGCAAGTGAATCGATGCTCATGAATAGAACCGAGTCCATGTCTTCGTGTCATCACTGCTTCCGCGCATGTCCCATGCACGAAATAATCGCTCGGCACGCACATAGACAGCCAGCCTATTCAGCGGCCGCTGGTCCTTGGTGGGCTCGGAGACCTAGGCGAAGGGCTGGGGGGCTTGGCAGTCGGGCTAGGGGGCTTGGCAGGCGATGGGCGGGGCGGCGACTTGGGCGGGGGACGGTTGGGCTGCGGGCTGGGAAACCGCGGGCTTGGTGGTGGCGGTGCTGGTACGCGGCAGAAGGAGCCCCGAGTGAAGAAGTCCTCCGCGGGGGGCGGGTTGTAAACCAAATTGCAGCAGACGGGGTTGCCTGCGCAAGCCATGACGAGAAGGAAGACGAGTGGGCGGCTTCAGAGGCCCCGTTCCGATCAAAAAGTCCAGGACACCTACGGCCACCCGGCCTGCCTTCCCTCGCGTAACAAACAGTTGTCAGCCCGGCTGTTAGTCCCTCCGTACTTACTGTCGGCCGGAGAGGGGAACAGCACGATGGATCTCACAGCGTCGGCAGCGGGCGGCACCCGGGCGATCATCACGTTGGGCGCTGCACCCCACAGCAGTCCGTCCTCCGTGGTGTTGCTGTTCTCCCTCCGAAACCAAGCCAGGTTGAAGCGGTTGTCACCCAAGGAGTAGTTATGGCGGTACAGGTCGGTGGGGTTGCTGCAGTTGCCGATGAAGCCGTAGCCGTTAATCTGGGCCCAGGGGAAAAGGGACAGGAAAGAGGGAGGGAAAGTCCTTTGAGAAGTGTGGGCGCCAGGGCGTTGAGACGGAAAGTGAGGCTTTTGTCCGCGGGGAGTCAAGAATGTCTGCATGTGTGCTGAACAAAGCTGCAACTACTGGCGTTGAATATGATGCGAGTGATCAAGTCTCAGAAGGAGGAAGGCTAGATTTATGTGAGGGATGAGGGTGGCCCGGAGGGGATGCGGAGTAGCTAGCCAGTGCGTTGTTTTGGGCTGGAGGGCTTCAGGGATGAAACTCAAAACGCTGCCAGTATCTGTGTGCTGTCCGCTCTTATGTGAGGTGAGGCACAAACCACTTTGCTATGCATTTATTTCAATCGGAAGGATTTATTTTCTCTTACAGTCAGGGTTCGACACCCCGTACGGGCCCGTAAGTTTTTGGCCTTTTTTCGGTATCCCCGTCAGGGCCCGTAGGACTTTACGGTGGCTCCCGTAAGGATTTTGGGGCGCGAAGCGCCCCGTACGGGGCCGGCCCCGGACCGGCCGAAGGCTGGTTACGGTGGCTCCCGTAAGGATTTTAAGGATTTATAAGAGGCCGTACGGGGCCCTGTAGGGGAGAGGACGGACCATATAAAGGATAAGGCCACACACTTGGCAGACATAATTCATATTGCAATATTTAACTACACTTTTCATAATACTTTTATAACTTCTGGTCTGTAACATCCAGCGATGGCAGACAATGAGTCGTCAGGAGGTGACCAAGGGCCTCCTAAGCCACCGCCCTCCAAGAAGCGCGCCACCTTGGGTCAAGGCGCTTGGCTTTCGCTGAGTGTGCCGTGTCCCCGAGTGTAATGGTTTACGAGAAAATAACGAAAATAACGATTTACAGGGCAAGAAAATGCAAAGCGTCACTTTCCACAGCGTTTCAGCCAAGGACAGTGCCCCCGTAAAGGTTTTGCGGGGGTTACGTAAGGTTTTCGGCCGGTACAGGAGCCCTCCGTAAGGAAAACTTGGGAGGTACGGGGGAGCCCGCAAGTTTCAGGAAGGTCAGTGTCGAACCCTGTAAGTTACAGTAAAAGCTGGTGGGTGCTTCATCTGCGGATGTCGATGACGATGTTGGCGCTCAGCTAGATGACGACGGGATAGGAATGGTCCCGGGACTAAAAGCTTTCCTAATACGCACCTACAAAAAGCGTTCTACATTGCCACCTCGTCTCGCTTACCTGGCGGCCGGCATAGGGCTTGCCATTAAGGGTGAGGGTGAGGTTGACGTCCAGAGAGGTGGTTGCCCTGTCCGTGCAGTTGCCGTCAAGGTAGTAGAAGACGGCTGCGGTACCTGATACAGTGAGGCTGGAGGCGCTTGCGGGGAAGATGGGCAGCGGGCCCAGAACGCCAAGTGTAGGGTCCATGGGCACCCAGGACGAGCACGACGCCACGTTGTGGCGAATGAACTCTTTGCCTGCGATGTGAGGATGCGACAGTTATGAGTGATGGCAAGATAGGCACTTTGGCGACAATGGAGCGACATGCAAGGATTGACGCAAAGAACATGTATGTCTTACGTCAAAACGAAGCTGCGTAATAAAATTTGCATACTTCACACATATTTGTGCATGTTGCTGTTGCGTGTTGCTTTGGGGAAGATTACGACGTGTTCGCACCCGCGCTCTAGAAATGATCTCACCTGGCGTCGGCACTGGCAGGAACGACCAGGCATGCAGGCCTCCTCTGCAAGTAAAGACACTTAACTTTAAATCTGGAAGATCATGCTCAAACTATACTAGCGAATCTGATCAGTTACAAGGGAAGACTGATCGCCGAAGTGCAGCTTACCCGTGGCCATAGACGGTGCAGGCCAGCGCCATTAGAATGAGGGCACAAAATGTTTCCTTACGACCCATAATGGGGGCAAAGCCTCTCTTCTGGCACATCATCATGTCGGATTATACGGCGCGACAAGGCAAGCACCGTACTCGCTTCTTCCGTGTTTATGGAATGCAACAGAGGCATTATTTTATAATCAAAGTTTCTATATTGTAATCATAAGGCTCGCGACGGTGTTGTAGGCTCTTGCCCCTACAAGCAGGAGGTACAAAGCGTACACCCCGAACTGATGATGCCTTGGCCGACAAAAATACGTCAGATATATCAAGGTAAAATTATCTTATTGTTTAAGTCATATGTCTCGAAGTATGGCTTCACAGGACTATGTCGCATCCATTGGTTTCATCAGGGACGGTGGAACACAACTCCAGGAGCCATAATACTAAAGTTGGCCAGTTCCGTAGACATTATAGATCTTAGTCACATATGAAAGCATTGGAGCGTTGGTGACTGGTCTGCTCCTCTTTACGCACCGGACGGGTTTTATTGATTATCCTGAATTGTCCAATCCAGGCCACGCACGCGCCATGCGCCATCGCTAAACATATTTTTCCTATTCTAATTTTTCCTACTATCCATTGCATTTTTATCGTGGTCTGCATGTATTGCGATATGCCCGCCGTTTCGGTCAACTGCCCGGCGACCGTTTGCGACAGGCGGACTGGGGAAATATCTATTATTTTGTATACACATTTTCATTACAAAAGGTTGTTTTTTACTCCTCAATAAAAATGTCTAACGTTTGGTCTTCGGGCCAAGGGAGCATCCGAAGACCATCTTGGAAATCACAACACCTCTTCCAAGAGCGGTCGAGGCGCACTCCGGGGGTGTTTGACATGGAATCAAAAATAAGACCAATATTATATAAATAATAAGGCCTTACAAGTACTTAGATGTGCTTGGGCAAGCTCGCCTACAGAATAGCCAATGCTTTTGTCTGTCCAAGTCTGTCCAACCATGACACGTAGCAACCGGAATAAAGACGCGATATATGGGTCCCCTCTTATCATGACTAATGCACGCCTTACGTTGATCCGACAAGAGCAATAATTGCCGTCGGGATGCCGCCGTAATCTTGCCATACCGGGTACCGTAAATGCCGAGGGTTTGAGGATGGATGGCTTTTACAAAATAAGCGTGGCATGCGCCGCGGACAAGTGTTGAAAGGCTCACGAAATGGCTGGCGTCTGCATGAGCCAGGTTGCCGACTTCAACCACGGAAGTCGAGGAAGTCATGGATGGTTGCGGGCCTATCTATCTCTTAAGAACTGCAGACGATGGCCATGACATGAATGGTGCCACGACCAGCCACGGCTGCTCTATTCCGTGAAGTTGCATGTACCTCGGATGACCACGAGCGCTCGAGTTGTCTGGGCGCCCGCTGACGCACTTGGCGCCGCCTTTTGTATGAGCCAGGCAGCGAGTAGGGGGCTTCGAAATGACCTGGATGTTGTTGGTGGCGGCGCGCGTGGCACCACTCTTGATTTTCTCCTTGCCGCCCTTGCCACGACCGGGGCAGCGGTGCTCGTATCTTGCCAATCCCCCCCAAGCTTTAACAGGCTTGAGCATGTATTTATACAAAATTATCAGCCTTTCAGTCTCTTTCAAGATCAAGGGTAAGTTAGAGCTTAGGCATGGGAACTGAGGCGCGGAAAAGGAGCATGACGGTAGAGTATCCAGAGCCCCACGGCATGCAGGGCGAGAAGAATTGCAACTGGAATTCAACATTTGTTGCACAGCTCAAAGCCGGGCGGCATCGGGGCTTTGGGGACAGGCCATTACAACCTTTATAACCGACGAACGAGCAACGGCTCCACTTGCCTGTGCAACGGCGCAAGCCAGCGCTTCAATGGCTTGGACAGTATGACGTATGTGCATGATTTAACGACTACTAGCGTCCAAATATGCCACTGCCAGTCCAGATAGATTGGACGACCCAGTTACAGCCTCACTTTCAAGCTCCAATCGCGAGCGTCAAGTCTCGGGCCATAGGATCCCTATGGGCAGGTTATGGAAGTGTCAATTCCTTACAGGTTCAGCTCAAGGGCCAGTCGTCGGCTGTGTCCCTCATCGTGAAAGATGTCAGACCTCCGCGGGGATCAGGAGTCAGCCATGAACGTAAAATGGCAAGCTATCGCGTAGAAGAGTTCTTTTACAAGCATGTAGGGCCTGGCTTGGTCAGCTCAACGGGCCTTGGGATTCCACGGTCTTTGGCCATCGAGTCTTCGCAATCGGGCTTCCAATTCATCCTAACCGATCTGCGTGCGGAGTATCCTCATCCAGCTCCTGATAGCCTTGATGGAAATCAGGTGCGAAAACAGCGCGCAGGGTTTCTCAAAGTGTAATTACATGATGGCGCGCCCACGAGCTCCCCCACACCTGCCACTTACATCTTGCTCACCCAAAAGCCTGCTTCATTTCTGCACGAGCGCCTCATGCGTACTCTCCAGCCACCGCCCCGCAAGATCACCTGGCATCTGGCAGGAAGCACGCTCGCTTTTGGTCATGCCCCTCGTCCCGGTTTTCCACACCGCTACTGCCATGCGTCATACCGTTATCCAAGCCGGCTCCCAACAAACCCCAACCGCTATACCAACCACCGGAAACAGGTCCGGGCGGTATTGTCCTGGTTGGCCACCTATCACGCTTACTTCTGGGAGCAGCCCACCCCCGCTGGACTGCAACAAGAGGGCTCCTATTGGTGAGCAGTAGCAGTAGCAGTAGCAGTAGCGGTTAACTCCCGGGAAGCCAGCGGGAGCGCCTCAGGCCAGCAACTCACGGCGCACAGCTCACTTCACTGGGTGTTATTGTAAGCCGCTGCTACTGCTGCTTTACTGCTGCTACTGCTATCATGCGTTGTGCTTGGCAGGAATCTGCCTGCATATACGTCGATCTAAAACACACGTGCGTACGTTCGGCTGCAGGTATTTGGATACGCGGAGAGAGGAGTTCGAGCGAATAGGACCGAGCTGGGGGGCTCTGAAGGCGGTTGCGGAGCAGGTAAGAGGGCATAAAAGGTCTGTGGGCGGCCTTGCGGGCCGGCATGGAGTGGGGCCATGTGGGGCGATGCGGGGTTTCGGGAGGTGAGGATGTGGGCGTTACGACGTGACGGAGGGCGGCCTGGTCGTATGTATGTACCGTGGTGCGACCCGCGAGAACCCCCCTGACTGTGTGCGTTAGTAGCCGCTGTGGTTCGGATGGAGGGGTTTGACGTGACGGTGGTGAAGCCCTCGCTGATGGATAGCCTTCGAAGGGAGGGGTGAGCCGATGGTCCAGAGAGATCAACAACGTTTATGCGTCAGCGTGTTTGTGCCCGTGTGTTGGCTGTCGGGCGACGGGGGCAGGTCGCCGTCGCTAATGACAAACAATACCGGTGCTGCCGCCAACCGCTGCAACCCCCCTGGGGCGGGTACCGCCACTACTGCCGCTGGCCCCACCGGGGCGCCCACCGCGACTTCCCTCTCCCCCCTCTCCTGTGGTGTTGTCCTGTGGTGGGCCCCGCAGGTGGCAGAGCAGCTTAAGTCCCCAGGGAGCTCTGAGTTCAAGACGTGTATACACGGAGGTGTGTGTATGTACGTATGTATGTTGTTACAGGGTGGTATAGCTTCACCAGGGGTCCCCTTTCCCGAGGCAGTTCCCTGCTCTCCCCTGCGAGAGGGGCACCCGAATCCATTCAACCCATCCGACTTCAGAGTGTATTCGTTGGGTTCAGCAACTCACCACCAGCATCCAACCAAATCTAGCGGATCAACGGCGCCTCAACTTAGTTCCTGGTCAGCTCGCAAGTTGATATAATTACATCCTACACCGTCCACAAGATCCTCAAAATCCTCAAACACTCGAGAGTCGGCAGGCGGATTTGACCCCGGTCACTCCGGGAGCAGAAGTCAGGCCTTAACCTCTGCCAGCCGCCTTCCTCGTATGTATGTATGTATGTATGTATCTGCCTGGCCGACACTGACCGGGGCACCTAACCGTACCCACCGGGGAGACCGCCGAAGCACTCTGCTCCAGTTGCAGAGGGGCGTATCGTCCGCTATATCGGTCAGAATCCGAACCGTCCTCCCTATATCAACGCAAGGCGCCGTCGCTTGTTCGAATCCTCTAGCCAGCTACATACACGAGTTCAGATGCCAAGCAACCTCCATTCCATCTTCGGAACGCACGCTCTACAACTGCGAGATCTACCGAAATGCACTCACACCGGTGCCGATCGCCACTCTGTCCTTGCAAAGTCTGCCTTCGCCCGTTGTCGTTATCAACCACCACACCCCATACCCCACCCCATACCCCACCCCATACCCCACCTTCCCACGTTGCTCCTCTCTCATGCCGCTGCCACTGTCGCTGCCACTGCCTTCTCCATCACCATTGCCACCGCTAATGCCTTCTCCACCGCCGCCGCCACAACGCCAACAGACATGAAGAACGAGAACTTGCTGTTCACGAAAGATGGCGCTCGATGCGCCGCATACGATTTTCAGTACACCGGCAGGTCGTACGGTGTACGAGATGTTGTGTACCTCTTCGCCTCTAGCGTCGACTCGTCGAACCTCGATGCCACTGAGGATGAATATTTATCGTACTACCATTCAGAGCTGCTCGATCGGCTGATATTGAAGGGCGAGCCGGGCATTGAGGCGGCCTGCCGCTATCGTCCTGAGGTAATGCGCCGCCACTTCGACCTTTCGCTGCTCGACTACGTGCGCTTCATGGCGGGTTGGGGCATGTGGGGCAGTGGTGTGGATTGGGCTGTACGGCGAGCCCGGGCCTTGCTACCCCACGTGGGCCAATTGCTGCAGTAGCGACCGAGGACTCTGTTGGTTAGTCGGTTACTTCGATCTTTGGACACAAACTGAAATGGGCAGTTGGTTGTTAGGAAGTTGGATAATGTAGATAATGCATATATTCGATACCGATCAGAAAGGGTTGGTTGCGGAGTGGTAATTGCTAATATCGGTGGATGACTGTTGTTGGCGTTACGCTGTGAGGCTGTACTGAGAAGGCGCTGGCGACGACAAGTTGAAATGTCGTCGTCAGTAGTCCGTCTTGCAGGATGCATGGATGTCGGATGAATTGAGGCCTGCAGGGTGCCGAGGAACTGCCATTACAGGAGTGGTGGTGGCGGTGGTGGTGATGGTGTTGCAGTGGGTTACAACCGCAGTTGTTGTAAACGGCCTCGGCATGTGATGAGTGGCTGTGTATGAAGGTTGGTGAGGAGCAGCAAGAGGAGGATGCGATTGTTACAGTGGACCCCGAATGGGTCGAGGAAGGATTGTTTTCCATGCTGCTGCTTCGCGTGTGCACGGGATGCCATGTCGCGGCGTCGAGTGAGGATGGCCTTTGTTGGGCGAACGATGGCATGCGATTGAAGGAAAAAATATGCCGGGAGCATTGAAATTGTGCACTAGTGCACCTTCGGTGTTTATGCAATTTGGCTTTTGTGTGCATGTTGCGTCCCCGGCTGGGTCATGACTTTCAAAGTGCTGGAGGTCCTTAAAGACTGGTTGTGTGCAGCCTGTCCTGTGTGCTATAAGAGGAATACTCCTGCGCAGCGCGTGCACGAGCTTTTGTTGTACCGTTACCTTCTCGGCTTTAACTGACCATAAACGACATGACTTGGCGTAAGCTGTTTGCATAGATACTGTTATTTTGTATGTGACAGTTATATGTAGATCAAAGTGCAAGTTATTTTATGTTGCTGCCTGCTTATGGCAATCGACTTCCCGGCTTTGTGACTTGTGCAAGTACGGCCACCATAAGAAGCAGGAACCGTGACCATAGAATTCAATTGGACATTTGTTTATTGTGTTACTTTTTATCATGCAATACTAGTTTTATTCTTAATGTTGTGGCTCGGCCTGGGTACAACACCGCCGCCGTGTTAACAAGGGTTCACGTTAGGGAACCATTGTTTCCCACAAATGCTTTCGCATCAGCAATTACGAGCTCATGCAGGAGGATGTAGATGGGGTTCAGAGCAAGCTGGTAATGTCGCACGGTCGGCCGTCGTTGGCAGGTGCGGCTGCAGTTCAAAACATACGTTGCTAATTATGGGTGAGACACCAAGCATTAATTTTGGTTGCATGTATCTTATACCATTATTTGTTCGTCGAATATGCAGGCTCGTGGTTGCTAATGCCACGAGGTTGCGTGCAAAGGCGGAAGCACAGGACGAGGAAACTGTTTTCTCTGTGTCTTCAGGACTGCAACTAAAGGTGGGCATTGGCTTGATAATAATTGCAAACAAACCACCACAAGACAGCCTTTCGTCGCGGCCCGTAATTTACTGTGGTCTGTGGTGGCCGATGTCAGGTCGTGCACGCTCCATGCGCCAGCACCTTAGCCTTCCATCATACCACCCAGGCCCTCTCCTGTCCCAATTGAAGTCAAACATGATAAAGACCAGCCGCTGCGTCCCCTTAGCCCCGAGTGTCCTTGTCCCCGGCCCCATGGCCTCCGGGCGCCGAGCAACAGCAGCAATCAGCGGAAGCTGCCGCTGCAAATGACCACCACAGCTGCCGCCGGCACTGCTGCCGCTGCAGTGGCGGCAGCAGCTACAGCCCACGCACCGGTGTCATCATCTCGCAGCAGCAGCAGTATAGCAGCAGCATAGCAGCAGCAGCCACGGCGGCTATGGTGGTCATTCGCAGCGGCATCTTCCGCTGCTTCCTGCTGTTGCTCGCGTCAGTCGTTGTGCTTTGCGATCGGGGGAGGGAAGGGGGAGGTCGTTACTTACGGCGGTGGCGGCGGTAACGGGGTGGCATCATGTAGGGCTGCAGTGTCCAGGGCGGGAGTAAGGACACTCGGGGCTAAGGGGACGCAGCGGCTGGTCTTTATCACGTTTGACTTCAATTGGGACAGGAGAGGGCCTGGGTGGTATGATGGAAGGCTAAGGTGCTGGCGCATGGAGCGTGCACGACCTGACATCGGCCACCACAGACCACAGTAAATTACGGGCCGCGACGAAAGCCATAGCAGCGGCCCTGCCCATATCCACCACTCCAACCCCAGGCTTATCCTTACCATTATTATCCTCCCAGCTATCGCCAACGTCACCATTGACATCATCCCCAGCCAGCAGTATCCAGGACCAGCTCCAACCCAGCCGGGAGCTGGACCAGCTACAGCACTCGCAGCAGCAACAGCAGCAGCAGCCGGCCCACCCCCTACCGGCGGGTGTGACTCCGGAACGAGACCGGGAGATTCACAACGAGCTGCGGGGTTGTGAGGACTGGCGGGACGTGCTGGACATAGTGGCCGATGAGGCGGCGTGTCTGTCTGTGCGTACAGCAGTGCAGGCGCTAACCCGGCTGAACACACTGACCCGTGGGTCACCGGGGGCGAGGAGGGAGCTCGTGGAGCACCAGGCCTTTCAGACTCTCAAGGAGGTGCTGTACTCGCAGGTACGGCAGTGGGGTGAGCGGGGTGCGGATTGTGTGTATGCGGGTGGGTCTCAGTTTATAGTGGTCCCGTGTACATGATGTGTGTTTTGGGGAAGGGAGGGGCCCGGCCCTGGCTGACATCGGAAAGCTCATAATCTGTGAGAGCAAGACGGGAATGGAAAGGAATGGAAGGGAGGGGAATGGTGACGGAGGCAGCATCGGCCAGGTGGGGAAAATACTTCACAATGGTCAGTGGTTATGAAGGACGGGGCAGGGTAGGGGGGGCTATATGACTATTAGTGAAGTGATTGACACGTAATGACTCTCCCCCCCCACACACACACACACCGCTGGGGAAACCCCTGATCCTAACACGTAAGCGGGTACACATGGGAGTTTAAAACACATATCATACAAGTGGTGAAGGTTTGGGCGTATCGCTGGACGTCTGGGTTTGGTCGAGCCCCCATTACTTTCCCCACCTACCCCGGGGCCCCTGCCCCGCCCTGCACGGCCCATCCCTTGACACTCTTCTCCTCAACTCACTCACCCCACCTCCCCTTCTGCCCTCCTATCCTATTTCTGAGTGTGCATGTACACATATATATGCATATAAGGTATGTCTGTCTGTCTGTAAACACTCGGCACGCAGGTCTCCTTGATGAACAACGTGCAGCTTTCCAACTCGTTGTACGCCTTCGCTCAGCTGCAAGTGGTGCTGCCCGAGCTCCTATGTGAGGGGTACACGGCGGCGGCGGTGGCGCGGGTGGACTCCTTCTATCCGCGGGACATCGCCACACTGCTGGCGGCGGCGGCGGCCATGCGGTGGTCCCCACCCCGGCAGCTGCTGGATGCGATGGGATTCAGGGCGATGGTGGGTCGCTGTGAGCGTCAGGGGTCATTGGGGGCATTATGGTGTGGCTTGAGTGTTGGTGTGTCGGGGTGAAGTATTTCTTCCTGGCTGAGGAAATGACCGGGCGGTGTGAGCTGCCGCTGCGGCTCCGGCTGGGTGGTGGTGGTGGTGGTGGTCATGGTGGGAGGGGGGGGCTGGGGGGGCCCATCCCCTTTCAGTGGTGACTTACGCCGCTTACGAGTCGCACGACTGAAAAATGTGTGTTTTTGCTGCTCTGCTTCACCCGTCCGTGTTTAGGTCCTGTCGTCCAAGGTTACCAACATCGGCATCTGTCAGCAGCTCTTATACTCTCTCCCCGTAACGTATATCAAACACGCATACAAACACGCATATATGAGTGTCGACGGGATGTTCCCCGTACAACAGTCGTACAATCCTCCTCCAAGCTCCTACAATTATATAGAACACACTAACGTGTGCAAACCCTCATACATACATGCATACATACGTAAGGCACGGACCATTGCCCCTGGGAGATCCCGGGATCGAGACCTATCAGGGTCGAAAATCCTTCCGATGGTGGAAGGTAAAGTGGCCCTAGTTGATGGACGGTGGTGACCTGGGATAAGGTTAACTTGCGAGCCGACCAGGAATGTTGGGCCGCCGTCGATCCGGCAGATTCCGTTGGATGCCGATGGTGGGTGCGGAACCTGAGCGATCCACTGAGAAGTTGACTAGGGTGACTGGATGAGGGTGCCTTGAAATACCGGGGATGGCAGGGTTTCGCCAGGTCGCGGCCACGGGTGAAGATATGCCCCCCGTGTCCCACACATCATACATACATACATACATACATACATACGTACATACATACATACATACATACATACATATGCTTACATACATTCATAGGCAGGCGGCTGGCAGAGGTTAAGGCCTGACTTCTGCTCCCAGTTGACCCAGTCGACCCGGGTTCAAATCCGCCTGCCGGCTCCTCGGGTGTTTGAGGAGTGATGAAATGGGAGGTGGCCCCCCATCTTATGGACGGTGTAGGACGTGATAATATCAACTTGCGAGCTGACCAGGAACTAAGTTGATGCGCCGTTGATCCGCTAGATTTGGTTGGATGCTGGTGGTGAGTTGCCGAACCCAACGAATACATTCTGAAGTCGGATGGGGTGACGGATTAGGGTGCCCCTCTAGCAGGGGAGAGCAGGGACTGCCCCGG